GTCTTCACCTCCTCTGCGAGTCTCGTTGAACCACACCGAGCTGTACATGTGATATCTTGCCATAGACTTCCCCGTCCTTTATCCGCAAATCCTCCCTCTAGTTAGAGCCGAAGACAAGTGCTTCTTAAACCCATTGTGTGACGTGCGAGATATCAAAGAATCCCATTGAGAGGAAATCCTTTTCCCAGATTCTCAGATCTCGGGTCTTGTATTAACATTTCTGGCAAGCGATTTTACCGAGAACCCCGGCGGTGATTTCTCCTTGAGGTTGCTCAGATATTTGAGCACTGGGACTTGGATGAAGGGTGGAGTCGAAATCCAATCCTTCATCAGTGGCTGTATCGGACTCAGGCTCAGAAGAGTCATAATCTTTGTCCATAGAGGATTCCTCAGACTGAAGCCATTGATTTGTGAAGTGTATGAATTCAATCGAGTGCACGGAGAATGTCGCAGTTGAAGATACCAAGGAATCCGCCCGCTGGATTTGAGTAAATTTTGTCTTTTCACGAGATCTGGGCTATATATAGTGTTAATTGACGATAATTGTTCGGTACATATAGACTGTACCTTTCGAATCGCACGCCACAGAATCCGTGTTCGTTGATATAATCGGTTCAAGAGAGTTGAAGTGTAGCTATTGAAGCTTCGCCGTACCATCTCCAGCCAGTGAATTGAGCCCAGTATTTCCGAAGTATTAAGCAAGGCTCTTGCAATAGCCCAGACGGTAGCTCGACGAGACATAAGCGGTGAAAAGACTATTGTAGTTGTAACAAGGCTGTGATTTTAGGGAGTTGTATTTACTTGAAAAGTAATCCGTGAGCGCAACTTCTTATACACACCATAACGTAGGCTTTCATCTACATTCCAGTACTAAATCTTAGGGTAGCCATACATTCCAAAAGAATTTGTTAGAGCTCCTGAGACCGGAAGGCATGGCAAATTTATTTTGTAACGATACTCCGTGCGTGCGAGTCTAGCTAAGGTTCAAGACTTTGTCGAAAACGTGCGTCGTTTTCCCTATACCAATGGACTTGGTTCCTGAGCTATACCAACGGAACGGCGGCCAACGGAAGAGCTGGTTCTGGGGATCAAGAAGCTCGTCCAGGGTACGATGAATGAGAAGAAAATTTTGACGTCCTCCAGCTTCTACATTGTGGCTATATATAATAACTGTTCAGAAGCGTGTGACCAGAGATATTCATTGTGAAGGGCGTCCGCTGTAACATTAATTACTCTGATACAAAACTAAGCGTGCCGCCCTTGCCTCGCTGTTCTTTGGGAGAGTTCCGCTAAGACTATCACTCTAACAGATTCGGAATAAGGGGGCGTCACTTCTTTTATTTGACAGGCTCGGCATTCCATATGTCACTGTAACTTATAGTTTTATTACTTGTGGCTCCCGTCGTAACACTTTTACCATGTCTTTTGGATGTAAGTAAGTTCCGTCCGTCGGGGGGCGGTTGACAGATGGCGCAGGAGGCCGGGTGATTTTCCCGTCCAATCAGCAAGCCCTGATGGAGCCTGAGTTATCTTACAAGGAATGTCACCCTCTCTGAATGATGATTTCACTTGGTGCGGGAAGTACTTGGTGGCTGGCATTCTCCAGTGGTCTATAAAGTTCTAGAACTGCCTATGAAAGAAGGACAGATAGGGCGAGACAATGTAGCTCCTATCCTGTCAGCTGAGTTGAGTTCCATGTCATTGCATGTCATGTGTCATGCTTTTCTCGGGACATTTTTCGAATAAATCACACTCATAACCCTAGATCTGGTCGCTCTATGGCTTCTTTGTACTTGATTTGGGAGGTAATAACAGAACTTATACCTGCCTTACCCGCATCCATTGATAAAATATTACGCACCCTTTTCGCTCATGATGCCTCTCTACGAGCTCCCTCAACTTCCGATAGCACAACATTTTCTAGAGACGACTAGGGCAGACTCCCGTCTAAACACATTAGCAGAATCATGTGCATCTAATTCGAGAGCCCATGACAACCCCTCGACTCGCAAACCGCCCGGAGTACCAAGATTACTCAAGGATTACGAAGATTCATTTGATAAAATGCGCAAAATGCGAAGAGACTTATTCCAACATATCTCTACTTCATCATGCGATGGGCGTTCGGGACAGAAGAGAAGTGGTGACCTTGCTCTTGATACTGAGACACCAAAGGGATAGCAAACAATGGTCGGAAGTTGCAGTTCTCTCCCACCTTAAAACAATGTCTTAAGGGTGCTATGTTCGTGGCTGCTTTGCTTCTTCTTCCATATGTACCATTCTATGACTTTGTCAATATTTGATCTGATGGGGATCTATCGCCACTACGTAAGAACCCAGAGAAAGAGGGAAAATCTAACTCGAATGCATGGAGAACTATCTCTGCAGAAGAAATGAAACAAAGGAAAGGAAGGCCTAGATAGGCCGAAGCGAAGCAAAGCAATCAACCTGGCCCTGGAATCATCCTGGAGGAGAATCCCGACCGGAGATTCCCTAGAGGGATATCCTTATCGGATCACCGTCATTTTCCTCGGATTCTTTTCTGTATTTGAGCGACAGAGACCTGACTTCTTGCGATAATTGACAATGAATTGGAACTTTAAGGTCAGTCAGCAATTTTGTCATTAGCGTTTTATGGAAGGTTCTTTCGCATTCAAAGAAAAGAGACCTCATCCCAGTAGATAGGACCCTGCCTTCCTTTCTTCTCCATATTTAGTGAATGCACCGATTTGAAGCCTGTTCTATCACCTGGCTACAGTATAGCCAAGTCTTTTTTGATCTCTTCTTCTAGTCGCTAGCTAAGCAAAGAGGTGGGTTGTACGTATTCTCTAGCTACCTAGCGATACTAGCCTCAAATAAGAGAAGGTCTGTTCGCACCAAGTGAAAACAAGCCTTCTCTCAAACTGTTTAAATCAGAATTTCGATATAAAAAATCATGTATTATATCCATAACAACGCCACCTTCATAGTCGACCTGGAATATACGATGACGGTAGTATAAATAGTCAAGCTAACAGTATCGCTCTTCTAGAACTCTTGAGAGTACATTGGATTACTCAACTTTGTCGAATACAAGATATTTCATCTACTAAAAAGCCGATCTCTCTAGACCTACATTTACAGGCGATGTCATTCACTAATACATCACCCCATTCTCCAAAGTTCTCACCCCACAATCACCCTAAGATCTAATCCGACGCCGATTTTGAGCTCAGGGATCATTGAGTTTGACTGCGTACTATAATGGGCTTAAGAATGGCCCAGCAGACAGGAAGCTCTGTTCTCCACGCCTTATAATCCTATGTGATGCCAACTAGAGAAGGATATATCCTGTCTATTCATTTACTCCGTTATGACCATCCATGCTTGGCCTACTAGGCTTCGCCTTCGGTGGACGCATCTAGTACTAAGTCATTTAGCTTCCAGGTTAGCTTGGTCAGTGAGTGCTTACCTACCCCTTGTCTAGAATGTTCGTCAGTCCTGTAATCCTCTTGCAGCATCTAAATTTAAGAAAAACAACTTCAGCGCCGAATCGAATTTTTGAAATATCTCAGGAACCACGCCAGTTGGCAACTTCTCGTAAACGGCAGTTTCAATCTAACTCCCTACGCTACATCTTGATACCGGTTTAAACCTTGCTCGACCGATATTACGATGTTGCGCGCGTTAATGGGCGTTGGGCCGGTCCCGCTAGGGGCTTCCGGAGGCCTATTAAAAAATCTACTATCGAACAGAGAGCGCGTATTAAACGCTAACCACACTACGCACGACCTTCTAAAAGAGCTTAGAAGGGGTTAGAATATAGTAAGACTAGCCCCTAAGGTCATTAACTTCCTCCGGTAGGTAGAAGACCTAACGAAGGACCTCCTGTCGACGCCCTTAACCGACTAGCAGGATGAACTTAGCGCCCTTCGTAAGGAGATATAGGCCCTTAAAGCTACTATCGAACTGATAGCAGTTTCGTGTAAAATACATCCCGTGTGGTTTAAAGAAGGGGGTTGATAAAATGACCCCCCCCTGCCTGAAAATGCCTGAATTTTCGGGCACTAAGGCATCAAGGTAAGGATTTTGTCTTGTTTGCTCACGGAAGAGCATTCTTCTACGCCCCTACTCTCACCGCCCTCACCGCCCTCACCGCCCTCACCGCCCACCCCTAAGGTCCACCGCCACCACCAATCTTTCTTTCTTCGCGTAGGTGTGGTGGGCGTGGTACCTCTTCGCCAGAGGAGTCGGAAGATACGGAGGATTCGGAGGTTCTGGCAGAGGATTCTGCAGAGGATAAAGAATCCACCATCACCAGGGCAACCAGGAGATCTGCCAGATCTACCAGGCCTACGCAGCAAGGCAACCCGAACTAGGTGTATTACTATAGAAGAAGGGTTTTAAGTAACTAGCGTTTACCGTCCGCCCTAGGGGTGAAGATAGGGAGGAGACTCTAACTCCCCTGCCACGAGAGCATTTGCTCTTTTGTTTGGCTTCGATGGTTTCTCGTTTTTTTCTGCTAGTAAAGCATAACTCGCATAGTTCATGGAGCAACACAAATTGCAATCAATTTTTTGTGGTTTTATCATAAGCGCAGATATAGGCTAAGTTCAAGTCTCATGTAGTCTCGCGACAGGGTGGATGACAACAAGGTGTAGTTCCTTGGTAGGAATGCTTCCAGTGCTTTTCCCCCGGATTGTTTGGCGTGGTAATTGCGGGGCTGTGGAGCTCGGATCTCTCGATGGCCGGTCGCTTGACATCATGGGCCATCGGGGATGTCTACATCAGGCATAGTAGACCCTTATACCCCACAGGATTCTGCATCTTGAACCGACTGAGCATAGCTTACAAATGTCAGGGTGACATATTGGGGTTCTCCTCCGTGTGCCCCGCGCGACCTGGCCGAGGTTGGTCGAGGGTTTCTTGACAGGCACGGCCTTTATATAGATTCCGAGACTCCCGGCTAGACGAGATGACCGGTTTCCTGATTATTCTGCAAAGCCGCGACTGCTGCGAAGATGAAGGTTGTCCTGTCACTGTTTGGCCTGGTCTCGGCCTGTTATGCCTCTGACCTTCCCATTGTGGATCTCGGATATGAATTGCATCAGGCAATTTCGTTGAATGTAAGCATCTTTATCATGTTTTTCAAAGCAGTGTGGCTTCTGACGAGGGGTGGCAGAGTACCTCTGGACTATATAACTTTAGTAATATTCGATATGCGGCCCCTCCATTAGGCGACCTGCGCTTCCGGGCTCCTGTGCTTCCAAAGCAGAACCGCACACAGGTTCAGACTGGTGAGGTCGGGCGGATATGCCCTCAGGCTAGCACAATCTGGGAAGATGACATTGAACCTGCATTTCTCTTGAGCATTTTATACAATACGACATTCTCGCAATCAACGAATATCTCTTCCTATACCTATGAGCCGGACAAGATGGACCCACGGACTTCCGAGGACTGCCTGTTCCTGGACGTGGTGGTTCCCAAAAAGATATTCGATCATGCACAGCAGCACACCGATCGTGGAAAGCAGCATAAGCCATTCGTTCCAAAAAACAAACTCGCGCCAGTACTTGTGTGGATATATGGTGGTGGATACGTGGGAGGTGAAAAGAGCTCGAATAATCCGACGGGTCTGATCGAGCGAAGCCAGGTTGTTGGCGACGGAATCGTATACGTTGCGCTCAACTATCGAGTAAGTTTAGAGATTAGCATTGGTCGAAGTTTGAAAGATTGTCTAACCATTGCTCTCCTCTAGCTCGGCGCATTTGGCTGGCTTTCAGGTGATGCAATCCTAGCCAACGGGACCGCCAATGCCGCACTTCATGACCAACGGTTTGCTCTGGACTGGGTATACAAAAACATTTACCTGTTTGGCGGCGATCCCACACGTATCACAGTTATGGGTGAATCCGCTGGAGGAGGCTCGATTATGCACCAGGTCACGGCGTACGGAGGAAATGCTGGACCCTCTCCGTTCAAGCAGGCGATCATTCAAAGCCCAGGATGGGTTCCCATCATGGATGATGAACAACCCGAGCAATCTCTGCAGCAGTTCTTGGGAATTCTAAACGTCAGCACTATTGAAGAAGCTCGAAATCTGTCATCAGAGAAACTGATCGCTGGCAACGCTTATCAAATCGCCACAAAGTCACAATGGGGCTCCTTCATTTACGGACCGGTCGTCGACGGTACTTTCGTCCCCGAGTTACCTGGAAAGCTTCTCGCGGAAGGCAATTTCGACCGCAATCTGAACATCATGGTCGGACACAATGCCGATGAGGGACTGGTCTTTACATCACCAGATAGCCGGAACGAGACTGGTCTGACTGAATTGCTTCAACAGCAATTCCCCTACATGAAGAAGAACGTCAGCGATTACGTCTCAAACGTGCTCTACCCACCCAAGTACGATGGCTCGTACGGGTATACCAGCTCTGTCACACGCGCTGCGCTGGTCATATCGGATCTCATCTTCGTTTGCAACACCGATTACTTCAATCGAGCATACCACAACCAGACATTTGCATACGAGTTCAGTATCCCGCCAGCCCTCCACGGCATGGATGTCCAATACACCTTCTATAATAACGGTACCGCGGTTGGTGGCTCCATTCTCACTGTACAGAATGCCACCGTCGCAGAGGTCATGCAGGACTACTTCACCAGTTTCACTCAGCGCGGCGAGCCCAGCTCCCCTCTAGGTCCACCCTTCCACCGGTATGGTCAGAGAGGCTCACTCATGAACATCGGCAACCATACCATCAGTCCGGAGCGTGATCCAACTGATAATCCGCGCTGTCGGTTCTGGCAAACTGCGCCATTTACATAATTAGCGAGATCCTACTGAGCTCCGTTGAGCTTATTGGCGTTGTCAGGAAACAAGGCTGCCTATGGAGAACTGTACCTTAATCAAACCGAACATAGTTGCCTGACTAGTGATAACGCGGCTCGGTGGGTTCGCGTATGACGAATCACTGATGAGTTCCATAATTTAACAAGGCTGCCATTGATGAAAACTGAGGAACGTATGGTAGCTTTTTTTAATTCGCTCGGAATTGACCGACCGGTTCGTTTACAGAAGTTTCTTAAGGTACAAGGCTGAGGTGGGTGCCGAGCCCACGACCTTCCACATTGGGTCTCGGACTCGTTAACAGCCGCAGCAGCCTCGCGCTTGTTTTTCTTCAAAGGGATACTCCCGCTCACTAATTATACTGGATGATTATTTGGACAAGATACCGCCAATTGCTCATTATACCGTGCCGATCATCCTTTTCAATTTCAGCTTGGGGTTACCCGACAGCCTCAGGGGTTCTGGTAAACAAGTTGCTGGCTAAGTTGAACCGAGCATGAACTAGCGATCGCTAAGCCTTCATCGATGTAAATTATCAGGCATGCTGGACAGAGAGCGATTATCGCACGCCCCCTTTGATGGTTCGCAAGAATGTAGAAGCGATAGGGTCTTTGTTTTTCTTGCTGCAAAGAGTTCCATGCGTACTGTGTGGGGATAACCATAACACGGGCCTCGCAGTTCACGAACTGATCACTGATAGTTCGTTCTACTCCTCTCTCAGCTCGGATCTCGATTCGGTCGGCCATCGAAGAGATTGACGGGCTGGGCCAGGGGAAGCCGAAGCACCACTCTATTGCTATTGGGCTCGGTGTCTCACTGCCCCACTGCGTATCTGCAGGGCACAAAAGCTTGCTGCCGCATCTTGGGACAATGAGATGACTGATCTTTTTTTCAAGAACTCAACAGTTTGATAAGGAGTCTGTCATGATAACTTCTTGAAATTACATTAGATCACTAGCCGTTCCTTGGTCAATCTCGTTGAGCGAGGGGCCGTCAAAAATCAATGACATCGATGGCTTCCCTGTCACATTGGAAGGGTCCAACAGCCCCCTTTATGAAGAAACTCGGCCCCCAAGTCGCCTTTGAGATGGGGGCTGGCTTATTATGGGTGCATGCATTGGCATGCATTGGTAACATGGCCATCAGGCTGGATGTATCGTACATACGACCGGTCGGGATCTCGTAGTTTTCGATGGTCCGTGAGGGCTCAAAACTAGGGCAGTGGAAGCGAAGAAAACCACATGGTTGAGGACAATACTGGCGAGCTGAGACACGTCGCCATCCTCGAAGTAATGGCGTGACAAGACACTGGACTTAGACCAGGGACAGTTCCATCGTTCTATTGAAAAGACCTCGTGACCAACTACTGTATGTAACTCCAGACCTTCCTAGACACAACTCAAAAGTTAGCCACACCCTATTTGCAGAACGAATTGGAAAAAAAACTTTCTTCAGTCAGCAGCATTTCTGAGACATTGGACCCTGGAGTAGTACCTTATTTTAAAAGGTGTCGCCGATGCAGCAAGCCACGGTGGAGGCTTTCGGGCAAAGCTGGCCGGGACGATCTTGGTGCCTGGAGAGCGACAGTGCCGTCGAGGACTCGAGGGTTAGCGACTTTGAGACTATTCCGTATTGAATAGGATCGCCATCGGTTACATCCGTGCAGTTCTATCGTTATCGAGAACTAGTTTCTAGTTATTCGTTGTGTACCACTCCGTTGCTGTCTTGATAGCTAAAAGTAAGACATTGAAACCCCGGCGATTAGTTATGGTCGGCCTGCTACGAGCACAGCCGCGATGCCGATCCCTTGCTGCCGTTTGAAGGGTGACACTGACAGTTTTTGCTATGTGGTTGTCAGCTTCGGACTTTTTGATGAGTCCGCTGGCTAGGCACCTGCATGACAGGAATGTCGGGAGGAGGCGGGGGCCAGTTATGGACTGAGCCGGAGGAAGAACGCTTTGCGACCGGGAGAAATTGATCGAGTCGCATGGGAAATGAAAGTCAGGATGAAACTTGAGAACCACGAGGCTGGATGAGGCTCGGTATAACAACAGAGTGACTTGACCTTGTCACTTAGAGGGAGTACAAAGATTGAAGCGGTATACTAGGACTACGGTAGTGGAGAATAGAAATGCAGGGACCGACTATGAGGACTAACAAAGCTGGAAAACGTGCTGGTTAAGTATTGTACAGAATGAAATACTATACATATACTATATACAGTATGTTGGTTGAGCAATGCTCTGCTCAACCTTTGACCCAAGAAAGCCGTCTCGATACCAAAAGGCCAAGAAAAACCTCAAGATCCAATCATTAACCTCGTATCCTGCAGGTGCCAGACGCGGTGAAACTAACCACGCCCCTAATGGGCCCCCAATGGACCCCCTCCTAAAGGCCAAGGACGCCCCCGTACACACCTCCGCCCGTAGGCCCCGGACACGGCATACAGAGTCTGGAAATATTTCACAGCCAAGAGATCCCCGAATTGAAAATCGCATGGCCCCAAAAAGGGCCCCGCCCAGTCCAACCAGCGCTAAGCTTTTTTGCCCCCAAGTGAATCGGGACCCTTCGTGTACAGCCAATCGTGATGGGTTTCTCCTCGGGCCAAAAAGCTTTGCCCGCTAGAGACGAATTGAGTATTTGAAAGGTTACCACCAACTTGACCAGGAGTAGCCATGCAGATTACTCAGGTATCATGATGAGATAATTATGAGGTCTCAATGAAGCATCATATTAACTACGATCCGGAGTAGAATAACTTCATAACCACATGGCTCACATGGCTCAACATTCCCAACCCGTGATACTATTAATACTTCCCATACGAGAAGTCTTCTCCAGAGAGATCTTCCGCGAGTCCCGCGTGTTTCGGAATTTCGAGCTTAGTAAAGTTTACCTTTATTCCATTATGGAGTCCTTCTAGGTTACTAGGTACCCATTCAGCTTAAACCTTGAACCTTTGGACACGAAACTTTGGGTTGGTAGGCACCTACATTCCGCCTTGTAGGGCCTTCATGAACAATAAACCCTTCAAAAGCACGCCAACATCCCTCTAGTATTTGCTTATTACTTTATTTCTCGTCAATTCGAGCCGAGCTACAAGAATAAAGCTTACGAGTACTACTATTACTCCTCTTACCAGTACTACGGTCGCCAATTTCGCCCAACACTGCCCCTTCCATTTTGCCCAGAGCCTTGTCACGGCTGCGAAAGGCTGACTCTTTAGATTATTTTCTTTTTTGGGGTATTTTACCTTAATCTTTTTTGGACGCTTATTTTTTCCCCTTTGAATCTTATTTACTCCATCCTTCCCCTCCTTCAACCTCGATCACCTACTCTTCTACTTTCCCCTCCTCCACTTCGCCGTCCCCGATTATAACTACCCACCCTTCGGTCGCGACTACTATCTCTCTCGACTTAGTCCTACTGAGGGACAATTCTCCCTTTCGCCTCAGTCTCTTTCATCTATCCATCACGCTTATCGCTTTCATTCTCCCATCATGCGGTTGCACCCGTGGTCGACCCTCGCCGTCTTCGGTGCGATCGCATCGTCGATCCCCCTCTCGACCTCCCACGAACTCCATCTTCCTTACCTCCCCTCGCTCAGTCCTGAGCACGATTCCGATGCCTACCTGGTAAGTTTAGCCCTTTCCGCAATTTTCCGCCAATAACAGCCGAGAAAACTAATACAAAATCAAGGCTCTTAAATGGACCGTGACGAATGGGTCGCTCTACGCCAACAATGATCAGATCTTCCCGCCCACCGTCTCCATGCAATTACATGCCCCTCAATACAGAGGCCAAGCCAACGCTCGTGTGGGCGGCAATGATCTCGAACTATCGTACTCTCTACATGCCCGGCCACTTTCGTCCCAAGAAGCCGGAGCGACCTCCAAGATTGTGCGTGTGCGCGTCGATTTAATGGATCTCCAAGGAGAGCCCGTCACTCCCAACGCTGTCGTATTGGATCTGCTCGCCCATCCCGACGGCAGCCAGCGAATCACGCGCATTCGAATGGAGCCTGGAAAGGGCCATCACGAAGGCCACGATCGACCCTGGCATATGAAGTTCTGGCAAACCCAAATGGCCGGAATCATCAACAAACAAAAGGAGGACAAGGAGGTCTCCTCTCCCGTCAAGCCTTCTCAAAACTCCACCGAGGAATCCACGCAAACACGTCCCAGCAATCCCGCCCAGACGGATGATGCCGAGGAAGTCACTCAGGTCGGATTTATCTTCTCCCCTTACTGGTCTCCCTCCGCCTATTCCCACCGCGGCCACGGCCACGGTCACCGCCACTCGCACCACCGTGACCGTACCTTTATGCGCCTCGTCCGCCCAGTCATTCTCCCTGCCGTCCTGGGTGCTGCCGCTGGTTTGGTTGCCTGCCTAGTAGGCTTCGTCATCGGCCACCTATGCATGTCCCTCTCCGTCCGCCTCGGTCTCCGCAAGAACAGGCAACAACGACGGACCAGTGCCGTCCACCTGGAAGACGGGACCCGCGGGGAGAAATCCGTCCTGATGGTCCCTGAGATCTACGTGACTGATTCCGATTCCGATCCGGAGGCTTAGAGAATTTATGGAACGATAATGGCATTGGCGCGGCGCTATGGGTTTGGGAGGTTTGGTTTAGCTCTTTTTGATTGCTTTATTACGGCGCATTTTCTATGCATCACTACCATCCTTTCCTTTTTCGGATTTTCTTTTCGTCACCTTTCCTTTTGTCTTTACCCATTTTTTGTATCAATAGAGTTTGGAATGTGTATACACGGGCATGAGTATCATGCGCACGATCAATTTAATCCATATATACTGGAATTTGCTTTCGGGTACCATTACCTCGGAAATATATATATCATTAGAACGGTAACAAAACACTTGGATTACAACGTTAGGTACTTGACATTTCTAACTTCGAGTGAAAGGTTTAATCACCACGTACTTTAACTCGCCCTGCTCTAGAAACTTTACATGCATAAAACGATTCATGCCTACCAATGTGCGGAACATAATCGATCCACGATCTAGCCAATTAAAACCCTTCTATTCCCCTAACTATCATTCAGGCTCATGTAACATAAACTGGACCACTTTTCCATCATCCAGCACAACTTGGCCTACTGGTCAACCAGCAGGATACGGCCGGCTGGCCCAATGGCAAGGCGCTTGACTACGAATCAAGAGATTGCAGGTTCGACCCCTGCGTCGGTCAATTCTTTTTGCTTTTCTCTTTTGCTACTGTCAGTCAATCGTCTGCGGTGTGGTTGGTGGATATCTCAGAAGAAAATTTTTACTTTGGGTCCGATGTTTCTTGGCATCCCCCCACCGGGAGACACCCGAGTCACTCCTAATTATTGACCGCCCCTAGACCACGTTGAGATGTCTCGCCGATGCAGAACTTTTTTACGATATAAGGTGGATTGTGGGTTATTTTTGTGTCTGGATGAGACCTAAGACGGTGATGTCTTACATTGTTGCCTGTTAGATGAATAGTGGATGATCCAGCGCGCTAGGCGATGCTGATTTTCGTTTTCTGATCCTAGTCTCGCACCATTCGAACTACGTGATCGACTAAATTAACCATAAAGCTTCTTTGTATTAGTCGATATGGAACTCGTACGAGCAATAACCGACCTTGTAACTTAATTATACCCGTTGCGGTAGAGGTAGTACATACTGTATGAGTGTATGGACAGTGTCATGAAATAGTCCAATCAGGGGTTATTGTGCCACACGCCTCGAACTTTACGTGATGCAAAGACATACCCGACGGCTCAATCGCATGGTCTGGATGAAAATCGGCGATAAGTAAGGTTTCTATACACACACTGTCACTTGCTGCCCTCTAGAAAACAAACGGTTGGTGGAAATGAGATGCGGAGATCATGCCTCACGGATTAATCGAGTCGTGAACCTCGTTGCGAGCACCTGCTCGAGAAGCCATGTACTTTTTAAAGTTATACTTCTACTCGAAACTTTCCGAATGATGCAATGCAAATTCTAATTTCTTTGCTCTTGTCGCCTCCCGCGCGATCCATTGACAAGAAGCACGCTGCACGTCCCCTCGTCTCGGCAATTGGTGCCTAAGCCTTTCAAATTGTGCTGCCTATCGATCCCACTGGCATCTCTACTTGGGCCTTACCCGACCCGTGCTAACCTTAAACCAGGGAACCCCGCACGCCACGACCAATCTGAACGGCGTGGATTGTAAGGAGGACTAGTCTCGTGCCAATTGGAGGGGCACGTGCCCCGTGGGGGTTGTTAGATCATTTATACTCTACTGTAACGAATATACGGATCTGTGAAATCGGCGCCGAGAATGATAGCCTCTAGCGCTAGAAATGGGGGACAACTGTTTACCCGTAACTCTAGATAGCGAGCCGCCGCTTAACCGCCCTACCCAATACCGCTATGTAGGATAACTGGGAATATTAATATACTGATATATAATACACAGATCGTTTACCATTTGAGATGTGACCTCTGGTCTCGTCGTTGCAGACAAGCCGGAAATAAATTAAATTGAGGCGGCTAGTGAGTTTAGCCTAGGCTATAACTACAAATATGTTCTAAGACTATTTTGCAACTGTAGAACATCCTTCGTAGGTATAGATACTGTCTTGATAGACACGAGTTTAGAGGTAACCAGAGGCGCTCGTGCAGAAGATACTACCGGTGTCATCCATTCCAGCCAGCACCACGGGTCGCCATCTACGTACTTAGTGTCCGCCGCGAGGCCCGTTGAAGGATCACGTTTACCCCAAAATGCCGAATCTGTGCCAAGCGTGACCTTACAACCGCTCGAGACGATCGTTTGGTGACAGCCGCCAGACTTCTAGGTGGTTGGCTGGCAGTTAAAGGTGCATGAGTTAAATTGCAAGAGGTCTTCAAGGTATTGACCCAGTGATCAAGACAACGCAGGGGAATCTAGACTCAGAGGCGTTTGTGATTTATGTGATGGGTGAATGCCCCCCTAGTTTCTCATGATCTCTGTGGCTGGCTCTTTATCTAGCTATACTCATAAAGACGGTTTGTTAGGTTAAGGGATATCTGCCGAGGTGGCGAGACTATTGTATGCAGTGAGGCGTGAGGGTATATACCTATTCCGTCCCTGTTTCAAGTGAGGGTAGAGGACCTAGGGACCCTACTAGGCGTAATAATTCTTTCTTAGTCCCGATGATACGTGTCAGTTAAATCTCCTATAACAAGAAAGAATAAAAAAGGAATAAGTCTCTAGTAGTAGACTAGAGAATAGCATAAGGGTTCTGCTTTTGCCAATATTGTAGTCTGTCAGGACTCAGGGCTCACAACTCTTCACCTCTCGGGTGGGTCCCTTCAGCTGAAACTCCGCCTCCATAGAAGACTTTAGTACTATTACCATGTGATTGAAAGGGACAAGGGGAAGGCTCTGGAGGGTAGATTGATTGTTGATGAAGCTAAGTTCTATGAAGAGGTTGGAGTAGCCAAATAGACAGTATCATGTGACTATTAGCCACATAACAAACACCATGGTTGACTGATCAAGGTATGCATGGTAGCTTAGAAACTGCGCAAAGAGTTTCTGCTCCTGGTTGGGACGAGCGTCAACCAGGCCGCCCCCCATTGCGGTTGATGTGATCTGGGAAAGGACAGGATGAGGAGTCTATATATCAAGTTCATACAGGTCAATTAGGATTGCATGGAGCTAGCATTGGAGAATCGATCATCGATCTGATTAGCTTAATCTAATTTCCACCGAGTCGGGTGCTAGCGGTTGCCGAGCTCCATCAGGGGTTCACAGAAATTATATAGATTCTATCAAACAAGAGCATACTCTGGAAGACTAGCTAGGTTCATGGCCAGGATCCATAAGCCTGCCATATAAACGAATGTTATAGAGAAATTGCGAAAAAAATAAAGGAAAGGGTGTTTCTCCAACCCAGCCCCCAATCACCATCAAAAGCCTGTGTAACAAAGCTGTGAATGCGCCCACGCAATATTCAGATGCTTCCATCTAGAAAACAGATACCATCCTAGTTAAATCCGCCTACCACCACAGCGTGTGACTTAATATGCCTTAATATAAGCCTTGATCTCATCATCACCCTGGGTCCAGCAAACAACAGGCTTGGTGCCGCAGCTCTTGTCGCCACGAGCGACCTTCAACTGATGGATGATATTGCCGACACGGGATTTGGTCATCAGCTGGGAGTTCTTGCCCTTGACCACGACGGTGAGGAAGTACTTCGAGGGTCCGAGGAAGTAAACTCCCGTGCCCTGGCGGACATTCGCCTCGGTCGCCCAATTGTCGCTGTAGGCGAGCGTCTTCTCGTAGACACTGGAGTAATTTTCATCGGTGATGTAGCCGTTGATGCACTTGCAATTGTGCCACGGAGTGGAGCCACGGGCCTCAAGAAGTGATTGATCGGCGAGGTCGGTGATGGGTGTGAGCTCGTCGAGACTGTTTGCGACGTCGATCACCTCGGTGGTGGTGGTGTCAAGGAGGGGACTGGCTGAGACCAACGAGGCTAGTAGGAGGAAAGGAGAGAATCGCATTTTTTCGATTGATATCAAAGAGTGAATGAAGTTGAGGTAGAACTGGTCGGACTTGGAGGAAAGAGTGTGAGAGTGTAGGTTGTCATTGAATGGCGAACCTTTTCTTTAAATACATTTTTGTCCCTCGGTCGAAGGCATCGGAGTTGAACAACCATACACTTGGCGGCACCCATAGCAGTGGACTCGGAGCCGAGACTATTCTGAAATAACTTGGCTCTTATTAAAAATTGAGCGGAGGTGTCCAACATTTGCCGGAAGACAGGTAAATGGTGTATATTTTCCGGCCTATACACAACGTAAGCATTGACATTGGGTAATTCCCGGGCCCACCCGGCCATATCTTAGAAAGTTAACTTGATATGCCAAGCTCTTGCTAGCGGAGAGTCCCCGTTGCGGTCTGTGGTCGATAATTTAGTTGCTCTGGAAGCTTATGTCGCTTTCGAGTGCTAGCCGTTTTTGCGACTGAAGTGCCAGGAAGAAAGGCTAATTTTAACGCCAGTCGCTTTGAAAATAAAAAAGGGTGCTTGCCAAGGAATCTGAGCCGAAGGAGAAAATTGCAGCGGTAACTGGCCTTGTCAATTTAGGCAAGGCCGCTCACTGGGCAGCCAGCTGGCAGAAGAGCAGTAGCTGTATCCGAAGCCACCCAAACTAAAATGTCATCTCTGTTGTTGACAGGATCATGCGCGGGCAAATTCCGCTACATCGAGATGAACATAGTTGCCTTCGGTCGATGTCCGTAACTAAGGCCTGTTTTCCGAGCAAGAATTGCTAATACCTGTAGACTGTTGCTACGGATATAGAATCTATGCTGCAATCGGTCTTCCAAATACAAAACCGATGCTATTGCGTGATGAAAGCAAAGCTTGATTGAAAAGAGATCAAAGATATAGCCTTGAAGATGTTGGTGGAAAGTCCCAGGACCAGTCACATAATGCTGTTTTGGTAGATAGACTTCCTCGCCCACCACTGAATCTACCCTCTACACACATCGTCAATCTCTTCTAGCCTACCGTACCAATATAAAACTCTATGCATTGAGGTTGAGAGGGGAGACACAAGTGAAGGATGTCAGCTGGTCTGTGGTAAATGCGTCGATCATACCTGGAAGTTTAGAATCGGGTTCCACGGCTCTAAAGGATGAATAGAGTTCGACGTACCAGTGACAGCGGCATACATTCCCAGACCACACATCGATAGTGACGCGAGGAAATAGAGAACATGCCAGATGTTGATGCCAACTTGGAACATGCCGCCCGTAAAGAATCCACGAATATGTCTCTGAATGGCGCTATCCTCCCGCATGACTCGACCCGTGCTCGGATCGAATCCTTCACCTTGTCGAATGGCATTTTTTTGAACATCGAAGCTCAGTGCAAAGAGAGGCGGGAAGCTATAGGTAAGATTGAGGAGCAAGGATGCTGAAATGACCGAAACAAAGCCCATGTAATCGGGAATGGCAGCTGCGATGACAAAAGCGATGATCCACCAGATGGGACACAGAGTGGCATACATGATCTTGCCAACTCGGGTGGTGAGAGGGGGCGCTTTAAAGATATCCAGGAAAATATTATTGTAGACAACCTTGATACCGATGTTTCCGTAGAGGCCACCGGCAATGAGAGCACCGATCAATGTGATCATATTTCCAGCCGTCTGCCATCCATAGGCGCTCACTCCCTGGTAGCTTGGGTTATAGCTATACTGCCCCTGAAGGTAGTAGATGACGCAGCCATAAATCAGGTACACGCTGTAAATAAAAAATTGGGCACCCCACATAGCTTTAATGAAGTCACGAGGTCGCCTCATTTCAGCCAAGAACTCCACAAAGAGCTGGACACCGGCATAAGCTAAGACGCCCGAGAGCATTCCATTCAGAGCGCCAATCAGACCGTCAGGCGGGATATTGTTGTAGTGAATAATAGGAGGGTAGTTACCCTGGGCATCGGGGAGGATAGAAGTCCTGTTCACAGCACTACCAGCAGATCCAAGTATAGCGACGGCGTAGTTAGGGGGGGTGTTTGCCATAATACCCATAGTCATAAGGATAACAAAAATATTCAGCCAGACTGCAAGGTTTGCCACCCAGCCATAGGCCCGTAGGGTACGAATCTGCGATATCACAAAACCAGCGCAAGCGAAAATCACAGGACAAACCGCATAGCATAGCTTGAACTTGGAAATCTGGGAGATATTCTGCCCAAATTGAATCGTGACTTGACCGGTAATAAGCAGGAGCCCAAGGCCTTGGCAAAAGTTGGTAATATAGCGTCCGTATCGGCCGACCGTTCTGAACGCCAGGTCACCATAGTTCTTGGCTGGGAACTCATAGGAATCAACACCAAGAAAGACACGGTAGACGAGATAGCCAGAGTAGCCAGCCATCAAGCCAAACACTGTATAGAAAGCGACACCTAAGTTTATGTAGTTAGCTTCAAGGCCTGACCAAAGATACATCACAATCACACACCTGGTCCCCATCCCAAAGTTCCCATGGTATAGCCCGAGCCGTAAGGTCCCAAAATGTCTGTGGTGATGAGGAAAAAGCCTATACAGATTGTTAGTAAACATGGTTGCCATGGCTTATGCCTTGGTTAAAATAAGTCCTTGAAAGGAACTCACAAGCACCAGCGGAGGCAGACCTAAAGGCCCGACTTGCGTTTGTCCACTCCTCATCGGTGATCTGCAACCGCTTCTCCGGGTTTCGGAAGTCTGCCTCGGTCAGGGTTGTGGACGGGATGTGATCCTGGACGTCCGTCTGAGAGGCCTTCTGAAAGAGCTTTCGAACATTGGAATGAGGTGCCGTCAACCCCAGTTCCTCTTCTCTGGTTTTGTTTGCGTAAAAGTGATATTCCTCGAAGGCTACATTAGGATCATAAGGCTCGCGAGCTTGGGGCTTGATTAAGGAGCTGTAGGCTACTTCACGGGCATCAGCCGCTTGCCCCAGCCGCATCTTCTCCTCCATGACCAAAATGTAGGTTGCGGTGAGAGTGAATTAATGCAATAAGGAGGCAAAAAAGTGCGGATGGCTGGCCTTAAGTGTGAAATACCGGAAGTGCGGATATTGTGCTTATCTCCCTGTTCTCATCCGTCTCTAGACGCGTAAGTACCCCCTAGTTGAGGTTACATTGGAACCCTGGAGTACCATATACCAAGCAATGACAAGCTTCTCTCGGACTGTGCTCGGACAGAACGCCCCGCCTTGGTGGAGGGATAATCTGACACTTGATTGGTGAGGCTGTCTCCCCGCAGCCAGTGTCCACTTCAACCTGAATTCTTAATCGTTGATTGAAGCCTACCAGTTAAAATTGACGAGACTAGCGGGGAAAGAAAGATAAGGGACATTTGACACTCGAAATTTGGGGAATTTGGTTCGCATCTGGGGCAAAATTGTGATCTGATGAGAAATATAATTACCTCGAGATGAGTATGGTATCCCTTGAGTTGAGAAGCAAACAGATTGTCTGAAGCAGCGCAAGGATGTGCATTTCCTACGATCGAGTTGTGGATAATTGGTATCCATTGAGGGAACTTCTTTATTTTTAATTTCGATCTTGATAGGTATAGTTATGCTATATAGTCGTCGGAAAGTCTGTGTTCGGCTGGGTACTATGTTGTACCATGTCTTTGGAAGAGCGACAATTTGGGTGGCGCCAACATAGAAGCAAATGATGAGTAGTGTAATAAATCCTAAGTACATTATCGACGTACCTGTCACACAATAGAGGATCCTCACTCCAGTGCATGATGGCTTTTGGGGATCACAACAGAGACAATGAATATATAGTTTTCGAGTCATGCATGATAACGATGTTCAACCAATTCAATTTACATTTGCCGAGGGCTCACAAGCCTGTGCTGATCCCCGTGGCCCGGGGGCATTTGACCGTTGACGGCCCACATGGACGTCAAGCCAGTCGCATTCCAGCCTCCCAGCCCCCCGCGGAACTTGCACTTACAATCATCCCCATCCCAGTTTCAAAGACATATCGTCACTCATCACAGTGTATTTGATTCTTTTCGGAAACAATATCGAATTACCATGGCCAAGTGAGTACTTTGTCTTCAATCTACAGGCCTTGCCTCTTGAAATCTGGAGTAACATCTCTGCAGTCACCCATTACACCCAGCCGCCGTTCACTGGCCAATCGCACTGATCAGTACAGCTTTTGGAGTTGACTTATTGAATGCTTTCCATGCATATATCCCAGCAGCTGCACTCAGTTATCTCCCTGAATCCACCGAGCTTACTATCATTTCATACTATGCTCTGTCCGCTGGCCTTCTGAGTGGAGTTGGCGCTGTCGTGACGGGCGTTGTCTCGGCCGGCCGAATGGTGATGAAGCAGGGTAGTATTCTTGAAGCAGACAAGAAAACCCTGAGACCCAAGTTCAAGACATTGTTTGCTCACGCTGCTTTGAATGACCTCGCTCTTTTGACTGGAGCAGGATACTGGTGGGTGCGCCGACAGTCGGGTGGTCCCGTGTACGTGCCTGAGGGTCGATTGCTTGGGCTGGGCGGCGCTCTGGTCGCGATTCAGCTATTCGCTGCTAGCCTTGGTGGTACCTTGGTATATGGCTACGGTGCTGGTATCGGGCGCGCCAGGCCGAAGGGCAAAGCGCAATAAGGTGGTTAATTCGCTGTCCCCTTAGTGGCTAAAACTTCTCGGGAATCCTGACAGACGATGCGAACAGGTGCCATCAACCTAGCAATACCAAGCATTCACTCAGACTTAGCTCACATAATTGTGGGCTACATAAGCCAGTGCTATCAGATATGAAAGTTCATTGCTTCTGATTGTATAACCGGAGGTAAAGAGTCATTTCGGTATATGTATAATTAAAAAGCTGCAACACTAAACTTATCGCGAAAATAATACCTAACTCCGCTGGGTCAACCCCCTTCCGAGGTTATTTAAAGGGATGGAGGATTACTCCTATAGGCTATTCTTTAACGACAAAGGTATAATTAGGTTTTATGTCTTGAAAAAAGGACTCTTAGACATAATAAATGTCGTAGGTCGCTTCCTATACCAAGATTTGATCACCAAGCGAAAATTTAGCGATATGGTTTTATCCTTAGGGAAGAGGACCAGAAAGCGCTGTTAACCTCGCTAATAGAGTGTTTAATTAGCATATAGTGGAAAGAACAATGGCTGGCCAACTGTCGGGCAACCCGTTTCTTCAACCAAGCAACCAAGCGTCTGATTTCTGCAAGCGTTGCTGAAGAATGGGGAACTCCCGCATATCGGTCATTAGACCATGGCGAGTTTTTATGGCAAAGAAGAGGCGAATAATGATCATTTTTGTCCCCGAAGTCACTGGTCCTCGGATTTTAATTGCACTCGCTAAACTGTCGGTGCTAAGCGAATCGGGCATCGGGTTTCAAATAAAGACCGACGATGGAAGGGTTTGAGGAGTCATAACCGGATCAGTTGCGTTATACCACGTTAGTAAGATTTTGGCCACTGGAATGGCCGACCGAGCGTTTGTTGTCATATCACCATCTGATCCAGATTGCAATTAGAGGAGCATTTGCTGAGCCGCACGAGTAGTTCAGTACCATTTCAGTTGAAACTGGCATGGAAGCATGGCCAAGTGTGGTTGTTTAATGATAGATTGACAAATATGAGGGCAGCAGGGGCCCATCCTAAGGAGACGCTGGACCAAGGTGTCATGAATTCGGCACTAGTGTGGTGTTCTGGTTGTTAGGACAAACTGGATATGCGCGGCCATGACTTCAGCTTTTTGATACCCACCAATAAGGAAGCTAGGTAGCTACCTGGAAGAGCGCGGTTGACTCTATACACTTCCTTCTCCCTTGATGATCTGGCAGTAGTTGTCTAAGAATTCTCAAGCCTGATGCAATTTACATAAAAATTTCTAGCCGGGTTTCATTCTTGAACTTCAAGGGAGTCCAGTGATGTCAACCAGGCCGATAACAGGGCGACAGGCCTTTGACATGTGCTGCCGAAGAGGCCTCAACACGGGCCTTTTCTACTCCGCAGAAGGAAGAACACATTCGTTCAGGCTCTCGCGACTATATTGTGGGGATGTCGCTAGTAGTAGCCACAGAGTGAGGGTACTTCGCGGTGATCTATTCTACCGAAGCGACGTCATGTTAATTATGAGCCTACGGCAGCACCTCTCCTTTAGAAGAAGGATGGTGCCCAAAATACTGTCCAGCAAGTCATCTACCGTTGAAGGCCGTTGCGCTCTACCACTTCCAAAGGCCAAGACTATTTGAAGAAGTGTTGTATACGCCATTGACACTAGTATCCCCTGGCTCCACTTTGATCAACAAGATGTAACCCTGCTGCATGTCAAGAGTTCAGGGCATTTATACTCCGCGTTTGTTCCCTTGGCTGTTTTGAATCCTCTGGACTCTGCTTTACTCCATCTCCTTCCCCATTTCTCACCTGGTAATGATTTAGTTGCCATTTGCATCAATATGCAGTTCACTCTCATCACCGCTCCATCATTTCTAGCGGTACTCAGCACACTTCTAGCAAACGTACTAGCTCAAGATGCTGAGGGTTGGTATAAGGCCCATCCAGGCATGTCACGTATTAGCCTGGTGAACCAAAATACGCACCAAATCGTCGATGAATACAATCGTACACGATTCTTCCATGGAACCAATGTCGTTATGAAAGAACCACCATGGTATCGGCCACTGGAGTGGGTTCCAGGTGTTTCGTCATTTGGCGAGCAAGATGTCCAAAATATGCATGACTTGGGTTTGAACATCGTTCGGTTGGGTCACAGCTGGGCCGGCGCAGAACCCGTGCGGGGGTCGTACAACCAGACTTTCCTTGATATCATGAAGGAGCAGACCAAAATGGCCGAGGAACATGGCATCTACGTTCTGGTAGACGTGCATCAGGACTGCCTGGCACAGCAGTTTTGCGGCCATGGCGTGCCTGACGTAAGTAGACACAAGGCCATTGTGAGACACTTTGATACTGACACGGCTTTATAGTGGTTTGTCAAGGAGAACTGGGTACCGAGTAGTGAGATGTACCCGTTTCCTCTTAAGCTGACACCATTCCCCGTGGATGGGAATGGCTTCCCATCCCCGCAGTCGCTTTGCGGTACAGTTGACTGGTCTCTGAGTTATACCTCAGTTGCGATAGGAAATGCATTTGGCCGACTATACAACAATTATGACGGGCTTGGTGATGCCTTTGCCGCCTACTGGAAAAAGCTGGCATCAGGCTATGCCGATACGACCAACGTAGTCGGCTATAACTTGTTAAATGAGCCATGGGTAGGTGACACCTGGGCTGATCCGACATTACTTGTGCCAGGCGTTGCCGACCACAAGGCCATGGAAGGGCTTTGGGACCGTGCGGTGGAGCAGATTCGTAAGGTGGACAATACTACGCTCATTTGGTTTGAAGGAGCCACCCTGGACGTTCTTTCAGGTTTCAACAATGTCCCCCTTGGAGACGGCTCGAAGTCGGTGCAGTCATTCCACTACTACAGCCCGCCACAGCTGGGCTCTATTTCCACCACGCTCAACAACCGCCAAAAGGACAGCGAGCGCCTGAAGACCGCTGGCGTGTTGACCGAGCTCACGTTCTGGATGGGCGATGATAAGCAGATGCAGGGCCTAACAGAGGCCATGACAGCAACCGACGCAAATATGGTTTCATGGATTGGCTGGGCGTACGAGAACCTGTACGATGGCACGTCTGGTCAACCATATCCTCAACTGGCGAAGCATTACAGCCGTGCGTATCCAGCTGCAATTGCTGGTACTCCCATCAGCTTCAGCTTTTCTGAGGATACGACTACCTTTAAGCTGCAGTTCAAGGCGGATCCTGATATTGACGCGCCCACCGAAATCATTCTGCCTGCTTCCACCTTTCCCAGCGGATATAATGTCCAAGTCTCCCCCGAGGGCAGTTTGGTGCAGTACACTCTCGACAAACGGACACTTGCGTTGTTCACATCCTCCAGTATCAAAAGCACTACCGACATCTCCGTCATAATTTCAAGTAAATAGGTCTAACTGTATGCAACTTCCAATATCGGGGCTTATAGCTGCAAATGTGAATCCGTCAACTTGACTGTCTCCACAGGCTACCTCTGTTTCAAGTAGGACTTCTGCTTCTCGTCATCATCACCCTCGGCATGAGATGCCCGCAGCTCGAGAATGCTATACACATGGCATGCAAAGCATCCCACGGGTGCATACAGCTGTGCGTGCGGTACAATACGGTAAAGTCGCGGTCGCTGCACTTCCATTCCGTGTTGCGCTAACCGGGGCCCTTCGATGGTCTTCATTGCGCTCCCGCAGCAGAGTACGATAAAAGGTTCGTGCTAGCGTAGCTACATCGAGCCATCCTTGTCGTCGAGGCTACGATGGAATTAGTATGGGGTGAAGTCATTACACAGGAGATATCTCGGGTATTTCGCGAAGACCTTGATCGTGTCCCGTAGCGAGTACTAGATATCTGACTCGTGAGGTCTTAGGCCTGTCAGACCTGATCATTGGGGAGGGGATCTAGGGAGGCTAACCAATCTAGCTCGAAGTGGCTTGAGATGGCCTCGCCAAAGACTCCTTACGTCGGGTGCCGTGTATATGGAGGCTGGCTGGGGCGGATGATAAGCGCCAGTTGCTCAAAACCCATAATTGGCCAGTTATCGACCGCTTTAATAGTCGCCTTTGCCCTGATGCCTTCTTCTTTAGGCCAGAGAGACGCTGTTACTGTAGTACCACCTGAGGCCTGATTTTTACTAAGGCCGCCCGGCTAAATAATTACTTGACCATCCCCTTCCTTCTCTTTTATCTTGTCTTTTATCTTGTCTCTTATCCTCTCTTTTATCTTCTGTAGGTTATATAAATTCTGCTGGACCTTCTACCTTAGAAAATTGGGTTCGAGCAATTAGCGCTTATCGTCTACCTCAGGGCTGGCTTGTATATCCAACATTTGTGGTGCCCGTTAACGACGGGCATAGCTGAAACGCGAGGTGATCGTCCTTGAGGTGGGTCTCCTGGAGACCTTTATTATGTATGAGCACTGGCCTGTACAAGTCTAGGCTTAGATTCGGGGTATGCTAGTGAGAAAAGATGCAAGGAATCCCCCGCCCTGCACAACGCGTACACTGCTGCAAGTAGGTGCCTTTAGCTTTTGCCTAGACGCAGACATTGCAGACCTTTTGCCGCGTGGGACGTTCCTCGAGGCCGTGGTGTCGATGCCGATTCTGGGGTAGCAAGTAGTCCCGTCTAGATTGTCAGTATTAGCTGTTTATTTTTCCTCTTGCTTGGAAATGCAACGCGCTCGGGCAGGACCACGTACGCCGTTGATAAGCTTTCAAGCAAGACGCGCAGACATGTCTGCTGGTATGTGTCAGCGGCCATGTGGATTTGCTGTTGATTGATCATAAATTGACTAGGATCATCATAATGAGTGGGATGAGTGTAGTTTTTGTCGAGTAGTACGGACGGGAATTTGGGTGAACTTTAGTGGAGATGACCTCAAGTTATCGCTTACTGCACATATACGAAAGTGAGCTCTCCCTAGTAGGAGGGGTTCCATAGCAGGAAGAAAGATAGCCTATCTCGAAATACGTTGAATAGCATCATGCTTAATTGACACGGGGAGACACTTGATTCCCAAATTAACCTGCATAATGTCACGTCACCGCCTTTCCCCCGAGCTGCGGGTGTAAACAAGATTTGCCTAGCAACAAGTGGATACGATCATAAGCTTATCAACATCATACGAGGGACAGAAATCGAGGATCAGAGTCGTGGCTAGATATTAACATAGATTAAAAATGATGTAGCCAAAGAAAAAGACTGAGCCACCACAGCAATTGTTCTCCACTTTCCTTCGTCATTCCCATTCCATTCTTTCGGGTCTGATCTCGCATCTTTGATCCCTGGTGTGGCTGTGCTCAGCCACACTTGCGGTGACTCCGGGAATCAATTTACTGTATTTAGTTAGCTACTGGACCAGGTTTTCTCACAAAATTCAATAGTGCGATCGGGGCTCGCGAGGGATCCATCAACTATTCGGTTAGATTGGGCCCGAGATTGGGCTGTTTAGACTCGATTAGGGGTCGATCATCGCCACCCGCCTTGATTGCATGAGCCACGGAGTTCGCCTGCGACTTTTTTTTGCTTTTCTATTGACTGGTTGAATGTTAATGGAAGAGATCGTGATACTATTTGGCTACGGAGTTATACTCCCACTTCCCGTGCGGAGTAGGCCATGTGCAACTTGAGGAAATTCCACCATGACGGTACTTGCAATTGAGTTTTGGAGCTGAGATTCCCAGGGCAACGCTAAAACAATTACAATCAGGTCCAGTAGGATATCCACACCTTTCCTCTGTAAAGTGGCATAATAATAAATCATTCCATGTTGTTAGCAATACTATGGAGTAGTACTCCCGCGATACTTCTCAACCCCGCATCCTATGATCCTGCATGATTCAACCAGTTCTCCTGTGATTATACTCGTCACGTCCCAAGGGCCAAGATCCCTGAAAAGATAGGAAATCCCAAACTCAAATAATAATAATAATAATGATAATTACAACCCCTGTGCCCTCCCCCAAAGAGACTCCACTCTGGCCCTGGCTCCATCGGACGGGCCTATCAAATCGACGAAGATCAACTCCACCAACCACAACTTCAAGTCGATCCCTCCCTAATCGAGAATTCAGATCTCGGGGCTTCTCCAGGGCTTGATGCCTATCCTTGATGATCCCTGCAACCTAGTGACTTCATGATGAACTTGGTTGCTGCCTCCAGCCACGTTGGCTAGGAAGCGATGATGCAGTTCCTGCACAACACTGCAGAGTGCAGAGACGGGATTTTGGCCAACAAGATTGCTAGGACGACCAACGAGACCAACCAGAGGTGAAAGAGTGCAGGAGATTCCAAAAAAAAGCAAACGCCTCCAGTCAACAACTCCACTCAGCCCATCCCCGTGTGGCTTGAGTGTTTGGAGGTTGGGATGTTCGTTTTGCTTGTCCGTAGTTTCCTGCCAAACTAGGACTCGTGCTAGTGTCTTTTGGTGGTCCACTCGTAAGCTTCTTAGGAAGAGAAAGTGAAAAAAAGGATACTTGCAGATCGAATTTGTTTGGTTTCCTGGTTCTTGCCTCGTACCAAACCTTCGCTTTGCCCCTCTCCTTCTTCCCCTGGACGGGTTTTATAAAAGACTCTTTGCCGAACCCAGGAGTACTCTGTTTTCTCCTCCATCCCTTCACTTCTCGCTTCCCTGTCCATCTTTCCCTTGATACCCCATACTTACACACATTCTAATCACCTCCTCAACCATCATCATCACAATGAAGTCCTTCTCGAACGTCGCTCTTGCCCTGCTGGCTGCCACCAGCATGGTCGCTGCTGAGATGTCCGCCTCGGACTGCGCGGTATGTGATACCTCTCATTAGTGATGAATTCAAGAAACCTGGCGAGTCAATACTAACTTCTGATGGTCGGGCAGCAAATGTGCATCAGTAACATGAACGCCAAGGCCTCCGAGCTGGGCTGCACCTCTGGTGACACCGCCTGTCTGTGCAAGAGCCAGGACTACGAGTATGGTATTCGCGACTGCACCACCGAGGCCTGCCCCAGCGACGATGCCGCCACCGTTGTCCAGATGGCCCTTGCTTCGTGCCCTAGTATGTCCCCCCGGTGTCTCATTCCTGGCTAGGAAGAATCATATCGTTGACCATAATTCCTGCAGGCGGTTCTACCTCTAGCTCGAGCTCGAGCTCCAGCTCCAGCTCCAGCTCCGGCTCTGGCTCGAGCGCTTCCGGTTCGGCTTCAGGCTCGGGGTCGGAGACCTCGACTGGCTCCGGGAGTGAGAGCACTGGCACTCAGTCTAGTGACTCGACCACCACTGGCACTTCTGGCTCGGACTCGGGATCAGCCACTACCACTGGCTCGGGCAGCGAGAGCACTGGTACTGGCAGCGAGACTACCGGAACAGGCAGCGATGCCACCGGTACCAACTCCAATGGCAGCGGCACCGCTACCGTAAGTCCTCGACTCTCGTGATCATTCATTCACCCTGCTAATCATGAATATAGGCCACTGGGACTGATGCTACCGGCACCGGCGCGACCGGTACTGGCGCAACCGCCACTACCATGATCACCACAGCTAGCGGCTCCGAGGCTTCTTCCACTGGTACCAACTCGGGCTCGGGCTCTAGCGAGACTGGTTCTGGATCTGGATCGGAGAGCACTGGCTCTGGCTCTTCTGGCTCGAGCACTGCTACTTCGTCTATCAGCACTGGTGCGGCTCACCCCATGGCGACTGTCGGTACTGGCGCGGTCGGCGCTTTGGGTCTGGCTGCCCTGTTCGTTCTGTAAGATGTCTGGCGTTGGCCGTTCGAAACTCGAGTATCATGGTCTCGAGGGACGATCTGTGTATTTTCCCCCTGTGGTTTATAAACCACTGTCACTATCCCACGAAGTACGTTTGCTGTAATGTCGATTTAATGAAGTCATGCTCCACCCAGGCACGTGCCGGGGCTTACTCGCATGTGATTCTTCTCTTGTAGAGTATTCCAACTTGACTATTATGCGCGACTCTGGCTTATAGTTTCAAGTCATAGACTTTCTATGTACTCTGTAGTATAATTAAGTCAGACATCACCCTTGTCGAGGCCCAAGCACTTCCTTATTCCCGCCGGAAAAGTGGCAGTCCCAGCAGTCACTTTCCCGTTCACCCGGATCGGCGCCCTCCGATGGGCACAGAATCCCACGGACATACCCTCTTGAAGAAAAAAAAAAGCATCATTCACACCATCTTCAACAATACATTCCTGTATCACTATAAACCCTTTGACTATTTAACTCTCCTCGGTGTCAGCCCATCCTCGGTGGACCAACGGCCACCCGGTTTCTCCGCGTCCGAGCCGAGGCTCATTGTCACTTGTCCGGGGAAGAAACTCCCCCAAATTCGAACTGAACCGCCGTTCGGCTTCGGTCCGCTATCGTTAAGCCGATCAACTTGCTCTAAAACTTGCATTTACTCTTCTCACTTTTCTCCTTCCAATCCTCCATCTTTCTTCCTCCTACTCTCTTCCCTCTCCTCTCCTCTCCTCTCCTTTCCTCTCCTCCTCCGGTCGCACTCTCCTCCTCCACCCCACTCGACCGCCCGCCCGCAATCATGTCGACCTCCGCCTCCTCCCCACAAGAACTCCGGGATGAGATCAAGGTTCTCGATGTCAAGCCCGTGAATCAGACTATCCAGCAGATTCGCTCGCTCGCCGCGGGTGCTGCCGGTGGTCTCTGTGCCGTCGTCGTGGGACATCCCTTCGACTTGGTCAAGGTGCGCCTGCAGACCGCCGAGAAGGGCGTTTATGCGGGTGCAATGGATGTCGTGCGGAAGACGGTTGCCCGTGAGGGTTTGGCTCGGGTAGGTATCCCTTTGGGATCCTCAAATGGTGGAATTGGATCGTTGGGCTAATCGGCGCATGCGAACAGGGTCTGTACGCGGGTGTGTCTGCCCCGCTAGTTGGTGTCACTCCGATGTGTAAGTCTTTCCCACAGCTTCAATGGCCTCGTATATGATGTGCGATCGTTCAATAAGATCTATGAGCTAACCGAAACCTCTGGGTAGTTGCTGTCAGCTTCTGGGTATGTTTTTGACCGTTGGGTCTACATGACCAAGTCAAAGTCCGCGGTGTTTTATCTAACGCGTCCATGTAGGGTTACGACGTTGGCAAGAGCCTGGTCGAAAAGGCCTCCGTTGTTCCAGTGGTAAACGGCACCCCCCAGTTCTCTATCGCTCAAATCTCCGCCGCGGGTTTCTTCTCCGCCATCCCCATGACCCTGATTACCGCCCCCTTCGAGCGCGTCAAGGTCCTCCTTCAGATCCAGGGTCAGAACCCGCCCCCGCCGGGCCAGAAGCCCAAGTACTCCGGCGGTGTGGACGTTGTTCGCCAGCTGTACAAGGAGGGTGGTATCCGCAGTGTCTTCCGTGGCAGCGCCATGACGCTAGCCCGTGATGGTCCCGGATCGGCGGCCTACTTCGCCGCGTACGAGTACATCAAGCGGTCTTTGACTCCCAAGGATGCCAATGGAAATGTCACCGGCGAGCTGTCCCTGACGGCGGTTGTCGCTGCGGGTGGTGCCGCCGGTATTGCCATGTGGATTCCCGTTTTCCCCGTCGACACGATCAAGTCCCGTCTGCAGAGTGCACCGGGTAAGCCGACTATTGGCGGCACCGTCCGGGCCGTGTATGCCAGCGGTGGTTTCAAGGCCTTCTTCCCTGGTTTCGGTCCTGCGCTGGCTCGTGCCGTGCCTGCTAACGCGGCTACTTTGTAAGTTCTACGTCTCTTGCCATGCCACGTGCGAACCGAAGTTAATCTTTTCTCTCGCTAGCTTGGGTGTCGAGCTCGCGCACAAGTTCATGAAGAAGATGTTCGACTAAACTAGTCTTCTCCATGTTATATTGAGTGTATATATTCCCATTTTCTGCCCTTTTCTTTTAAAGTGTTCTTTGCAGCGTTGGTTCTCGTCTATCTGTGAATAGACCCTTGATGAATGGTCCGATCGACTTGCATGGGAACCCTTTCCGGACGTGATTTTGAGCCGGTTTAGAGATACATCGATTCCATACCCCATTTTTCGGTTCGTTGATTTCTTGGTTCGAGCTTTTTTATTTTGTATAGACCGGGTGCTTTTTGCACCGGATGTATTACATCAATGAACTTTCGGATTTTTTGTCGCATCTTTTGGTCTCTTAGAATAGTCAAGTCGTCTGTATTGGTAGTATATTATTCAGACGTGATATTATTGATTGTTTGATTGATTACGCTTGCTAAACAGGATATTATGTGCCCTCTACAAGGAAATTTACTTCAATTCCCTCTCGATTCCCCCGGGTCTGTCCGTAACCGAACATACGGTCTCTGCTCTTCAAGCTCTTGTCTTCTAAACCAATGACCATGAAACCCATAGGGAACACGCTGTGGAAGTAAGATCTTCGCAATAACAGTTGTCATATCTCGTGCATCGATAATCCATAGCTCACTCCTGGCACCCTCCGTAGCATCTCCATCTGTATCGAGTTGAGATTCATCAAACATCAAAGTTAAGAGATACCCATCATCTTCCGCCTTCGAGTTGTCTCGCGGGACAAATTGAGGTTCTTGTGCGTGCCACCCCTCCGGGGCTTGGAATATCTTGATTGGATCTTCCGGATCGTCGCTGGACATTATCGCTTGTATAGTTCTCTTGTCAACACAGCCATCGATGGATTCGATGTCCTCATCCTTCCCCTGCTTGATCAATGTCTGGATATCCATTTTAACGAGACAATCCACCTTCATAGGTTCACCCGTTTCAGCGCCGAATATCGCGAGCCGCGAGGAACAGCCGTAAATGAATTTCGGACCCGTGCTCGAGGGGGTTGCTGGAACGATTGGCATCTCAAAGGGAATAGCGGATAAACCCCATTGATGCGCGATAATATTCTCCTTCGTGTTTGAGAGAAGGAATCGGTAATAATAGACTTTGCTATCACACTCTTCTTTCTCCACCGGCTCGATAGCACCCATGGAGTAAAGCATATTACCATTCGTATACCGACAAACAACCATATTCACGGCTTGAACATGGGAATCATTCAAGTGGCTTTGCTCGAGCTCATCCCACGTACTAGCTGTATGAAAAATGAAACACGTCTCCGTCTCAAACCATCGGACTTGCTCGGGGTGGCGTCGGGGGAAAATGCCAAATCGCGATGGTGAGGTTCGGTCGTAGTGGACTATTGGTCTTCTGCGGAGCATGTTTGTCGGATCGAGGGTCATTGGGAGGTCGAGGATGATCGTGTGAGTTGGGGAAACGCCAAAGTCGTGCATTAGTTTTGGGATTGATACACCTGGGACTGGGGAGTGTAATGGAGGTTCTTGAGTTTTAGTTGTTGATTTGGGGATGAGAGAGTACCACACGAATGGTGGTAGGAAGGATGATTGGAAGGATATGAGATCACCGGAGACTGGATCGACGTGAGGCTGTTCATAGATTGTTAGTGGGTATCTTCTTTGCATGTTTAATTTAACTGCTGACGACTTACATGAGCCGTTGTCCAATCTTTTAGGAAGCCAAAGGCTCCAGTACAGCCAAAGCCATCCTTATCTGATTGCGAAACTTTGTCTTCATTGACAGCTGAGTATCCATTAAACCAACCAACAGTATCCAAACTGGGTAGTTGAACTCTCATCGGCGGCCCCGTTTGACACGTTGCTAAGGCTCGTTTATCATGGTAGAGGATAGCCGTATTCGCAACACTAATTTTCCGAATCTTATGCTTGCCGGCACCGAGGAAACTCCACGCTACGAGAGCCAAAAATCGGCAAAGTTTGAAAAATGTCGAGAGTGTAGACCTCCATGGATGAGTCAACGTTGCGACGCTCGGTAGTATAGGCAATTCTAGGCTAGGCATCGATTTGGCCCCGAGATAAACGTCGGTCAAAATGTACCGATTAACGAAACACGGCTCAACTTCTTTTGTTTGATTATTGAGTCGGAACCAGACGCCGCTCAGCATACCGTCGCCATCGAACATGTGGACGTCTTCTGATGGATGGTCACCGAAGCTCGGGTTTCCGCCATTCCGAACGTATTGACCACCATGGAGCTCGGGAGGGATAGTTCCGGAGTATGTGCATGGGGTTATTGGGAATTGCCGATGGATGGGTGCGAAATTTCCACTTTGACATCTTGGATATTGTTAGTTTGTCTGTCGACTTGTTTCTATAGTGAAAAAGAGCACTGTACCGATGTTTTGACTTTGTGGAAGTCTTGAGTGCTTCACTTGTTTCGGTCATCGTCTCCGTTTAACTCCAATCTGTATCTTAGAGGCCTCTGCTAACATATCAAGTCGATGGGCACTGCCTTACACACTGCTGGAACTTGTCTCTTACATGGGACGTTCAGACGATGCTAGAAGCGATGACGTCACATACGGTGGTGGCTGAGTTTAAGCAGCTTCACGAGTATCAGACTGTCATCCCTAGTGAGTGTTATCGGTCTCAAGTAGGGAATCGAAAGAAATGTACTTTATTGTAGAGTCGGGTGACCTAACTACCCCTGGAGTGGGCTACCAAGTAATCTAAGCGAGGGACTGTCTAGACCATGGGTGGCAGTGAACGTGGCCTTTGCATTTGATACTACCAGACTCGGCGGTTTACAGGCGGGATTAAAGCCATGGACGATATTTCTTTGTTCGTGGCTGCCTGGAGCTCGGGCAATAACCGGTCGCTCAGCTTCTAGCTAGCAGCCAACTTCCAGATCGAGAAATAGATCGGGATGCGTATCACTCGGTAATGTTACCCACGCCGGCTTACATTATGTTTACCACGAGTCTCATGGACCAGGATTCGGAAGTAATTAAGGAATGATTTTTTTGGACTGCATATAGGCAGATACATAAGACTGGGCTAATTGGAAATTGGCTTGAAGGTCCAGTCGAGTATGGACCCGATAAGGAAGAAGAAAGTGGTTGTCATAGGTTAGAGGGTCGAGATATTTACCTCAACATTCAGAAGCAATGCTAATGTTGTGACTCAAGGGGCTGGAATAGGAGGCATCGCAACAGCAGCGAGACTGGCACAATGCGGAGTGGAAGTTTCTGTCTATGAGAAGAATGATTTTGTAGGTGGTAAATGTAGTAACATAACTCAGAATGGCTTTGTGAGTAATCTAACTCAACCATTTAGAGTATTACTGACCTGTCGTCGCAGCGCTTTGATCGAGGCCCGTCTCTACTACTCATGACTGAAATATTCGAGGAAACATACCGACATCTAGGAACGTCGATGTCTTCAGAAGGTATCGATCTTCTCAAATGCGATCCTAATTGCAATTTCTGGTTCGATAATGGAGAATGTTTCACAACTTCTACCGATATTGCTCGCATGAAGCACCAACTAGAGATACTTGATAGTCAACATGGATTCGACGGCTTTCTTGCATTCCTCCAAGAATCTCATCAACACTATCAACAAAGTGTGATCCATGTGTTGAACAAAGATTTCCCTGGCTTCTTAGCACTCTTGAGGCCGGCATTTTTGCGGTACCTATTTCGACTGCATCCTTTCCACACCGTGTGGCAGAGAGTCTCTCATTTCTTCCGACCCCACAAACTTCGCCAGGTATTTAGTCTCGCCAGTATGTACCTGGGTATGTCACCATTCGAAATACCGGGTACATATACGCTTCTTCAATATACCGAGCTCACTAGTGGAATATGGTACCCCCGTGGTGGATTCCATCGAGTACGTTATCCATGTCCCATGGTAGGAGCTATGCTGATACAAGAAGATTGCGGAATCGTTGGCCAATATAGGCAAGAGGTTAGGTGTAAACTATCACCTCTCAAGTCCAGTGAAAAGTATAGTGATTTCTTCCAACGAGAAGGCCCTAGGCATCTCATTAAACTTCAATGAAACCATCGAAGCCGATGCGATTATCGTTAATGCCGACCTTCTTTACGCATACAAAGAGCTTCTCCCATCATACGACTCCAAACCTGCCATTTCGAGAAAGAAAAAGGATATCTCATGCAGCGCTATTACCTTTTACTGGTCATTGTCTAAAACGGTACCACAACTCGAATCTCACAATATGTTTGTGGGACTGCCGTGCGGACAAGAGTTTCCAGATGTATACTGGAAGCGCGATAGAATGTCGAAGCCATCTTTTTACGCCCATGTACCCTCGAGAGCGGATCTTTCGGCTGCACCGGAAGGAAAAGACACAGTGATGGTCCTAATTCTAGTCGACAATATCGATACTTCGAAAACTCCCAAAGAAAACGACATAGACGGTCTGGTCACAGGCACTCGCGAATATATACTGTCGTGTATCGAAAATCGAACCGGGATCGTGGGACTCAAAGCACTCATCGAACATGAGAGCTTCCATTCACCTACAACCTGGCAAGAAATGTTCAATTCCGACCGTGGCTCTGTGTTCGGGCTTAATCACAATTTCTTCAACATCCTCTCCTTTCGCCCGCATATCAAACATGACGTCACCGAGGGTATCTACTTTGTTGGTGCCAGCACACATCCTGGGGCTGGAGTTCCAACTTGCCTGTCGGGCGCAAAACTCACTGCAGAAAGAGTGCTGCGGGATTTGGAAGTCCCAATATCTTGGCAGGCTGGGAGTTCTCATGGCAAGAAGGATCCTTTGAAGACTACTGCATGCGGCTTTTGGTGGGCTTGGAGAGGAATTGCATTCCTTGGTGCACTGTTCGTTATGGTCGCGACATGGCAGATTTGAGCTCACGTTCTTTAAACGGCCTTCGGGTTCCTTGAAAGCCGAGCTTCTGCATGCTATTTTGATGTGTTTTCCTCTTGTTTGCGGTTAAAAACTAACCGCCGAGCTTATTCAATTGTTACATCGTCTTGAAGAGTACCACAGAACAATAATACAATAGATTCTCGACAAGTGCTGAGGCTACCCGCTAAGTATGCAGATAAACCTGCTTTGCTGGAGGTGTCTGGAGCTGTAGTGGTCGATCACGATCGATCGATCGATCGGCCTAAACTTATCCATGGGTATCATCAATACCAGGCATAAGCGTCACCTTCCGGCTAGCTACAGGACTGTACCCAGATTTGTAGCTCTACGCTGTAACTCCTACCCGAAGAATATCTTCAACGATAATTTGTGATATTCCATCTTTCAAGATCCAAGATCCAAGATCAGATCGCGATTACATTACACTATCGACTGCCTTCCAGAGGTCCGCCATAAATCGCTTACACTCGCAATTCGTCGACTGTAATTTTGGTCATCCGCGACATTCCCGACGCGAGAACGAAAACCAAGTCTGGTCCTGCGTCATGCATGACAGGAGGGAGGTCGGTCTTTGACGAACGACTTGATTTCCGAAACGCGAAGTTAAACCGTGTTTCTTGACGTGGGCTGTGTTCCTTCGGCTAGAACCAGGCTATTTGTAGGTAGTAGTCGTAGTACATAGTCAGCAACTGACTCCCTGTCGGCTGGGAGACGATGTTCGTTCTCTTCTCTGACATGCAACTTGCACCATAGATCAGTCGGCGCGCCAGATACCTATTTTGTTCGATATGGGTTTAGATTATTGGCTGGTGTTTGTCTTCCAGAGCAAGTCCTCAGAATTCAGGTTCTAACCGCTTTTCACTAGGCACTTGACCTGGACAATTCCTCCGGCTGTCTTGTTCACGGTGGCTTATTGGCCTTTTTTCACGAGAATAGAGATCTCGAAGATATTCATCCTGATCAATGTAGGGTTTCTGGTGTTCATAGCTTTGGCAGTTATTGATAACTCCTCCAGGTAGCAGTTTTCGCTACGGTACCGTGGGATTCATTTCTAATTCGTAATCGCATCTGGACCTACCCAGCTGACGCTGTGGTTGGCCTCACTTTATTCGATATCCCAGTCGAGGAATTATTTTTCTTCGTCATTCAAACATACTCCACGAGCTTGCTGTATACCATTCTCACTAAGCATTTGGTGCTTCCGGCCTTTCTACTCGACCGCTCTCATCAGTTTGCCAAAAATGTTGGATCCGCATCAATCGTTGGTGGAATTGCCTTGGGTGCTATTTGCATTTTGATGAAGAACAACCTAACCTACATGGGCCTTATCTTGACCTGGGCTCTTTCGGTGGTCTTATTCCAATGGTAAGGTGTCGAGGGTTATATCACCGGCTTTCAAAGCTAACCAAAATATTCGACAGGCTCCTTTGTGGCAGCTTTCTGCTTGCGTTGCCAAAAAAGCAAGTCATGATGTCCATTCTCTTACCAACCGTCTATCTATGGATGGTGGACCTCTTGTCACTCCAACGTGGCACGTGGGTCATAGAAAAGGGAACAAAGCTAGACATTCAATTCTGGGGATTTCTAGACATCGAGTAAGTACAAATAAATCTTTTTTGTCAAAACCGCGCGCTAAGTTTTCATAGAGAAGCAACCTTCTTCTTCCTCAGCAATGTCATGGTTGTATTTGGCATGGTTACCATGGACCACGCCATTGCATTGGCTCAATATGACATTGTTATCTCGGAGTCACCCGGACGGTCACTTCCTCCAATAGCTCAAATTGCTTGGTCGTATATGGCCCAACGGCGAAAGCCTCTTGATGTCGGTTTTTTAGATGGGCTTCGCGCGGCAGTGACTGAGCTCTCACGCAAAAGCCAGAGCATGTACCTAGGAAGCGCAATGTTCCAGGACGGACTGCGAGTTGATCTTATCTTTCTGTTAGTCCAACATACCTCGCAGACTGTTACGTTACTGGGGAAATCTGACGACATTATAGATACTCATTCTGTAGAGTCATCGATGACTTGGTCGACGAGGCTCCTACTCGTGAAAAGGCCCAAGAGAGCATCAAGGAGGCGTCTCAAGTCCTGCACTGGCGATTTTCCACCAAGAGCCCCAGAAAGCCTCTGTACGACTACCTTAAGGCCGACAAGGACAATAAATTCGGCTCAAATTCGACTCCTTTGCTCAATTCAATCGCACTACTACCTGCCTCTCGACTAAGTCTGGGACCATTAATTGAACTTTTATCTGGATTTGACATGGATCTTTTGTTTTCCGCTGAAAAGAACGAATTCCCCATCGAGACGGAAAAGGATCTAGAGGTTTACGCTCAGCGTGTCGCTGGCACCGTTGCAGCCGGTCTGCTGGAACTAGTCTTCAGTCACTCTGAAGTACAGTACAGTACTGCGCAACGGGAGAAGATTATCAATGCAGGTCAGAAAATGGGCCAGGCGTTGCAGTATGTCAATGTTGCGCGCGATATTAAACGGGACGCAGCGATTAACCGAGTCTACATACCAACTATGTGGTTGAAGACGAAAGGATTAACACCTACTGATGTGATTAATAACCCGGAGGATCCTGCATTAGCTACATTCGAGTCTCAGATGCTTGTCAAGGCAGATAGTGCATATCAGTCGAGTGTGGATGCGATTGACGAGTTACCGAGAGATGTTCGAGGGCCTGTCAAGACTACCGTTGAGAGTTATATGATGATTGGACAGATGGTTCGCAAGGCACGGCAAGACGCGATTAAAATAGAGGGAAAGCTCAAAGTCCCATTGTGGCGCAGGTTGACGCTTGCATGGAGGGAGATGTATGTCAATCACTAGGGGATTGACCTGTTGGGTTTACTAAATATACTCGCATTTGACAGCGCCAGTCCACATAACATATACTGAACAAGGGCAATCTTTATGTTGATGACATGACAGTCATATTGTACTAAGTGATTTTCGGTTATTGGGGTATCTTCACTAAGTGGATTCCGAGTCCTCAATCATATCATAGAAGAGAAGCAATTCACGATATTCAGAAGAACTGATAGGATGGTAAGCGCGCTAAATTAGAAGTACATTCCCCTCGTTCTACGAAAGCGACATCAAAGCTCACGGAAACAACCAGTAGAGACACAGAAAAGGACGGTGTGCCTGGAATGCATCGGCGTCAATCTAGCCCCGTCGACCGAAGTCCAGCCCGAACGATCAAGGAAGAGATAGTCTAAAGCAAGGTAATGGATAACTTCCTTACTCGATGCTGCGATCGGCCCCATATCTGACAAGAGATGAATCGATCCAACTTACACGAGGTAGGATCTTTAGTCAAGCTGCAATACCAAAATTACATCACACTTTAACCAAGAAAGTTCATTTAGGTCTTACTTGCTGCAGATTAGACTTACGTGGGGGGTCATAGCTTCTCGATCGATCGACCCGGTATTGGGTGCGTATGAGTGTGTTATAATTGTCGTACGGAATATTTCACGTTGTTACGCTGTGAATTACGGGATCGCGATCAGATCGGGATGCTTGGGTCGGAATTAGAACTAATTGCTAACGCCGGTTTGCTATGATACAGGGAAGCACCCCAGGGGCGAGTTCTGCCTCCACGGTATTTCTGAGGTAGGAGTTTCTGACAAAGTGTGAGTGAAGAGAGAAAACCAGAAACACGGATTTTGAGTATACAGAATGGCCCCTCCGAGTGCTATTGTTGTGGGTGAGTAGACATTATCTTGCAGCTAAGTGAACTATTAATAACAAATATTTAGGAGCTGGAGCTGGAGGTATAGCTACAGCTGCCCGTTTAGCAAAGGCTGGATACCAGGTCACCGTTGTTGAGAAGAATGATTTTCTAGGTGGCAGGTGTTCACTCGTGCATCATGAAGACTACGTTAGTAGTATATCCAAATCACTGACAAGATATGCGAATAAGATCCATGTGTTCAGTCAATTCTAACCATATATCCAGAGATTTGATCAAGGGCCATCGCTCTTACTGATGCCAGAAGTATTTCATCAAACATTCCACGAGCTGGGGACTACCCCAGAAAAAGAGAATGTCCGATTACTTACATGCGAACCCAACTATCGCATCTGGTTCTCCGATAATGACCATTTGGAAATGTCAACCGATATCAGCAAGATGAAGCCTCAAATAGAGCGCCTCGAAGGCCAGGGTGGCCTCGAGGGTCTATTCGGATTCTTGAGAGAGTCTGGTCAACATTATGATCTCTCCATGGAGCATGTCCTTTGTAAGGATTTCCCTAATATTTGGGCTATGCTTCGACCGGGTCTGCTGCTTTCGTTGTTATCATTGCATCCATTTGAGAGTATGTATGGTCGCGTTAAGCGTTATTTCAAGTCCGATAAGCTTAGACGGGCTTTTACGTTTGCAAGCATGTATCTTGGGATGAATCCGTTCGAAGCTCCGGGGACATATTCGCTTTTGCAATATACTGAGCTTGCACATGGGATTCTCTACCCGGAGGGAGGATTTGTCAAGGTTTGTCCGTTGTATGAGTTTCCTCCATGTCTAGAAGCTAACGAATGCAGGTTCTGGAAGCATTAGCTCGTGTTGGAGAACGGTTCGGTGTGATATACCGTATGGGCACGTCTGTCACTTCCATCATCCAGTCTCCAGATGGCACGGCTCGTGGTGTGCGACTCTCATCCGGTGAAGAGCTTCTTGCCCATACCGTCATCATCAATGCCGATCTAGTCTACGCCTTCAACGATCTTTTACCACCAACCAGTTACGCTCAAAGCTTGACCAAACGACCGGCGTCTTGTAGCAGTATCTCCTTCTTTTGGTCCTTCGATAGAGTCATCAACGAGCTCTCCGTGCATAATGTCTTCTTAGCAGAAGAGTACAAGGAGAGTTTCGACTCTATTTTCCATCGCCACCAACTACCAACTGAACCCTCATTCTACGTCAATGTCCCCAGTCGAATTGATCCTACCGCAGCGCCTGACGGGAAAGATGCAGTGGTTGTATTAGTCCCCGTTGGCCATATCGTGGACGACCCGTCCAATCCCCAGGACTGGGATTCCCTCGTGAATCGTGCGCGAGAAGCCGTTCTCCAAACCATTGAATCTCGAACTGGAGCTAGAGCACTCCGTGAAAGCATCCTCCGCGAATCGGTCGAGACACCTACGAGCTGGAAAGCGAAATTCAATCTCGATCGAGGGGCTATCCTGGGCCTTTCGCATTCCTTTTTCAACGTTTTGAGTTTCCGGCCAAATATTAAGCATCCCGATATTCAGGGTTTGTATTTCGTGGGAGCGAGTACGCATCCTGGAGCTGGTGTTCCCGTGGCTCTGATGAGTGCCAAGGTTGCTAGTGAGATTATTCTAGGGAGTTCATCGAAGAAAGGAGCTGGGGGGTATACTTGGATTGTCTGGTGGTTCGTTTTACCGTTGATTTTTGTATTTTTGTCGTTCTTTGGGTATGGATCTATGGATTGGACGAGAGTTCTGCCGTTGGAAGCAAAGTTGTGAGATACTAATTCATCGGGCTGTAAAAAACCTTCGAGAAGCTATCTCATCACCCTTCTAGGCTCCATCTCGGCATTTCTCCGTAGTGGGTCTCGTTCTTGACTCGGGGAGGTTTGGGTTGTCGAGGGTATTCGAGTCATGAATCCGACCTTTGGATGAGTAGATTATTATTCCTATACTTGAAGAATCGCAAGATACAATAAATAAAACTATTTTGATACCGTTTTTCTTTGTCAACTGCTCGAATCATGACGATGATGACTTTTTCTCTTGTCCTTGGAGGACCGAGCTAATTCTCCAAGAACGAGCTTCCGAGGCTGCGATGGGCCGGATTGGTTGCACAGACCATTGTGGCGCTCTGGAGGGTAAGCGAAGCGAATGATGATTTGTCGATGAACTTCCTCGAGCTCCTCTTTTCCTCTGGGGGCCAATCCCAAGTCTCGTCTTGTTGGTTCGGCACGGTCGGAGATGAAAACCACCGATGGGTTAAGGGGACAGTTCTATATTTACTCGAGGACCCTGACACCTCAACACGAGAAGGAGGAAGTCATTTATTTAAGAGTAAGGAGTAAAGGAGAATAATTATGTATACTGCTAGCTATACAAATTAAGAAATAACCAGAGTATAACTTAAATAGAGATCATCAAGAGCATAACGTATAACTACTACTAAAGAGCCTCATCAATCTGGACCCCAGCATACAGTAGTTGCTCCATTCAGGTGGAGACTTCGGCATCTTAAGGACAAATCTTCTCAATTATGATACTTGAATACTAACAGTCTAACTACCAATAGTTAATCGCCGTCGCCAGCGCTAACTGTTCCCAGTTTCTCCCACGGAGCCGCAATCCGCCGCTGCCTGCGTGAGCGTTTTCCTTCAAAAAGGCACCGCCCCCTCCGAAGAACCCCCTCCTCTTTCATCATCTCACTCTCGTTTCTTCTTACTCTCCCTTCACATCTTTTTCCATCTCTTCCCATCCATTCCATTCATCCCCATCTGATTTCCTTTCTTTATTATCACCCATCTCCTCCCCCCCCCCATCATGTCCTCCATCGCGGGCCATCTCGTCCGTCGGGGTACGGAGCTTGCCTCTGCCCACTTCAAGGACCCCGAGAAGAAGCCCGAGCAGATCTCGGGCGCTCTCGCTGCCTGTTTGGCCCTGACCATCTTGATCTTCGGCTTTGCTATGTGGGCGGTAAGTTACCCTTTCATCAGTAATGATGGGAGAAAATCATAGACTAATGACCTCGCTAGGTCGAATATACGTACGGTGGCGTCGTAGCAACTCTTGCCGCCGTCGAGGACTCCAACCCGGATGTCTACGTTCGCATCGATAACCCCCCCGAGGACCCGACCAAGCCTTTCGACCCCAACGAGCCCGAGCATGCCGCCCTCTCTCCTCCTCCCCAGCCCGTTACCAGCAAGCTGCGCACTGCCGTCAAGCACCTGCGTGCCCGCGCCGGCTTCTGGTCCCGCTTCCGTGGTCTGTCCATGTACCTGAGCTATGGGCTGGCCCGTGGCATCATCTCCGGTTTCATGCCTCTCCCCGCAGGCTCCTTCATTGGCCAGTTCTTCGTCCAGTCGATCGTCAGCGTCCTACTGGCTACCTGGCAGATGGCCTGGGTGCACATCGTCATCTCCGAGCCTTCCCCCAAGCGCTTCTACCAGCGCATTCCTAGCTTCCGTACCTGGATCAAGATTGCCCCCGCCGCTGCTCTGGAGGACATCCTGACTGCCGCTGCTTTCTTCTTCCCCATGGCCATTGCCAGCTTTGCCGGTTGGGTCGAGTCCAACGATGGCAACGAGAGCTCGATGGTTGTCATGTGCCGCTACCTGATGGTGATGGGTTTCCCTGCCCTGCTCGCCTTTGTGGTCTCCGTCCCCGCTCGCGTGATCTTTGTCCGTGTCGCTGCCTCGATGCTGCCCGAGGAGGACGAGACCATCGTGCCCTTTGACCGCTCCTTCGGCGGCAAGGTTCAGCCCCAGATTGTCGGTGGTAGCGGCCACATTGGTCTGCTGGATGCCTGGACCACCTTTGACTGGGCTGCTCGTGTTCGCTTCGCCAAGGTCCTGGGTAAGACTATTGCGATCGAGTTTGCCCTGGGTCTGTTGGCCGGCATCGTGTTGTTCGCCCAAATCTTCACCATGGCTCCCAACGCTGTCCGTCACGGTGATGCTGCCAAGCCTTCCACCGCTTAAATAGGTTGATATCTGGAATCGTGGCCATCTTTGTTAAGTGATGAGCCCTATATTATCGAGTACTTCCCTTGTGGGACTGTTCTTCTGACTTACGATCACTCTCTCCTGATGCCCTCTCTATTCCATTTCTTTACTGCATTATATTTGCCAAGGCTCTTTGTTAGCATGGAATCAAAGCGTGTGCTACTATCTAGTTCTGGTCCTGTAGATCTGTATGGTGACGGAGTATGACTACCGTAGTTTACTCAAAGTGACCGATGTACCAACCTCTCTAAGACCTTCAAATTCAGTAGTAGACAAGATTATATTTGAATCCATTTCAACTTAACCCTCAAACCCATCAAAAGTAAATATGAATTCAATCGGATTCCAACTTTCCCAACGGAAAACCGTCCAACTACACCCCCGCTCCTCCTCCTCACCGCCTTCATTACTTTTTGCATTTCCCCTCCTCTTCTACTTCCTCCTCCTCCTCCTCAAACTTGAACCTTCGTCAATCCTCACCAGTCCTCGATTTACATTCCAGACTCCTCGCCCTCTCAACCACCTCTCTTCTTCGGCTCTCCACACTCTTCACAATGGCGACTTCCCCCGCCGGCCGCATGCTGTCCCGCCAACTGCAGCAGATGCAGTCTGATAAGGACATTCCTGGGATCAGCTGTGGCTTGGTCGATAACAACGTCTTTGAATGGGAGGTGATGCTGATGATCTCGGACGATGTCAAGTTGTATGGAGGTACGTGCTGGAATTTCCCCTTTGCCGATCAGCCGGGGATCCTTAACTCTACCTTGTGGGACCTGTCGAATGGGCGAGCCGTCCACTTTGACCTGGGATACCCGGTAAAAGAGAGGATCGAATAGAGTGGATTGGATTGTTAATCGTTTCCTGCAGGTGGTTTCTTCCGTGCTCGTCTCTCATTCCCGCCCGAGTACCCCCACATGCCACCGAAGATGAAGTTCGAATCGCCCCTCTTCCACCCCAATAGTAAGTGATCGCCATTTCCAATGCCTCGGGGACGACTCGCTACGTGATAGATATACGTGTCGCACCAAGCGAAACTGTCGAGAAGAGATTGGAGCGCTAACCATACACACCACGACAGTCTATGAAAACGGTGACGTCTGCATCTCCATCCTGCACCCACCCGAGGAGGACAAGTTCGGCTATGAGTCTGCCGCCGAGCGCTGGTCGCCCGTTCAAACTCCCGAGACTATCCTACTCTCCGTCATCTCTATGCTGTCCAGCCCGAATGACGAGAGCCCCGCCAACGTCGAAGCTGCCCGGTTGTGGCGAGAGGATCCGGCCGAGTTCAAGAAGCGGGTGCGCAGGTGTGTGCGACAGAGCCAAGGGGATGAGTAAATGAAGAACGAAGTCACACGGTTATGATATCTTTTTTTTCTTCCATGGGTGCATCTGGCTGGTTATGTTTTTTTCGTTGCGTTTCGTTTTTTGATCTTCTCATCGATCTCCTTTCCTGATATGTCCGAGTGTCAATCCCGTTGTGCTTGGGACTTATTTGCGACTTCTTCTGGTTTACTTGCTCGTGGTGTTGCCCTCCTGATTGCATAATAGAGCGAGCGCTTATGGGAAATTTTCTTTTCTGGGTGGAATGATCTAGCATTCATGGTACCGCGGTGAAGTTCTATTCTTCTCGTGGGGGATTTTATTTTTCTATAGTTTATCCGAGTTGCACGGATTTGGGTTTCTTGGAGTCAATTGGAAGTGCTGCTCGATGATGGGGTTTTGGAGCCTCGAATTGGACCTTTTCACTTTGCACTAAGGTTGGTCTTCTCATCTGGTCGTAGTATATTATGGTATGAAAAGGAGTAGTTTGGCCTGGTCTGAAAGTGGTTGTGAAGTATGATATGCACTTCAAAAGGGTATGTTCAGTATGCTTGGGGTTATGTTCAAAGGAGCTCGTCATATGCTCATGCTATGGTCAGTGAAATGATGATATGCCCAATTCTATCCAACGCAAGGACACATAAAGGAACAAAGGTATTAAAAAGAATTTTGAAGGGAAAGAAGATGGTCGTCTAGGTGCTGTTTTTGCGTGCGGTCCGCATGGAAGGAATGAAGAGACCCGGGTGGACGACGGTGAAGGCAGTACAGGCCAAAGCAATCATCCTAGAGTTATCAGCACAAGCAAATCCAATCAGGGTACCATCTGAGTACTCACATTCCATCCAGGACGAGGAACTCATTCTCCTTTTGCATCAACGCACTGCCCCAACCACCAGCCATCTCGGGAATACTATCGAGCAGTTAGCCACTACACTCTTGCCTCGATCCCCGGCTATCACATACCGATAGATACACCGAATCAGCACGGTAAAGTAAGCAAAGACCTCGGCGATAATGACCAGCCTCATCCGCTGGGGCGAAATCGCCGGTGTAGGATCATCCGTAGACTTCTCGCTAACAAGTCCATTACCGCTACGGTAGACATTCCAGAAGAAGTTGAGACCCAGTAACCCACAGACCGCCATCGTAACCACCTGGAAGGCAATACCCGCGATAATAATATCGTCACCAGCCTTGAGCAGTTTCTGATTGGTCTTTCCAGCAGCGGCCGCGACACCACCACCGGCTGCTTGCAGAATCAAAGAGCCGATATCACAGCTAATGAAGATCCACGTGAACAGGCGCGGCTTCAGTTTGGAGTGCTCGGGACCCAAGTTCAACACGATATGTTTGAGGGTGAGGTAGACACCTGCGGCGACGAAGGTCGGAGCTAGAACTAGACACACGATTTGTAGCTTGAATGCGCTCTCGTTCCACGGGTTGGCGTTCATCAAGACTCGGCCTACGTAGCCGGCCATTTCCATGATTGCGCCCGCGCCGAGTGCGACCATGAAGGTCCAGGTGCGAAAGTAGATTCCATAACCGATTTGGAGGACCCCCAGGAGACCGAAGTAAACTGTGAAGAAGACGTTGCCGCCAAAGTTGGGGTAGTAGCCGTAGGTGGTGGCTTCTACTGGACACAGCGCGCTGACAGCTGTGCAATCAGCGTAGCTCGGCATTTTTGATTAACGGATATTTCGGTGGCCGAGATTGAATTGACTTGTTGCGTGGAGGGTGATGATGGAGGGAGAGCGATGAGCGATTCAACGCTCTGGGGAGAGGTGTAAGTTGTCGCAAACACCGGTGCTATGATGTCGACGTTGGACGTTTTCTCTCTCGCAAACCGAGAGAAAAAGATCTCGCTGCCCCCATGGGTGACCCATGTACCTTTTTAACACAGTCAGACCGTGGAGAAGCACTACTCCGTACTTGCCAAGGATTTGACGCTGACGCGAGGCTACTAAGACCAGTGGAGTCCGTTCAATATATGAAACGGACTTTATCCGCGATGGCGATTGGACTGGTCTTCGCTCTCGTTTTCGTTTTCGTGCCCGCCTTCGTTCTCTGCTTCGCTTCCAGGATCCAGGGCCTTAAGAGATTGACCCCACCGGGGATCCACCGGAGATCTTTCAGTTATCGCCGGAGCCATGCATGACGAATCGGGGAATTTGAGGGAAAAGGGCGGTTTCGAGTGATTGTCGACGGGCATTGGAGGCTCTTAGTCGAGACTTGACCTGTCATTGTCACGGGCTGATCTCCCAGGGTGGGACCCCATTCTTTCTGGGAGACCCTTTTTTTTGAAGAGTTTCGATCTTTCTCTTTTATAGAGAAATCCAAATCCCTATTCCCCGAGGGAAATGCTGGAGATTTATCATCATCTCGGAGATAACTAGGAAGTAAGAAACCTGAATGTAACGACAAGTTCACCATGCCACGTGACTCTCGGCCTTTTCTTTCGCGGCGCGACTTCTCGTCCAACTCGCAGTCGTCATGCCTCCTCGTCGGGCCCATACCAAGTCTCGCAATGGCTGTGACCAATGCAAGCGACGTCGCGTCAAGGTGAGTCTCACATGTTCCAGAAGTCCCCAAGTCTCTGAGCGCTTACGAGCGGGTCGCGCAATTTACCCCCGTCCTACACATCCCCTTAGGTATCTACCAGGCTGACCGGCTGACGCAACACAGTGCGACGAAAAAGGGCCCCCTTGCACGAATTGTATTTCACGCGAACTCAACTGTACCTATTTAAGAGCCCCGCCACGCGATGCACCAACCGCGCGAAGACGTAATAATGCGCCCCAGACGCGAGAGCTGGAGATTCCCCGGCCGTTGGCGCCCATCAGCCCGGCCTCCACTCCATCCGCCATCTCCGGCGTGCGGGACCTCGAGTTGATGCATAAGTTCGCCACGGAAACTTTCAGCACTGTCTGTACTTCCGAGTCCAAATTTCACGTTTGGCAAATAGTCATCCCACGACTAGCTTTGCAATATGATTTTTTGATGAACGGTATCCTGGCTTTAGCTGCTTTGCATATTGCCACGACGGCCGAGTCGCCTACTTCCTTGGCTTATATCGATACCGCACTGCAGTATCATAATTTGTCATTTGCGCCCTTTCGTGCAGCTATCGATAATCTCACGCCGCAGAATTGTGAGGCTGTATTAGCGCAGTCGATCGTCACTACGGTTATTGGCATTGCTTTACCACGAGTCACGGCCCCTCGCGATGACAATACCAACATGACCGAGAACATCCTCGTGGTGTTTGAACTTCTCCAAGGTGTGAAGAAAATTATTCACATCGGTCGGTCATGGATTAAAATCAATCTCTACTCTCGGCAGAAGGAACGAATTGAGTCCGGAGGCCCGCCTGAATTGGACAGCGACGCATCCGCTGCCTTTGATCGACTCGCCATGTTGAACGAAGAGACCGTGGCTAGTATGGACCCACAACAATATCATATCAATAAAGACGTTATCGATAATCTACGGAACTGCTACACGCTTTATGCGGGCTCCCAAGATCCCGGGGAAGTGCTTGCATGGCTGGCCGCGGTCGATAAAGAGTTTGTGGATAACGTGAGGCGCCGACAGCCACTGGCTTTGCTGATCCTCATGCATTGGGGTGTATTGCTAGGTGAGCTGGATGGCCGATGGTGGTGGGCTTCAAACTCGGGCAAATCATTGGTTTTGGAGTTGCTGCGAGTGTTGCTTCCTGCGGATGCTCGTTGGACTGAGTTCTTGTCATGGCCTCAACGGAGAATGGGGTTATGATGATTGTTTTTGCCTCCAACGCAAACATGTTCAATGACCAACTGTTTACGGTCAGCGATCCCAGTCATCGCTGGCAAGTTTTCCCGTGGCTGTCACGATCGATGGGTCGTGAATGAAGACACCTTGTGTCCAGTCACAGCTCCCACCCCACCTCACTGGTCAATGAGGCTGCCAGTCAGCATATGGTTTCTGAAGCCACGCTGTCTTCTCTCTGGAGAGTGAGCATCCTTCCAGCCGTGTTGGCTTGCTTCAGCACGGCTGATGAGCCCGCCTGCCATGAAACATTTTCAACGGAATATGTTACTTGTGGTTGATATTGAGCCTCAGCTCTCTTCGGTTTTGATATGAAAAGTGTATTTCTGCCCAGTCAGAAGCAGATATAATTCGGTATTACCTGTCGACAGAATTGCCTCATACCCCTTATGATTATCATGGACAGCATGTACAGTACAACTCAAAAATCCCTCTTCTTACATTTCCAACCTCATATTGTCATCATATATCAATTCAATGGAAAATAAAACCTATTTGACAGTCTCCTCGTAACGATATCACAGTTCAGACCACTTCCTATTCTGTTACATCCTCGCCCTCTCAGCCCTCTCAACGGCACGCTTATAAACCTGTCGAATCCGCATCTTATTCACCTCCTCAATCTCAAACTTATCCGCTCGAAGACTAAGCGGCCCCCCAACTGACTTCAACCAATAAGACCTCCCACAATCAAACAACCAATTCCGAGACGCAACCTGCACCAACTCCGCCAAGAAACATTGCGGTGCACTCCTATCTTCGGTGAAAACTACCTGCGGCAGTTCACGACGAATTGCAGGTGGTGCATTGGTAATTGCGATTTCAAGGTACTCGTCAAAGGTTAATGGTTGATATAGTTCAGAGCCGATTTGGACGATTCCCGTTGTACGTGCTGCGGCGTGCAGGAGACATGCGTTCGCGACGAAGTCTACGGGGATTTCGTCCAGGATGTTTGCGCCCGTTTTGTATCCTTCTGCGGCATGCCAGACCTGTGTCGCGCCTCGATCTGCCATGAAGGACTGGAAGAATTTGTTCATCGGTGTGGAATTCTCCAGGCCGTAGAGGGGATATGGATGGCGTAGGGCCTGGCCGAAGATTGTTGGGCGGAGGAGGAGGATTGGTAAGAGGGGGTAGCGCTTGGGTAGGAGTCTTTCGACTAGATACTTGGCTTGTGCGTATGTCGAGGCGAAGCGAGTCGTGTAGGGCGATTGATCTAGTGAGAGCACTGATACTAGTTCTTCCTCCGGGTCTTGATCGGACAGGTTATACGAACGTTCGAGGACGGGTCCGTCGGGTAGGAAACTATTCACGTAGGCGGTGGATATCTGAACGAGGAGCTTCATTCGTCGGAATTGAGAAGCAATGCGAGCCATTTCCAACGAGGGGAGACAATTATTCTCAATCGCATCGTGGATATTAGCATCCAAAGTGATCTTTGCGGCTGTGTGGATAACAAGAGTAACTTCATTTCGCAGCTTTTCCAGGACTGCAAGTTGAATGCCGAAATCAACTGCTTTGATATCGCCGATGATAAACTCCACTTTCTTGGAGGCGAGGATGGCTTGTGTTTGATCGGGCATGGCTATTCTCCATTTTTCAATCGCTTGTTCTGGTGTCCCGCGGGCGAGTGCATATATTCTACGTGTGGGTAGCTGGAGGGCTAGTTTGTATAATAGGCAGCCTCCTAGTGAGCCGGTACTGCCTGTCAGGAAAACCGTTTGGCCTTCGAAGATCTTTGCATATCCTTCTCGGATGATCTGGTCGGCATGGGAGGATGTCGGCGCTGGGAATGATGACATGAGTCCGAATTATAAGGCTCAATATGGATGAATTATTGTGTCTTCTGTCCGATCTCCTGGGATTTGAACTCGTTGTATGCAGAGGAGATATTGAATATCCTGAGTATAGCGGCGTGTTGGCGGTATAAACCTATTAATCTTAAAGGCCGAGGATGGTTGGTAGGACAAATATTCGTTGCGACTTCGGATGTATCATAGTTAAAGAATTCAGACCCGGGGCTTCTATTTTGATAAGTGTCTGTCGAGGGCTAGCTGCGGGTGAAGACGGCGTGGAATACAAGGATCTCATTCTTTGCCTTGCATTTAGGATCTCCCAGGACAGATTGAAGACAGCTGCCTTCACAAAAGAGTCATAAGCATGTGCAGACCGAGGCTTAGGGAATGCTGTACGACTTTGCGAGGATTTCCAGTCTGGGATGATGATTGAGATCCGGCCTGGACCTGTTGCAAATGCATAAACAGGCTAGAACTGCTGCTGCTGATCTGCACGAGAAGGCGGCTAGTACCGACGACTGGAAGGGATGGGTAACACGGATACTACTTGGTCCAGGAACGTTAGGTTCGCTCTAGCTTATGGGTGATACAAAGTACATTAGGGTAGGCTCGACAGAAGACAGTCGTGTATATAATATTTCTCAGAATATATGCACCTATATACACCGGATTTTGTCCGCCAGATGGGGCTTTCCTGTCTAGGCTGCCGCCGCTTTAATGAGGGCGCTCAGGCTCAGGCTCACTGAGTAAATGTCAGCACGGGCTCATGCTCAGTGATCTGATCAGTACAGTCATGTGATCGCTCAGTGACTAATCGTGGATGCTTCGTGATCGTCGAGAGGTACTCAGTGACCGCTCGTAGGGCACCCAGCTCACGGGGACCCAAAAAAAGTTCACGGGGACCCAGAAATTACTGACTAATATTAGGTCCTGCTTAGCTACCGGATCTCATAAGGACCTAAACCTCTAGATTATATAATATTTGTTGGGGATTTGCCGTAGGTAAAGGGAAAGTCGCAGTGCGCATAAACGAGTACGCTACTGGGTGAAAGAGTGAAGAGAGACTAATCAAGATAGGATGAAATTGTCAACATATGGATGTTGTGGGGTCACATGATGTAAGACCCACTTACATAACCCCTCATTGTTTCTAGATCTTCTCTATAAGATCTATTAGATTGATCCTCAACGATCTCGTATTCAATTGCCTACCTAGGCAGGAGACTATAACACTCCAATATGACCTCTTTCATGTGATCTTTTGCCATGCATCTTGAGATATAAATCCTGCCCTTTTTCCTAGCTAAATTGAATGAAGTTTATCATCCCTTTTGATCTCTCTTCTTGTTCAGCGATACTTTTCCACAATCGTGGTGCTTCTTATAAGTACGCACGACCGACATACTCATAATGGTGTAACCAGACACTACATTGAGTCCTACTAATTATATGCATACACTATCTTCTTGTGTGCATTACCACGACGACTTTATGGTCACCGCCTAAAGTCCGACAGTTAATACCCTCGGAGCGAAGATGTATAGAAATTAGTAGTATAACCGATTAATAGAGCGTGTATCGGGTTCTATCTAGATATCTTACGTAATTAAGGTTATGAATATTAGGGAGATAGATCCGGCGACATCGGTAAAACTCGGTAGTACTACGCCAAGGTCTAAGAGAAAACCTGATTGTTGACCTATATAAGACTAGTTCGGGTATTAACTTAGGCGGGGATTATAGATAGTGACGGAAAATCTGAGGATCACATGATTATCCACGTCAGCCAAAAATGCACTATAGGCGGCATCTTCAGCTTTTCATAGATATTCATCTAAGGTACTGCCAGGACCTCCGAATATACACCAGCTTATATGCTGACAGATAGTTACAAATCACACGTAGGAGACCATAACGCCTAGAAGTCTATTCTAAAAAACTCGTCTTTAAAATAATCTTATATAAGTTTCCTCCCGAGTAAACTTTTATTTTCTAATAGTACCTTCATAAGTTATAACCGATTATATAGCTTAATAGAGACGTGATTAGTATCTGATCGTTTAGTACCTCCTTTATTTCTAATGAGTCGTGTATTTATAATCCTCCTAGGGGGAGGATTTTTAACGAATTCGAAATCTCTGATCGAATCTACCAGAGATTTATCTACCAGAGATTTATCTACCAGAGATTTATCTACCAGAGATTTATTCGAGTTTTATGCGATTAGAATTAAGGACAATAAATTCTCGACGTATTCGGCGTGGAAATATAGCAGGCTCCCTAGATAGATTACGAACCCCTTCTCTAGATCTCCAGAGCTAGTAATGCCGCCTCCAGACTTTAAATACCTATCAAGTATATGAATGTTGGATCCTAGCATTTGTGCATCTTTGATAAGATGCACGGCGTACAGCAAGTGATATAATACCACTACCCACAAGCCACGCGTGGGCGCTTCCAGGGTTGCGGGTAGTTGATAGCTTGGGGTTCATTGTACTTTGCTTAAAAATTTTGCAATTTGCACTCTCAGACAAACGGCTCCTTTTTTTTCATACCTGAAGTCTGGTTAAATAGAAAACTAGTTAAGAATAGGATTCTACATCAAACTCACTACCGGGCATGGTCCCATGAAAGAATAATTCTAGACCTTATCAGGCCATCAGGCCATCATTTGGCAGGCAATGGACTCAATGAGCTAGCCAGGAAGAATAGTCTAGACGGAATTGCATATGCTCTTGGACGTGCTTATGACAGGAAAAGTTTATCGTTATATTGAAATTGAAATTTCTACGTGTTACAAATTCTATCCAAAATACCCGATTTTCTTTACGGGACCATGACCTCTAGATCCAGCTAATAGACGCTTTCAGAGCCGAAGCAGAGAGTCTAGCCGTCCGATGGGTGTGATCAGCGAAATTGCCGGTACTGTGAGGTCGACTTTTGGAATGACAAGATATTATTATCTCTTTTTGGAGGTAAATATTACACCAGATTCCTTTGTGTTATTGTATTTCGTCTCTTTGGGAAACGCTAGCTACCTCATCGGCCCTCAATACGGTGATGTGATGACGTCATCATTTGTCTTTACAATAAGACTGTCACCAGAGTCAACAATTTGAGGGCTTCATTCCGTTATGTGATTTGATTATTTTTCTATCGAACGAAAATTGTTTCTCCTGATGTCCTATCAATATCCATCTACTCCCGAAGAACGGATCAACGCCGCCCGCGGCTACAAAGCGTACGTTCTCTTTGACATACTTGATAAGCAAGCTTACAGAGTAATCTAGAGCTCTGCACAATGAACATGTCTCTCCAGAAGCAACGAAGCATGCACAGGAGATGCTACAAAGGTTGAATGAGCAAGAGGCCCTCCAGGAGCTCAGTGGAGAGAGCGTGCATGTACCTTATCATCGCCACGAACGACGGTCGTCAGGGGACGAGAGATCAAGGTCTCTTCAAGAGAGAATCAGTGCCGCTCGAGGTTATAAGGTGTATTCTGTCTTCTCATCACGTTTATAGTTGAAAAACTACCGAGAGAAAACGATTACAGGAAGGGAGAACTGATAAAATCGAGAGCTATTCACAATCCACTAGTCTCAGAAGAAGGCAAACAACATGCGTGGGACATGTTGCAGGTCATGGATGACGAGGAAGCTAGGCAGGAGCTATACCATCAGCAGGAGAGACCGAAGGACCCTCCGAGGATCGCTGTGGGGTTAAAAGCGCAAGGCTTCCCAGATCTGTTATTAAGAACATTATCTAATACAAATTTTAGCGCACAGAGAAATCCTCTCGTCAGCGAAGATGGTCGTTGCAGAGCTGCGAAGCACCTACATGATATTGAAAACAACAGCTCTGCGGAGTACCACCAGCAGGGAGATTGACGCCCGTGTACGGATATTTGATCTTTGAACTGTGTTGTTGTCATTTTAATACTGGACCATTTTCATGCATGGGACACAGACTATAACTGAATAATTTTTCTACGGTTTGAATACTTTGTTAGTTTATCTATCATAGAGAATCTACTGTACTATTTTGTCTCTAAAACTGTAGTACATTCTCGAATCTCTGTATTTTGCTTGCTTACTTATTAGTTCATCTCGTGCTACTACAAATTATATATTCCGCTCACTTTATTGTGTAAGAATCAAGATATTGTTTCTCTAACCATACCTTTATACCTGGCTGTTCGCATCAAATCTGAGAGCCAGAATTTATGGATGTGTTGTTTCTTGTCTGTTGCGCTGATCTCTGTCGGGATATCGTTTTTTCGAGACAAAAGGTCACTCTTTGTTCCATGGATGTGTTGGTATCACCAGCTTGGTACTGTGTACACAGTTAAGTGGACAGTTTATGCCAAAGCAAAGGTTGATTGATTCGTTGTATGAAAGATGTGTGTTTTTAGGTCAAGGCCCCATACCCCTGGATCCAAACGGGCGGGAGCCGCAGCTTAGCAAGATCACGTACAACATGTCTTTGCTTATTCTGACGGGAGGATAATGATGTCCCGACAGTTGGAATTACTAAGGAGTCGTGAGGTTAGCCATGAGTTGAATGACCGTATTGACGCTGTCCATGTTGATAAATTTTGCAGCGCGTAGAGTAATTACGCTGAACGGAGAGGTCAACGGAATACGTGTAGGCTAGGAAGGAAAAGCGGAGGATTGAACGTACACATTGAAGTACATTCAACAGCCATTTCCAAGGTTGTCTTGTTGGTTGAAGTCTCTCAGTTTCCTATTACTTAGAGCAAGAATGTAATGCTTGAGATTTCAGAATACCGTTCCTGTTAGTGTAATAAATAGCTACCTTTGTCCGCGTACTCACAGTTCATCCTTTACCAAGATAGAAACTAGAAGCTCAAACTTCAGAATTTGCAAAAGACTATTCTTTTTTATTATACTCTTACATGCATTCTAGCAACAAAGCAATTGTCGGGGCATATTCTCCCGTCAGAATAAGCAAAGACAAATTGTACGTAATCTTGCTAAGCTGCGGCTTCCGCCGTATGGATTCAGAGACATTGGATAAGGACTTAGAGGAAGACATCTATCATACACGAATCAATCAACTTTTGCTTTACTATAAACTGTCCCGCTTAACTGTGTACACAGTACCTAGCTGGTGATACCAACAGCAATCAACATTGGGCACCAGCTTCAGCCACATTTGGAAGAAATCTGGTATAGAGAGTTATGCAGACTGTCAGGAATGAGAAAACTGCGAAGGTAAGGTACAGCAAGAAGAATATTGCAATCTAGAGGGATCTCTTAGCATTGTGAGCCAACGTGTGGTTATAGTAATCGCTCTCACCTTGTCTTCATTTCCCCACCCTGTCTGCCACAACGGTTGTATCATGAATACGAGGAGACCAATGATGTAAGATACTATCGCATAGCAAATAAGCATTATTGGTGATTGCAGCACACACATATAAACCCAGTTTACTGCATGTCCTTCCTCGTGCCTGATGAGCTTCAGAAGGTTTGGCACACCATTTACGCATGTTTCACATGTGTCGATGAATACACCGAGGTAGAATGCCATAAGGACTGCAAAAATGCTCCATATTAATGTGCCGTTCCAAAATGCCCGAACTGTCCAGTGAGACAGAGAGGCTTCTGTCTCATTTATTGAGCTTATCGCTACGGACGCGAAAATGGTTCCCTGCAGGGCCGATATTCAGTATCCGAATATTCGCTTAGGAACTATAGCTTACGACAATGGTCACCGTGCTGTACTCAGTCCTTCTATTCTTCCGCCACAGATTCATAACGGTCACTCGATCCGGGTTATGTTCGGGCATCAGTAAGACCTGGTGAACGGCGAACTTCCAAGTTTGCCAAGGAGCCGTTAAAATATAACAAACTGTCTGTAGTAGCTTCATGATGCCCGTTATCGTTGCGTTTGACAATTGATAATCAATATATTCCGGAAACTGTCACGGACCTTCGGAAGTGACCCGGATTTAAAGTAGGAAGAATAGCGTTTTGCGAGCAGCAATACGTGGTCATCCAGTTTAATTAGGTTACGAGCGTCTTTTGTCTCCGAACGATAACACATCTCTAGTGTGAGTAATGACTAGTATTTATGAAATTCTAACTCCGTATTGTTAGAGTATCAAGAACTGCCCAAGGTCGTGGCAAGTGTTTTTACAGGATATTTTAGCAACTGGCATTCTGAACCGTGGAACAAGTTTTCTAGAGAATATGGGCTGGTTATTGTCAGAACATGGAGCAGTTTACTTACAGCTGCCTCCTTGTACTGTACTGGTTCCCTTCCTCCTCCTGCTTCCTTTGTATTCTGTATGTAATTATGGGGCTCCGAGGCAACTCTTTCAAGTCACTCGAGTATCCCATGGATCCTCTAAGACACGGAGGAATTGGTCCCATCCGCACATCAACTCTGGACCAACTCTGCAGATGCGTATTCAACATACCCTCTGCCTGCCACTCATTTAATCAATCAATCGCATATTCCTGATGATTCCGGTGGTCCTCATTCGCCACATGTTTACTAGTTCGTAAGCTTTTAGCTAGAAGACCGAACGCGGGGAAGTATTAAGCCATGGTACCATGGCTACACCATACTATACTTTCGGGGCCGACCATAACTTTTGCTTTACAGCCGCTCGGTTGCGTTCCTCTCGTTGCCTTTCGGCACGATAATTTAGACAAATGGCCCAGAATATGTGGCTCGCCCCATTTAGTCATGCCACTGGGTATGACTTTGGTCTTGGCTTGCGTCGAGGATGTGATCATCCCTTCCAATACTTGTGGAACCAAATCAAAAACTCCTTCAGATTTTGAGAGATGCTTCTCGAAGTCGTACACTTTCAAGCTCCTGACCTGTCACGACGCTAACGAAATAATTCTCCTCATTGCCGCCTACCGCGTGCACCACCACATTCTCCCCAAATTCGCAGTCTCTTTCATTCATAGCAGCCTCAGTGTACTCCTGGTAGCTGGAGGCTTTGACTCCATCCTCCTCTGAAAGTAGCAAAGTGCTCGCAAATTTCCGAGCGTCTGCATAGGACTTGAACACCCCTTCAATATGGGTGTCATGGGTTGGCTTCCGTTCGTGGGTGCAATAGGGAACATTGGTCTGCACCACATAATAAAGTGGAATTACAACCCGTCCGTTTTCATTATCACTCGTCAACTCCAAGTCGTTCGGAGATGTCGATACACGAAGTCTGAACTTCGTACCATCCGACGCAACGGCATAAACTGCAAGCCCCGTTCCCTCCGAGGCTGCGAGGTCTTCCAGCGCCTCGGGCTTTGTCTCAAAGGACGAGAACCATTCTCGCTCGTATCCGCTGTCGAAGAGCCCACGATGTGCAGCATCCTTGGCTTTTCTAATAGAAGTGTAGGTACCTAGGACTCGTATCTTTTCAATCTGCCCCTTTGGAGCCTTTGCCGGGGCGACCATAAGCATAACATGGTAAACACTTTCAGAAATAGTTTCAGCTTTCGCGGTCATATTGAATCTCGGAATTTTGGCGTCGGTAGATATAAATCTGCACGAACAGATGTTCGAAGGGAAAACTCGCCAGATTCCTCTTGGCCGTATTTATAGCATCTAGACAATTCGAGGAATATGCGGCGGCAGCAGGCCTAGACTGTGAGAATTGAGTGGTAGCCTATAATTTTCACCATTATCTTTTGCTGGTTGGCTTCGTCCCAAGGAATTTTGAAGGTAGATTCTCGGGCGATCGGACCCGAGAGGCAGCTACGGGATCGGGTGGAATGGTGTAGATGCAACTTTGAGCATTGTCACTTCTTCCAGAATCTGATGAGAGATATCATATGCAGAAAGATAGCAGTACCGTGTGGGCTCAAAGTGGGCTTCGCGAGTTCGAATATAATATGCTCGATCGGGAATGCCTCCTAGTAACCTCTTTGAATGGCAGGCTGGGGTCGTAATATGGCATTATCAGCATGCGCAGGTTCTGGAACATAGCTGTCTGATATTCTAGTGTAGCGTTGGTAGGTCTAGGACGATTATGATGACTGCTCAGGCGAAACCAGTATTTGGTGCAATTCCTAAGTGATCTACTTCCTACAAAGCATCTTTTGTCAAATAAACCCAAGCACATCAAGCCCTATTTTCCCTGTCCTTACAACCATAGAGGAACGAAGCAAAAAGTAGCGGATAACTCAAGAATAATCAAACTCCCTAGAGGATAGATGAATTTTACAAGGCTATCGATGATCCCACGCGGTAGAGATCTTGAGATGATGATGAACCTCCAGGCCCAGATCTCCGTAAATCGAGTCAAAACCTGATAGAGAGCGGTTAGCTAGTCTAATACCTTCCCACAGCTATAGATCCGTAAAAGGAAGTTTACCTGATTGTGTCTTCTCCATCTCATCACTCCAATGGCCCAGTTCGTCAAGTTGTTTATCCAGGGTCTCCATAGATTCATGTCTTCCCTTAGGGACAGTGGAGAAGTCTGGTCGGGGAACACACTGCCCGATAAGGAGGAATTGGGAATTAGGATAGTCAATCAATCTAGGCTGTAAAGCCACCCAGCGGTGGTTACCGAATATTTCATCAAAACTATACTCTTTCAGTAAGTGTATGATTATAAAGGAGCAATAGAAGCGGCGGCCGTCAGAATGATCGACTTACCTTTTAGGATATGTTGGGTTATTAGGAAGACTGAAAGACGGTGGACTGGAAGCCTTCGGATTCTTCGACTGAATAAGCCACCTTCCTCGCTCTTGAAGTCCAAAGTCCTTCTGAACAGGACCAAGATGTTTAGGGTCTATAAGCAAGTAGGCCAGATAGGAGCCATGTTGCGCCGAACTTATGGAATAGACGCCTCTCGCGAACAGCCTCGCATCGGGTATAGTTCTTGAGCCGCGGGTCCGGGTCTCATAATTCAACCCAGCGATAAATGTCTCCTGAAGTTCTTCCAAAGTTATCCCAGCCTTTTCCACAAAGCCTACCTCCTTTATGCGAGGAGATTGTGGAAAAACCTTTTAGGAACCACTATTAGTCGGAACCTTTCGCCGAACCTCTGTGGACCCTCTTGTTGATCCAAAGCTGACCTGCACGGGCTAGGACGGAGAACAATAAAGCTCCTTGCGACGTCGTAAATTCCACATGCACCAGTACTATCGATATCAACTCGAGATCGATAGAAAAAGTAAATGATGCCCCTCTCCAGGGTCTCCAAGGCACATGCGTGGTCTCGAGGGGCATGATGAGGAGCTGTCCCAATGGCGTCATTTTCAATTTTTTGGCTTTCGTGATTTGATGCGGGCAAAGAGTTATCTTCCTGCTTCACCGTGAATTCGTCCGCTCTATATTCTGGCCGATTGAGAATAGTATTTGGAATTGGCTCCAGTGATGTTTTGTTCGTTTTCGCCAACGTGATCTCCTCGCGGAGTCGTTGATGATTGCTACATGTGTCCTCCTCTTTCTTGGTCTTGAAAGGGGGAGAAATACCCCATCCAGATCCTCTTCCGAGAGCTGCCATTGCAGAAAGCGGTTTTCGGCCAGAGAAAATTTCAATATCTGAAATGAACCAATATGATGGGTATTTTCCATCAGGAAGCTAATAATTTAAGCCTCTTTATACAAGGTACCTAGCAATAGCATGAAGAAAAAATCGTGATATACTTGAAGAATAAATCCAGCGAGTAGGGGATCAATAGAGTTAGCACATTTAGGTTTACCTCCAACTCGGTCAGTGAGGCGGTGGTTGCTGTGCAGCATCACACCACACGATCCATTTGAGGCTATGGCACTTGAAGGACTTCGCTTTGTTTGTCGGCTCGAATCTCACCTCTCGTGTCTAGACCGTTCTAGACTCGATATATTATCGGCAAGAGATGTTTTGGAAACTGGAAGTGGCGGTTCCTTACATCTAGCCGTCGGCCGACAGACAAGGGGCTACCCATGGCGCAATCACTCTGAGCAAGGTGAAACTCTGAACGTACGACGTAGTCATAGGCACAGTCGTGTGACCGCCTACCCTACAGTCATTCCATATCACCGACCGGCTAAAACAACATTCCCTTCAGGATATTGGCTTCCAAATTCATCTTCACGACGCAGGTTCGATATGTAGAACCCGCGTAAGATCTCTCCCTAGAACCAGGATACACCCGCATCACTTCTGCCCGAACCCCTTTCATCATGCCCTTCTTAACATACAAACGTGCTATTCAGCTGCGTCAAAACCTGCAAGACACGCAGGCGACTGTCATCACCCCTGATCAGGAGGGCTATCCAGAGCTTATCAATAGATGGAGCGAGGCCAGCGAGAAAGAAGCTGTAAGCTAGCATTTCCTGTGGATTCCTTCGATTCCCTCCCAACACGATTATGCCTCTGCCATACATTTAACTGACCCGTCTTCCTATAGGGTGCGGTGGTGATTGTCACTTCGTCTCACGAAATCTCACTGGTGATCACCTTCGCGACTTATCATTACATTCCCTTCGTGGTCCAAGGTGGAGGTTTCAGCACGAGCGGCGCATCCTCAACCCATGGGGGAATCGTTATCAACTTGTCCATGATGCGCCGTGTTGTAGTCGATCCGGCCTCACAAACCGTGGCCGTTCAGGGCGGCGCAACCTGGGACGAGGTTGACCAGGCGTCAGCAAAGGAAGGGTTAGCAGTTGTTGGCTGCACGACGAGCGCTGCTGGCGTCGGGGGTACAACTCTGGGGGGCGGTTTTGGCTGGCTCACGGGACGTCACGGCCTGGTTATCGATAACCTGATCAGCGTCAAGATAGTCCTTGCAGATGGCCGCATCATGACCGCCTCCGCTGACGAAAACCAAGACCTTTTCTGGGCTATACGAGGCGCTGGGCAGAGCTTTGGCGTGGTCACTGAGTTTGTCCTACGGGCGCATCCTCAGCGGCCCTCTGTCTTTGGTGGTTTTATTTACTTGCCAATAGAGCAGCTCAGTGCTGTAGTCGAGTTTGCAAACCAGTTTGATACGCAAACAACAGGCGACGAGGCGCTATTCTTCGGCTTCACCACCCGCCCCCACGCCCCGCTGCCGATCGTGATTGTCGCTCTGCTATTCTATAATGGGCCAAGTACCGCGGCCGAAGCCTTCTTCGGACCGCTATTAGCCCTCGAGTCTATCCAGAACGAGACACATGAGATGCCGTACTTAAAGATGAACACTATCTTGGGCCGGTTCGTCGCCCCGGGGACCCGTAAGAGTGTCAGCGGCACGACGTTTGCCCTACCTTTGGACCTCCAGCTCATGCAGGAGGTCCACGACGACTTTGACAAATTCATCCGAACCTATCCGCGGGTCGAAGGTAGTGCAGTAATTTTTGAACTAATACCATACACGCGTGTAAACCAAATACCAGTCGAGGCAACCGCCTACGCTAACCGGGGCCGGTATCATAACGTTGTGTCTATCTTCCGATGGTATGACCAGGAATTAGATATGAAGATGATGAATCTGGAGCGTGCAATGATTCGCAAGATTCGTGACCGTGCTGGGGTGGTGAGCATCGCGGGACAGGGGGTGGGAGTCTATGCTAACTACGCGGGTACTAACTCCTCGGACTCTGTGAGCCAAGCTCTTATTAACACAATTTTAGGACACGAGACCAATGCGGAGGAGCTCTTTGGCAAGAATCTTCCACGCTTGCAGGAACTCAAGACAGTTTATGATCCGAAGAATATGTTTCGAAAATGGCACAATCTACTTATTCCTTCGACTGCACACTGAGTTGTCGCGGTATTCCACCTAGGGAGAGGGGGGGATATAAAAACAGTATGTCAACCGACATCCAGCTAGGGATACTATTGAGTCGTTTCTGAAGTTGATACTACCGCGGAAAGACTTTGACGGAAAGCTATTTGAGCCTATTTCAACCCCGAAAATTGACACGATTTTGGTGTGACTAATTTACTCATGAATACCAACGCTGGACGCCGAAAATGCATCTTATATTGTCATTACACCTCCTTCCGTCTCAATTCATTGCTTCCCAACCGGAGCCCCTTGATCATGCAGTAGCTCACTGATTACACCCATGCCCGCGTTGCGGTGTTCCGTTAGAGATGTCCATTGTTTTGCTTTTCGTAGAATATATGGCATCTAAAACGAGCGAGACATTAGTGACAACATTGTAAGTGGGCAAGGCTATCATATACATTTGGTCTGAATGCATCTCTACGTTTCCTCTGCTTATCTTGCGGACCCTCAAACTCAATCAATTAAAGAAACAGTAATGCACACGGCGTCGCTCATCTCTGATAGTAAGCATCTGGCACTTCGGGGAGATGAGTAGAACGACAAGCTAAACCCTTTTCAAAGGTTACGTCTTCGTTATGGAAGATAGCCGCCTACTGCAACGGAGCATCGTGTATAATCAAGCACCCACGACAGTGGCAGAACTTGGCATTTAATGGTTTGTTTTGTCTCAGGGTATATAAGATCAGCAATAATGTAAGCGCTCTTCTCCGTATATACCAGATTATTGATTCTAAGCTTCCAGGACCCAATATTCACGTCTCAGATCTACATTCTGGTTACTGAGGGGATAAACCCATCTGGAGATGCACGGAGTGGATTTTCCTTCCCCTTCAAGGCACTCTGCATGGGGATACATTGGAATCTCTAAGACAATTGGCGGGCCATGAAAAGTTGCTCTCAGGATTCCAAAACAGCTCGTCTAGTCCCGTTCTTGCCTCCCAATGATTCCACCCTGTAAATGCATCACCCCAGGAACGTGGGATACCACCGAAGTTGATAGATTCTGAGGTGACTTGGAGTATACGTATTAATCATATCTCCATGAAGGACGTGAAGTATAGTTCGTCGGCCACGGGAGTCCTCTATGGAAAAATGTGAATGTGACTCATTTTGCAATTACCCCTTCCGTGCACTTGCAGTCTTCTCCCTGAGCTACGCTATTAATGAATTCTAATCATCTTTCAGTGTGATTGATTGAAATCTGCAAGTTTTCTTTCCGGGAACATTGACGATGGAAGCGCTATCCTTGCTAATGGACTCGACGAACTCCTTACAATGGCGATACGACAAGGATAGTGGAGTCCTCGGTATAATTTTATGTTAATGAGACCTGAAGTCGTGTGAACTAGTATTCAAATAAGTAAATAGAAAATGCCGCGACTACTTGAATCCAAAGAATCGACGAACCGCTTTTTGAGAATGTCGCAGGTTTTGAAAAACGACCATGGGTTCCAATAGCCCGTGGCTGACAAGTGTTGTTGTTGGTATCACCAGCTAGGTACTGTGTACACAGTTAAGTGGACAGTTTATGCTTCTAAGCAAAAGTTGATTGATTCGTGTATGATAGATGTGTGTTTTTAGGTCAAGGCCCAATACCCCTGAATCCATGCAGGAGCCGCAGCTTAGCAAGATCACGTACCACATAACATGTCTTTGCTTATTCTGACGGGAGGATATGTCCCGACAGTTTTAGTGTAGAGGAATTACTTCTTGTTGTTTCTTTCTGACAAGATACAAGAAGCTATACATACACAACGTGAAGCTTAAATTGATTTGGAATATTTGGTTCTTCGTATAGAAATGCAGAAATTATTTCCGATGTTGCGGCCTTTGTGCCTGATGTACACTTTGTTGAGAAGAGAGATAGGATCTAGGAGGAGCGACAGTTTATGCCAGCAATTGTGTGATATTTTAGATGTCTAAGAAATCTAAGATAACTCCTGAACGGAAGCGTGCTAAATATCCACTTTACCATACAAGGCTAGTGTGTCTCAGGGAGGACGGCAGGATAGCCATCATGGCCTCAGCGGCATTGAAGACTGCAGAAACCTCACCACACTTGCCTTGTATCACAACGACAAATGGCGGGTGACCGCTAGTGAGAGCGTGACTGCGCGTAGACAGGGTGAGAAACTGGGTTGAGAGCGGGTGATCCCTTCGTCGCATTGATCCACCCAGCTGAATGAATAATGGCGATCTTGTTGCGGTATGACGTCATCAAAGGGTGGTATGTTTCCACCTCCCAGTATCCCTAACAAAAGCGGTCGAGTCTAGACCTAGCATCGCTTAATTATGGTGCCACCACTTACCCGCTCGAAATCTTTTAACTCTAGCAGGCTGCGGAGCCATACAATCACAGGCTCATTTACGTAGAGCCATGAGGAGTCGTCCGCAATGTCTTCGCATGATTCCCATATCTCGCAACTACCTTCGATTTTCTGACCCCTGAAGGTTTGTTTGCCAGTTTCATAAGATGGTGCACTGCTAACTCAGCACAGCGTAGTCCATACTCCAGACTGAGGGCAGTATCGTCCTCAGTTTCCACGTACTGACCGACCAAAGCGATATTTGTTGTGTCACGAGGAATAATATTTGGCCGGTCTCCATAGCGTCGTTTTAACAGCGGTGACAAGCCAAAAGGCATTAACCGGGGAACTGCAGTGGCAGTTGGAAGAATGCTTTGGAATGGAATATTGAAGTGCCATAACAGCTCTGCAAGGATTTCATCACCGCTGCATACGCACATAGGCTTCTTGATGAAATTCCCACATTCTTTCGGTGTAAGAGCATAGCCGAGTAAGAAACAAAGATTGTCCCGTTGACCTGTGAAGGCCGGTTGTTGTGGTAAGACGATTTTCAATGACCAATTGCTGTCAGCAACCGATATGAGATGTCTGTCTTGGGGTAGCGCGTGAGTTATATGTGCACAGATCACCTTGAATTCGGGCGCCGGGAACGTAGCCGTAAAGGTTTCGAGGAGAGATTCAGAAATTTGCGTGCAGAAAGTCGACGGGTTCCCGAATTTTGTAGATTTTGCAGCCAGATTGAACCAAATAGACCAGTCCCAATTCAGCAGCGTTTCTGCTGCTGCTTGGATGCCTGGAGGAGAAACTCCATTACTTCCAAATAGTGATCCGGATACTGGCGAACCGACTGTCACGATAACGATGTCATCTGTTGCCACCGGGAAGACAACAGACCTACCATTATCTGACGCGTGAATCTCGCAGACTGTCCTAGGCTCGGTATCTGTACAAAATCTTATATCTGATACTGAAAGCCTGGTCAGGAAGCTCACTCCCTGCTCCTGTAAATAGGGCTTGATACACTGGAGAATTGGCTTTTGGAAGGCATGCTGTAGTGGACTGGCAGATTGAGGACTTTTTTCTTGTACATAGTCCAGGTACTTGCAGAGATGCCGGTGGAATTCCATTGCACAATGCACTGGCCGGAGGCCAAAACTATTCACTCAGTTAATTGCGGATTTAGTATTCAATTAAGCAATGAAGGAGATGGGTAGCGGCCGACTCTGACTGACTTAGAGGAAAATAGTTCCCAGAGATCGGAGCCAAGGAAGGACTTGCCGAATATATCTTGGATTGTCTTTCCCTCGAAGTCTCCCTCGTCCTTCAGTAAAAATTCCACGATCTTCTTCCGATTCTCGGGCCAAACATGAGTGCTGCGATTCTTGATCTGGGAGTTACTTGGTTCTGAGATGAAGACCTCTGTGGGGTGTCTTGGTGCATATACCTCCGGTCTTCTCCCGTTCTTGCAGAGCAAGGGTGACTGAGGATCATGATTCCAGCCAGAGCCATGGGATTTTGCAACGAGGTCGAAAATACAAAGATCCTGACAAAAGGAAGGTGTTTCTGCTGTAAATGCCTGATCTATAGCAAGATCACAATAACCAATCTCCTCATCATTGGACTGAAATTCTGCCCCCAGTATATGGATTTGCCTCCCAGATACTTTTGCATTATTGATGAGATAAAATGCAGCCCCCAATGATTCAATTCCACTTCCTATCAACCAAGCGTCGCATATTTGACGGCCCGTAAAGGGTATTGAACTCTGAGCCATGAACAGCAACTGGGGATGTTTTCCAGCTTGGTGTGGTTAATGTAAAATTAAACAACGGTCGTGAGATGGCACCTCGTGTATAACACAGGGTTCTGACACAAGAAAATAAATAGTTTCACTGATTCGGTCTCTTCTAGTCTAGCCCATTATTTACACTGGCCCGTGCCCACGGTGGCTAAGAATACCGTGACACCACAAGCCAGAATGGTGAGATGAACCGACAAGATTTGATGATACCTTCTAACACTAATATTGCACTTCTCTGGAATTGAAATTCCTTGTGACACAACCTTCAACATGGGGTTCAGTGCACGTGTGCCGAGCCCAGGCCGCGGTCTATGTGATGGGGTATGGAGTCATATGATCAACTGAACTTTGACGTCAGAACATACTCATGACGCACAATATTGACGGCCATTATTTGCTCTCCGTATGGGGTATGTAAAAATGAAACCGACCGAAATTAAACCGGTAATGGAAAGAATTGCTCATAAAGATAATATAGCATATCTACGGACCGTATCTGAAGCATGATGGTGCTAGGTGGGTAGTATATAAGACCATCCATGGTTGCCGCCAAATGATCATTGCGACGTCAACTAAAGCTAATTGCGATTGAATTAAGACCCTATATCATGGGTAAGATAAGCATCGCGTTAACTGCATACTATACCACCTTCAGTTTCAAGTATACTACACAGTTTCCGATATATTCTCACGCTGCCCAAGACACCTATGGCATAACGGACAGTAAGTCTTGCCGGTGGAAAACCATTGTTCCAGGCAATTGTCATGGAATACGTGCCGGCAGGAGAGTGTGTGAATCAAGTTCGTCCTGGAAACTGAATCAAAACATATAGTACTATTTGTAATTTAGATCATAATCTCTAAAGGTTCTAATATGGGATGAGCTTACCAGGTAAATGACGGAGTAGACCCCAGCAGACTATCCGGCTCTGTCTGAACTGAATCCCACCATTGTGACAGGGGCTTCTTAGGTGCTGCATCTTCGAGTTCTTGCAATCTTTGTGCCTCAGATGTCAGGCTAAATGGTTGCATTATAGGATCAATCACTGCAGCGTCCAGCGACCGATTCCATATGGAAAAAGTTCTGGAGATTATTCTGTCGAAATGAGCGAGTGATATTCATAGGTAGTGGGTAATAGAAGTTAGAATCGTGATGACATTGACATACAAAATCATGATGGATGCATATATCACCAGTATAAGCACAAGAACGAGGATGCCTGCGTCGAAGCCTGAATTTGATGTCATACCTGACGCTTCGGCACAGCAGTCTTGTTGTTCAGATGAAGTTGCGGAAACTAAATAGAAGGGGTTCCAATGATGTTGCAGCCTTCATTATGTGAAGGCATTCGACATTCTAGCCTCACATAGACCGATAGCATTAATGTGGGTGGTGGGGTAAGTTTCAAAGGTCTTGTGACATACATGTGATTTCGCAGACGGGCCATGCAGCTTCACTGGATTCCCTCTGTAGAATGATGCTGGCTGACACGTCTCAGTTATTGAGGAATCTGCTAGCTGGAAGCTCGCGGGCCATATGCAGGGGTCAAGAATGGGACTACATCAAGGTGCAATCGTGAACTAAGACTATACTCCATGAAAAAGTAAATTAAAGCAAAGCTTTATCATGTTCCTCCTGTTAGGGTATAATATGTGCATTGTCTTCGGATGTCTTCGGAGTGGCTAGTGATACAGGATTCGGATTTAGTTTACGAATCGGAGGGAACTGCTCTACCTCACAGAGGAAAGTCATAGTTTACAACTCGTGCTGAACTTGAAACTGGTTAGGTAGGAGACCAAGAGCGGGGGAGAAACGAGAACAGGTGGAGAGACGACGCGACGCGTTATTAAGACCACACAATATTTCGATAATTCGTTCCCAAATGTCGTAAACAGAACTAAGATCGCTCCTTTACACAGAGTATCTGGTCATCCAACGTCTGCGGAGATGGTGGTAAATACGCGATAGGTGGCAATTCTTGTTTTCTGCTAGATTTTTTGCCAGCTACGCCTCGTTAAGGAACGCGGCAGGTGGGTCTCCATCGAATTGTTCCTTGTGCCCTCACTGTTTTTTCCACGTGAGCTCTTGATATTCAGCTGTTTCACATCTCTTTTCGGAGCTTGGGTCTCTAAGGCTTATAAGCTCGAGGCTGGGCAGTGTTACGGATCTACCGTAATACACAAGACTGTATTCATATGCAAAAGAAGTGGAAGAGAGGAGAGGTCTAATTTGGTACGAGCTCCTCGAAAGATAAATTTTCTCAATAATTACAAACAACCCTGGAAACGCCATCAATTGCTGGGGTGTGGCATCATAGGAACTAGAATAGCGGCGATCCCTAAATAGAAAGCAATTAATTTCTTTGCAAATTGGCATTTAACAGGCAGTAATATTAACTTGATTTCTGTCCATCACGCTCGGCTGACCAGCTCGGCTACGCCATGAAATCATCACAAGGCTGGTAGTAGAAATGCCGAGGTCAAGGATGCAGAAGGATCTGACCATAGTTTTCATAGGTGCTCTAGCTGTAGAGCATGCAGATGTCTTATCAGTCCAAGTCATTGATGTCGTCATATACCAGGTAGGAGACTGCAGAAATACACCCAATTAGAATTACAGAACTTTTTCAGCCTCCACCACCATCCCACAAAGCTCAGCCATGTACGGAGGTAATTACACAGTTAAATACTAGGTAGGTTATTCTATCACATCGGGATAAAGTTCAGATCATTTGAATGACACTAACCTACGCCACATATGCGTAGCTAATAAATATAGCTGACGTATGTATGTACGAAGTAGGAGATCACTATAGGTCGTGAAAATGTTATCTTATATAAAGACGTGTTCTCAGATCGCAATAATTAGCGTCGGCTAGGTCGGTATCGCTTTTGATACTCAATGAGAAGCTTCTAAGCACTCGACCTAACCAGTCGTATACTTGGGCCTTGGCTAAGCCTTCTCCTTGCGGCGTATACTAGTATGCAAAATACTAGTAAACGACGCTGTATATATGGCTTAATTGCGTTCAGTGACGAGCTTGAAGTGAGGCACATAAATATCGGTGTTATTCGTGAGATAACCTACATATGCACAAGAGTATTTGGGGAATTGAACCCAATAGTCCGCCGTAGCCGGGTTCTTGGGCGCTTTAGACACAGCTAAATGTATCATTTGTATAGTAAACTTATACACTTCAAACCAATTTGAATATTTTTGTATCTATAGCTACTTAAATACATAGATTTTATAGGCAAATTAGGCACATAATGAATTAGATATAAACTTGTTAGATAATTTTTGGTGCTTGCCACAGGGTCCGTTTGTTGAGGTTTCCCCAGTCTTCAATGATGGCTATCTTGTCATCCTCCCTGAGACACACTAGCCTTGTATGGAAAATTGGATATTTGGGAAGCGTGCAAAACACGCTTCCATTCAGGAGTTATCTTAGATTTCTAAGACATCTTCAACATTATACAATTTTTGGCACGTACCGTTGCTCCTCCTAGATCCTATCCCTCTTCTCAACACCGTTTGGGTCAGTTTGTAATAATGCAATAGATTATTCCAGGTTTACCATAGAAATTAATATTTTTCAAAATATTCCTAAATTGTTGGTATCACCAGCTATGTACTATGTACGCAGTTAAGTGGGCAGTGTTTATGCCAAAGCAAAAGTTGATTGATTGATGTAGATTCCAGGTCCTCGTCTAATGCCCCTCAATCCGTGCGACGGGAGTCGCAGCTGAGCAAGATTACGTACAATATGTCTTTGCTTATTTTTGACGGGAGGATATGTCCCGATATGAATAATTTTAGCTTGAAATAACTCATAATAGTATTACCTTTCTACATCTACAGTACCGGTATATATGTTATTATGGAGACATACAGCTAAAGTATGTGAATTTAGCCAAGTCGGTGAAACACATGAAAAGGTGGTAGGCATTTTTTGGGTCCGTATATTCCTCGCGACCGGATATCACTTGCCCATGGGACGGACCTGTCGGACTTCCTGAGCTCCGGGTAATAATACATCGAGCTAGACCTTCAGTGAATGACGCAAATCCTTCCAGCTTAACCATACAATTCAAATTTTTTAGACTTTACCAATCCATAAATACAATTATTTGACTCCAGCCACGTCCTCACAGAGTGAGGGGGTTTCGCGCCCCAATCGATTTTCTAAGTTATTTAAGACCACAAAGAACTTTGGCCTCATACTTGTCGCAATTTATTAGAGCGAGCCAACACAGACTCTCTGCCACTGATTACACCCATATTTGGGTTGAAAAGATGAACAGTGTGGATGATACAGGGAATTTGGTTCTTGATTTCGAGCAGCTGGCGCGCAGTGATGTCGCCATGGTCGGCGGGAAGAATGCCTCCATTGGTGAGCTAATAGGTGCGCTTGGGCCGAAAGGAATCGTTGTTCCACCTGGTTTTGCGACGACTTCACACGCGTATTGGCGTTATGTTGACTACAACAAAATGCAAGAAACGATGGCCATGTTGATCGCAGAATGGCAATCAGGCAACATGAATCTTTCCGAAGCTGGCCATGAAATACGCAAGTTGTTCCTCCGCGGTTCTTGGCCTCAAAATCTCTCTATTGCCATCAGGAAAGGCTATCGGGAACTTGCGGCTAAAGTGAGAAACGAAAACCCGAGCGTTGCCGTGCGTTCAAGTGCGACGGCAGAGGACTTGCCTGATGCGAGCTTCGCCGGCCAACAGGAGTCATATCTGAATATCTCAGGGGAAGATGCAGTGTTGGATGCCTGCCGTCGCTGCTATGCCTCTCTTTTCACAGATCGGGCAATCAGCTATCGCCAAGTCAAAGGATTCGATCACATGAGCGTCGCACTCTCGATTGGAGTACAGCGTATGGTCCGCTCTGATTATAGCGGGTCTGGTGTCATGTTCTCCATCGATACCGAAAGTGGCTTCGACAAGATTGTGCTCATCAACGCAGCATGGGGACTTGGAGAAAACATAGTACAAGGAACCGTCAACCCCGATGAATATCAAGTTTTCAAACCACTTTTGGGCGATGAAAGTCTGGTCCCGATAATAGAGAAACGGCGAGGAAGCAAAGAAATGAAAATGGTCTATGGTAATGGAGATGTACCGACACGGAATATACCTACCTCGAAAGCAGAGCGCGCTGCATTTGTACTAGGTGATCAGGAGATTCTCCAGTTGGGCCGCTGGGCATGCACAATTGAAAAGCACTATGGGTGCCCGATGGACATGGAATGGGCAAAAGACGGCATCACGGGTGAGATTTTCGTTGTCCAGGCCCGGCCTGAAACCGTTCAATCGCGTCGTGATGCTGGTGTCGTCAGAACTTATAAGGTTAGCAAGAAGGGCCGCCTTCTTACCACGGGGCTTTCGGTCGGGGACGCCGCAGTATCGGGCCGTCTCTGCCTCATTGAAACGGCAAAAGACGTTGAAAATTTTGTGGACGGCTCAATTCTGGTGACAAAAACGACGGACCCAGATTGGGTGCCTCTTATGAAGCGGGCGGCGGCTATTATCACCGACCACGGTGGGCGCACTTCGCATGCAGCTATTGTCAGTCGCGAGCTCGGCCTCCCAGCCATAGTAGGCACAGGAGATGCAACCTACATGTTACACACCGGCCAAGACGTAACTGTTTCGTGTGCCGAGGGTGACAACGGCTTTGTCTACGAAGGAATCTCCAATATCACTACTAAGACATTGGATCTCACCGGGCTGCCAGCAGTTAACACAAATGTTATGATCAATTTGGCCAACCCTGCAGCAGCATACCGCTGGTGGCGACTTCCAGCCGACGGCATCGGCCTTGCCCGCATGGAGTTCGTCGTCACTAACGCTATTCGGGTACATCCTATGGCGCTAGTCCACTTCGACCAGCTGAGGGACGCAAAGGCCAAGGATGAAATTGCACAATTGACGGCTGGGTACAATCACAAGCCTGACTACTTCGTCGACAAGCTATCGCATGGTTTTGCGGCTCTTTGCGCAACCGTCTACCCTAAGCCGACCATTGTCCGTATGAGTGACTTCAAGACAAATGAGTATGCGGGCCTCATCGGTGGTTCCGAGTTTGAGCCAAAGGAGGAGAATCCAATGCTTGGCTTCCGGGGGGCCTCACGTTACTATTCACCGCTTTATAAAGAGGGTTTCGCGCTTGAGTGCCGCGCGATCAAGCAGCTGCGCGAGGTGATGGGCTTCACCAACGCAATCATTATGATTCCTTTCTGCCGGACAATCGACGAGGCGGAAAAGGTACTAAACACCATGGCCGATAATGGGCTCAAGCGTGGCGAGCACGGTCTCCAGGTGTATGTCATGTGCGAGATTCCGTCTAATGTCATCATGGCCGATAAGTTTTCTGAGCACTTCGATGGGTTCTCGATCGGCTCCAACGATCTGACGCAGTTGACTCTCGGCGTTGACCGCGATTCTGAAGAGCTGGCAGGCCTATTTAATGAGCAAGACGGGGCTGTCAAATGGATGATCACACACGCAATCTCAGTAGCTCGCAAGACTGGTCGCAAAATCGGCATCTGCGGACAGGCGCCCAGTGATCATCCGGAATTTGCGAAATTCCTAGTTAAAGCCGGTATCAACTCTATCTCCGTCAGTCCCGACAGCTTTGTCGCTGTGAAGAGGCATGTAATTGCGAGCGAACAGCCATGATTTCCTCCTGGCAGCTGATATAAAGGACGGTTTCGTTCAGTATAGTGGTTTAGTATACTAATCTTGACCCTCTATCAATTTAAAATGTCTCGTAAATTCACACAATATGAAAAGGCGGATAGTTGCTCTCATCGCTAAATTCCGTTTCTTGTATCCAGCCGACGTTTTATGACATTCCAGAATAATGGACCTCTCGACTAGTGCAGGCATAGTGGATCGATCTCGTGCCTGTCTAGTTGACCGTGCTCGCTGTACTGCTTTACGTTTCTTGTTCTTTATGGTTTTCTTTTATGGTTTGGCAGCTTTAGCAGGAACATATGAGCCAGCAGGCGGCTCTTTCGGTCCCCTTTGCTCAGATGGGCCTGGAATGGTGCGAGAAATGCTTCTCTTGCGTAAATCTCAAGAGGTCACTGTCACAGCAGGTGCCGCACGTTTCTAAGGCGTTCTAATATCAATGAATTGAAGTCCTCTGTAGGGACGATAAAATGCATCAAAATAACTGGGACTATGTACCGTAGCCTAGTCAGGACTGTTGGTTAGTTTTGCGAAAAGTCAATAATAGCGAAATCGAATGGAAGTTCGAGCAGTCAGGTGCGACGCGTTGTTTAGAGCCAAGAATTCGCGAACATTTTGAATACGCTAAGTGTACTGAGGTGCAAATACTCTTGAAACACCACTGTAGATAACTGGGCTTTGTCTCGTCTTAGCCGTTAAAGTTAGTTGTCGTTGAAAAGTGGAGAGTTCATTACAGTGACCTCGGATTGGTCCATTTCCTTCCCAAATTTTGTACGTGTTTGTATGTAATATGCGGGTAACCTTTCGACATCGGTATGGTCACTCGAATACCCGGTTACAGCGCCATGGGACAGCTCAACCTGCGACTTTTCCATTCGTTCGAGTCCTTTCCTTTCTTGAATCAATCTACCTTTCTCTGGATGATTCCGGCAGTTCTTATTCGTTCCAATTCATACTAGCCTATACCAATTTACCCTGTTTTGACATTAGTTTAGCATCCCGCTAAAAACATAAGGAAATGGGCCAGTCTGGAATCATCCAGCCTTAGTGGCATGTTACCACTCCAGATCTTCGACACACTTCAAGAACAATTACGTCCTAAGTGTGTAACCGTTCTCTTGGTGGAGCAATCGTCCGACTGTATATAATCCATCAACTTTTGCAACGCCTCTCCCTAGTCTAAATTCATGTGGTACAATGTGGCTATCCTGTCTCCTTACATCTCGCCATCCAGGAATCTTTATTAAGAGGCGGTGGCGACGATGTCTAACATTGGTCATTATCAGCCTCGTTGTGTTCTTCCTAATCGCTCAGAAGATGTGTCCTATTTACCATTTCTCCTCTTCGGAGAGATGTCAATTTGACTAACTAGTGGACCTTCCGTTGACCTACTTCAATGTGGCAAGAACACGAAACTACTAACAAATGCTGCCCAATAGGGCTCCGTTGTGAATATGTCAGTGTTTAAAAGCTATTGTGACATGGTCAGAAGGCTTGCTTAAACGTAACTCTGGATAGAAAAGGGCTCGCATGCTGTTATCGCAATTGGATATCCTGGCCCCCAAGCTCGTCCTACAGTTTCATGCATCCACGATATATCCGATGCAGCGAGCGATACAGTTTGTTTCTTTGGCATACAGGGTGGGATCAAAGTAAGTGCCCATCAGATTATGCTGGCTGTGTTGTTATTAGGAGACTACTGATCACGTCCTGGGATATAACCAGATATTGTATGCTCTATTTGCATAACATGTTGTGTTGAGCCGCACTTCTTTCACCGTCTTTTAACAGGGTTACATACTAAATCCGTTCTTCGTTATACATCTTTTGGAATGTCATCCGAGTCTCACATTGCGGTTGTATTTATCTTTCGTTCTTCCCTACATTACCGTTATATTTTCGACTGGCCCATTGTTCCCGTCGGTAATTTGAAACAAATTTGTAAAGTTCCCGGGCCTAAATTTCTAAATTTCTGAGATCCGCATTTCTCTTGCCTTGTAGGTGATACAGAACCAATTCATTTTTGAAAAATGGCAGTTCTGTGTGTTGAGGAATCAGACTTATTCACCGCTGATGAACTGTATCGTTTAATATCGTTTTTGTATTACAGATAGTCGTATTCGTGGAGGGTTTATATTTATCTGAGAGTGGATAGTAAGGCACGGATACTCACTCCTTAGAGAACACCTTAGAAAGCGGTGGGCGGCGGTCCACAGTGGTTATCCATGCTGAATTCCCAAATACATATTCACTTTTGATGTACTTTGAGGGATACATGAATGACATAGTCAAGCGAAAACGAATGAAGTAAAGAGACTACCTTAATCAGCCTAAGTAGATATAAACGTGTGATGCAAGTTCTAGACGGTCCATGTTGTCTGATGCATTCAGCCCCACTGAGTTCTGATTAGTCGCGGGGGCTAACGGGCCCTTAGAGATTAGAGGACCTAGAGACGCGTTAGTAAAAATCCCTTATAAAGAATTAGCGAAACCCACGGGATTATAGGTCGAAGCCCTACCGGAATACTAGCGATTTACGTTATTGAGCCTGCTTACTCAGATCGCCTCTCGGGGGAGATTAGTAAGCAAATCCGCATTACTCAGGTCATGGTCAGTGATCAGATCAGGACGTTATGGTCAAGCTAAGTGAGCAAATCAGCATACTCGGATCAGGCACAGTGAGCGGATCAGTCTGATTATGTAACGATCACTGAGAAGCTCATGTCGCTCAGGGGCGTGCTCAATTCTACTCAGTAAGCAAAAGCAGCGAGAGGGTAAGCACTAGAACGAAGGGAGAACGCCAAGCGTTGCCGGACAAAATCCGGTGTATATGTGATTTGTCGCTGATTGGTAAACCTGATGGGTGAACCAACTCCAATAACCCCTATTTATACATCGTGTGGGGTTGGGGACAGCCAAGTCGGCCAGAGAATATCGAAATGAGCCGAGTATCAAAAAGCAGACCACCAGATTAGGAATTAACTCTCAAGCAAGAGGTTGGTTTGTATCACTCAGGGGCTTTTGTTTCCACCCCCGCACCAGCAACGGCCGTCTCCGTCGCGCTCCACTTGGACCACGATATCCATGTCCTTTTCGCGAAGGTAATTCACTGTCCGTTGGCGAACATCTTCGAGATCGGCCCCACGGGAAGCAACCACGTGAATCACTCCGAGGACTTTCTGGGCCTTGTGTTCATGCGTATGATCGTGGTCGTGACCGTGGTCATGACTATGACCATGATCATGGCTATGAGCGTGGCTATGATCCTGATGGCTGTGGCTGTGGCTGTGGCCATGATCACAACCGCCATGGCTAGAATGATCATGACCATGGTCATGACCTGAAGACGACGAGCTGGTATCATCAAGCCAGAATTTCGGCACGGTGTAGCTCACAACCCCTCTTAGGGTACTCACTCCGGCCAGGGTTTCACGAACATTATACTCGGTATCCGCCGGTAAAGTGAGAAGTAAAGTTTTGGCCGTGCTACTAACCAATGGCACGGCCGAGGCAAAGATCAAAATAGCGATAAAGCATGATGCCAAGGGGTCATAGCCTGACCATCCCGAATAATGGACGAGGATGGTTGAGATCACCACAGCCACTGAACCAAGCGTATCGGCAAGAATATGCAGGAAAATGCCATGCATGTTCTCATTGCCATGAGAGTGGTCATGGCCGTGGTCATGACCATGGTGATGGTGTCCGTGCTCGAAGCTGAAAATGCCGACCAAGTTGACAAGCAGGCCAGCTACACTAACGGCGAGCAATTCACCGATACGGTGCATCTGGCTACCGGAAGACAACCGCTCCACCGCTTCGTAGATGATCTCCACGCTTATGATCCTATTTATTGTCAGGATACAACCCAGAGTTTGAATATTAGAGAACCTAGAGGGAAAATGCACTGACATGAGGAAGATACCATTGGCAAATCCAGACAAGGTGTCCACCTTACCATAGCCATATGGGAACCGCGCATTTGGCGGCCATTTGCTCATGACAGCAGCGCAAAGTCCAACAACGAGAGCAAGACAGTCGAAGAACATGTGGATACTATCGCTAAGCAAACCGAGAGAGCCGGTGACAAAACCGTATGACAGCTGAACAAGCATGAATGTAAAGTTCAGGCTAGAAAAGATTAGTGGGGGAATAGAACAGCCATGAGGATGTACAACCTACCACATGAAGTAGAAGATACTGCGAGAATCTTTCTCCTTGAGGATGCTATGCAATAGCGGATAATCCTCACTGCGATGGAGTAGCCACTTTGTGACTCGGGTGGTTTCCGTGCTGCCATGGGAATGCCCATGGTGGTGGTGACTATGGGCGTGTATGTGCGTATGGGCGTCTAGACGAAGATGGCTGTCATCCATTCGGGCAGCAAAGAATGAGACAGCGGCGAGGATACCGCGAGCGGCATAGATAAATAGGTGATCGTCTTTGATATGAGTAGAGCAGAGGAGCGCCGCTGTCGCAGTGCTGACAGCGAGGCCAACTTTATCAGACGAACGAAGGCCCGAGGGGAACCAGATCATCAAAGACATCGCAAATGATACCGCGGCAGGCAAAAGGTAGATCAACTCCCACGAGCTCAATGGCAAGCCACGAGATACGATGAGGGTTAACCCGGTCAGGGAAGCTCCGGTGATGAGCGCGAGAGGTGCATCAATGGTAACGACAACAGATGATTGGCCCGCATCCGCGGCCTTGCTCTGAGCCATAGACTCGGCAACGAGGCCCGGCTCTGGGATGGGTCCCTGGCGGCGAAGCGTCGGAAATGGAGGGGGAGAACAAAGACGGATGTCAACAGTGCCACATATCCCACGAGCGGCGAGGAACCCCAAGGCTGATTCATACCAATAAAGCTCAAAAGGACAACTGCCACCAAAAGCGCAACGGTAAAAATCTTTTTGCTGTATCTCTCAGAGGGTCCGCTTTGAAAGGTTGTGTTGATCAGATTGGGTAGCCCAGAGGCTGTTGCAAGAAGAAGAGCGAAAGCTACCAGGAAGCCTCCCACTTTCAATGCAGCGTAGACTGGCAACCCAATAGAGAAGACTTGCTGCAAAGCCAATTGCGCCGTCTTTGCCCTGGCTGCTGGAAATTTGATAGGCGACGCGCTCATAGAACCACCTTGTAGGTGATTCTTCCTCAATATTTGACCGCAGCCGAAGGTGAGGAGGGTCATAGCAGTCACGAGTCCAACCTTTGCTCCGACTTGCTCGGCTGACCCAATTGCTGCAGTTGTCGCATCTCCTGGAATCTCCGTCGGAACACAACTCCGCGAATACCACGAGAGGGCAATCCAAGGCAATGCGATGAGGGAGCCGGTGCATATCTCATTTCTAGAAATCGATATTAGCTTATCGCTCAATGATCAAGAGCGAACCACCTACGTCAACTTTGCTTTATCCGCTTGCGCTAGTGACCCCATTTTCATATCATGAGTATGGTCATGGCCGTGGGCATGGTCATGGTCGTGATCATGGTCGTGGCCGTGGGCATGCGCATGCGACGCATCATGGTGGATCGAGGACGCGGTATGGGTGTGATGATGGTGTCCAGTCGAATGGGAGGAATCCGTATGGTGATGATGAGACACGGACGACTGTGAGGCATGGCTATACGAATAGCTACCACTCACAGCGCCGGTCGGCTCCGATTGCGGTGGGCTGTTGGCATTGGTATGTCCCTGCGAGAGGGGAGGTGGCGGTTGCGCCCAGCGAGCAGATCGATTGTGACCGTGACCGCGACTCCGGCTGTGACCGTGTGCATGTCCCACAGGTGGAGCAGCGATATCCGCGATCGAGGGCAACGCCCCCGCTGACATTGTCTCCTTGGGTGTTGGTGCGCAGTTGGACAAGGGATTCGAGCGGCGGCGAACAGAACGGACAGGGGCGGCGCCAAGAACCTGGGGGGGGCGTAGCGGAGCCAAGAAAGCTCAGATCGGGGGGTTGGGTGTTGAAACAGCACACAGCATCGCGCAGGGAGAATCAATCGGAAAGGAGTGCAGCAAGCACCGATATGCCACGGGGCAAAGGAGGGAATGGGTGACAATAAGGAAAGGAGACCAGTCGCGCCGTAGTTTGCGGAGAGTCGGGCTGAGGCCTCGACCTCCGGGGGGCAAGCGATAGCGATCATTACGATAGGGTAAGGGAAATACAAAGATACACTACACTTAGCTGCGGATAATCCTGCTCTATATGAAAATGATATACTTTAGAAGCTCAAAAAATTAGCTGAATATTGATTCACAGTACTGATAGCCGTTGACTTATGTTCTATAGACTAAAATGTTCAAAACTCTAGATGTTCCGTCAATAATACATGATCTCGTTCGTAATATGGCGTATCTCCCACCACGTGACCCTTATCTAAACTGATAAGCCGTCACTTTTGGACACGCGGACGACCTCGGCCGATCTGGTGGATTGGGCAATCCCAAGATGATCGAATCACTCATTACCATTGCATTCTGCCTGTCCAGCGTGCTGACGGTGGTGATTCTACTGCTCCCCTCGCAGTATGTTCCACCGCAGTCATCTACCGGAAAGACGGAGAAGCAGAAGCCGACCGTACAGATTCTCGTCTTGGGGGATATTGGACGAAGCCCGCGCATGCAATACCATGCCCTAAGTATTGCCAGGAAAGGTGGGAAGGTAGTTATCATTGGATATAAAGGTGAGACTCTCTTCTATTCGGAAGCTCTTTATTGACTATAGATCTAATTGGCTGATTGTATGCTTCGCTGGATAGAATCCGACCCCCACCCTGATATCGTATCCAATCCAAACATCACCATCGTCCCCTTGCGTCCTCATCCGGCCATCTTACAGACCAGCAATAAATTGCTATTCACGATATTTGGGCCATTGAAGGTTCTCTTCCAGGTCGTTTGTCTCTGGCAATGTCTGGCATACACGACCGCCCCCGCGCGGTGGATTATCGTACAGGTAGGTCGATAACTCCAATGAGAATGGCATGGATCCAGGCTGACTTTCAATAGAATCCCCCCTCTATTCCTACGCTAGCAGTGACATCCTTGTCTTGCTTCCTACGGCAAACACGACTCATCATTGATTGGCATAACTTTGGATACTCGATTCTTGCACTGAAGCTAGGCGACACCCACCCTCTTGTTAAGCTATCGACTTGGTATGAAAAGACCTTTGGCCGTTCGGCTTCAGCCCATTTGTGTGTAACAGATGCAATGGGACGGGTTTTGAAGAAGGATTTCCAGCTTCAGGCTCCCATTCTGTCATTACATGACCGGCCAGCAAGCCATTTTCATCCCATCGCCAGCCCGGATGAGCGCACCGCGTTCCTTGCAACTCTCCCCGAGACTGAGTCTATACGCCCGCTGCTCAAATCCGGCGCCGTTCGTGTCCTAGTGAGCTCCACATCGTGGACTCCAGACGAAGACTTTTCAGTCCTCATTGAGGCATTGGTAAAGTATTCCGAAGTTGCGGTGACCCAGCCACACCTTCCAGAGATCCTGGCCATCATTACTGGGAAGGGACCGCAGAAGGAGATGTATCTGAAGCAGATCGCAACCTTGGAAGCTGCAGGGAAGCTTCAAAGGGTCACCATTCGCACCGCATGGTTGACGGTGCCAGACTACGCGTCTCTATTGGCATCGGCGTCGCTGGGAGTCAGCCTGCACACCAGCAGCAGTGGCGTTGACCTTCCGATGAAGGTTGTTGATATGTTTGGTGCGGGACTGCCGGTTGTTGGCTGGAGCCGGTTCGAAGCCTGGCCGGAGCTGGTGACAGAAGGTGTCAATGGGATGGGCTTTGGAAGCTCAGCAGAGCTGACAGATCAGCTGGTCGAGTTGTTCGGTGATGATCAAAAACTGGATCGCCTGCGGGCAGGTGCTCAGAAAGAAAGCTTGCGTCGATGGGATGACGAATGGGATCCCATTGCTGGAACTTTGCTTGGTTTGACATAGATGATCTCAGTGATGAAATTTGTATGAAACGGCTCATTAGAAAACCTCGTCAGCCAGAAGCTTTTTCGTCCAGATCTTTTAGAAAGCGATTTCGCTGTCCTGCATCCACATCACATCATGCCAGAATCTAGATGCTGGCCTGGAATTTGCCCCCACAATATAGGCACGTATCAAAAGCCTCAAAGAGATTTCTGAATAGAGGGCAGAGATTGCCTTCGTGAATTCGAGCAATCGTCTCTTCGTTGATGTATTCTGCCCGACAACGGGAGCAATACTTGGATAAGCCGGGTTCTTGAATGGCCAGGAAGCTCAGCCCACAACGCACTAGATTTAGATAGGTTAGTTGAGGTCGTGTTTTAGTTCATTGCACAACATACCAAAGAGATGGCCCTCTGCGCATTGGGCCTCGGTGGCTGAAACCCAAGCAATTCCCGCGTCGCAAATCTCGCACTTTTCGAACATATGTGCTCCGGGGCCGCTGAGTTGCTCAATCGACTTTGCAGATAATGTCGGGGATTTCTCATCGCATCTGGCAATTTCTTCGGTCAAGTCCGCACCTGTCAGGACTGCGAGCCGTATTAATGACTGCCGAGCATGGGATCGAATAGCTTCGCCCTTTTGATCGACAATGGCGCAGCAAGCCAAGGCATATATGAGTCTCTGGCTCTCTGGATCTCCTTCGGCTATCTCATCCATGCTCGACAGCACATACGATATCACTGCCTCCCGCTGATCCGCCGGGGACCACGACTCTGTAGCCGAGATAGTCGGAGCAAGAAGTGTCTGAATATCAGGGGAGTAGTCTGAGTCCTCAGAGGCAAATGCCAGGACTGACTTTTCATCGGAGGTGACCCTATATTCGATCATATCCGTTGGGTGCCTGGAGAAGAGCACGGCAACCACACCGCGATAGGAAGCAAGTCCCCAGATTCTGGCGACACTCTGTCCACCCAAATCGCGATCCAGGTCAAATTGTTCGAGACGGTCCTCAACAATCTTCCTCCACTGCGGAAGTCTCGGACTATTATTAGCTCTAGATCCATCCAGGTTGAGAACGATTCCCAGTCCACTCATTGTGCCTAAATGAAGGCTCAACACGCCGCTTTTCTCATCACAAAAGGCAGTCATCCCTATCAGATATCAGTAATCAGGTATTTACCAATCAATTTGGCAGCGGGCGTACCCGAAATTGGCTCCATGTATCTCTTTGGACCTTCACCGTCCTCTTCGGCGAGAATGGATAAAGGCCACTCATGGATATCAAGCTCATCGGGTGGGGTCGCACTGCCAACATACACAGCACGAGGAATGGATACAGCCAAAAAACCAATATTCGTGGGAGCTGTGAGAGTAATCGCAGCTGATTGATCCTATATTTGATTTCAGGTCAGCGAGTGTGGATTTCGCTAGTTCGACATTCAACATACGGTAGAAGCCCAGTTGAGTGGGCCATTCACAGGGCGCGGGGTCCATTTCGAGGAATTTATGCTTAATGGATGATCCGAAAGTCTTGCTGTTGCCTCATATTGGATGATAACACCATCAACCGGATTGGATGCAAGCAAGGTCACCGTGGTCTTGAAAACTCGTAGTTGTGTCCCGAAGACCGTAGCAATAACGGCGGTAGCAGAATAGAAAATATCTTCACTTGTTCGAGGCACCTCAAGCCACGGACCACAACAGACTGACAAGGGCCGTGCTTTCCCTTGAAGCGCACTCCGAAGAAGCGATGCAGAGCAAGCTTGTGGATAACGTTCTTGGCCATCTTCCAATGAGTAAAGTGCCAGCTTGTCGATAGAGTAGGGCACGGAGGAGATTTTCCCGTCCACCAATCTCCGCACGCGTAGTAGAATGGCCTCATTGGCGTCGTTGGTCACCACAAGTAGGTGTACACCCCAGCGAGATTCAGGCTCGGGTGCTAAACCCGCATTCTGAGAGGGGGGCGCAAGTAACGGTGGACACCATTGGAAAGACCGAATATTTGATCTTCGCAGTTCCAACCCAGTCAGTTGAGCTGGTGCTGTAGGATCAAGGTGGAAGATGTGATTCACGATGGCGACTCGTGTCCATTGGCCTTGGATGCCAACTGGCTCCCATAGAGACAGGAGGAGATTCGATGTCAAGACAGCGAGCACACTCCGGCGAAACCGGCCTAGGCCTGGTGGAGACCAAGCAACACCCACCACTGTACCAGTTGACTGCTCGGCTGCAAGGGAGAAATCATCTCGATTCTGGGGTTGGATAAACTGCCACTCGGCAACAGTGAAGAGATTGACACGGATGCGTGTAATGTTCCACTCATCTTGGTTTTTAGGCCCTGATGAGTCTGTATCCAATTTCTTTGGTGTCTATAAACCTATTAGCCTCTCGTTGCTCACCAAATATCGATTTTTGCAGATGCTCGACATACCAGAATCTGGACATACTCGCCCGCGGCCACGGCCAGGTCGCCGTCTGCTGACCAGGAGAGGGACTCAAAACAAGAGGGAGAGAAAGCTAAATCCACAGGACTCGGCATAGTGGATGCCAAATTCAAATCATCGATCTCGTGCACTACTCAGTCTTTCATCTTTGGTGGGTGAGGTGGAAGGGAATACTTCGTGCAAAGCGCGCTGGTTCCGCGTGTTGAACCCACCCGATCGGGACTAGCGCCATTCCGATATCCTTGCAACAATCAACAAGTAGTGCAGTGTAGACAACGAAGAACGCAAGCACGCATTCTAATACAGGAATTAATCTACCCTTTCTGCTTTGTATGATTATCTACGGTCTGATACCAAAGCAGCAGAATATCGGGAAACCCCATGACACCGTCGTGGATCCACTCTGCTTAGCTCTCTTCCAGGTTGGCGGCTACCATCGAAAAAGATGAAATCTAATAATCTTGAATTCTTTTCTTGTTGGAACCTAGATACTTCAATTTGATCACAAAAGGCTCGCCATAATATATACAAGGGGGATGGAAACACTGTACTCAGTGTTAAGAATGCGAGGGTATCATGAAGATGTTTATGACTGGATCCGACGTAAGACTTAGTCCACGCGATCCAGCTTCTGCACAACCATTGCAGTTGCGGCACCACCACCGTTGCAGATGGCAGCCACACCATACTCACCAGGCTGGAGCTGGTGGAGAAGGGTGACGAGAATACGAGAGCCGGAGCTGCCCAGAGCATGGCCCAGGGAGATAGCACCGCCCAGCATGTTGACCTTGGCGTCTTGCAGGCCGAGGATCTGATCAAAGATATAAGTTAGCACCAAATTCAGGGTCAGGGAAGTCTCAGGGTATCATTTGAGGTATTCTCACCTTCTCGTTAGCCTTGATCACCGCAGCAAAGGCCTCGTTGAACTCCCACACGGCCACCTGGTCCTTGGTGATACCCGCACGCTCCAAAGCAATGGGGACAGCCTTGGCTGGAGCCACGGGGAAGTCAACGGGGTCGATCGCAGCATCGGCCGAGGACACAATACGAGCCAGAGCGCGACCACCGCCACCGAATTCCCGAGCCAGAGCCTTGTTACCCAACACCAAGGCGGAAGCGCCGTCGTTCATGGTGGAGGCATTGCCGGCGGTCACGGTGCCGGTTCCGTCGCGCAGGAAGGCAGGCTTCAGAGTAGTCAACTTGTCGATGCGCAAGTTCTCGTAGCCCTCGTCCCGTTCGATGATGGTCTCGCCCTTCTTGCCCTTGACAGTCACCGGGGCGATCTCGTCGGCGAACTTGTTCTCCTTCCACGCCTGCTGGGCCCGCTGGTAGGAGCGGATGGCATACTCATCCTGGTCCTTGCGTGATACCTCGTACTTCTTCGCCGTTTGCTCGGCACAAATACCCATGTGGAACTGGTTGTAGACATCCCAAAGACCATCCTTGATCAGGCCGTCCTCCAGCTTGATTTCACCAAAGGGAGGCAACTGGCTGGAGCGGGGCATGTAGTAGGGCACTCGAGTCATGTTCTCCATACCACCCGCCACCTGAGCCTCAGCCAGACCCAGTTGGATGTTCTGGGCTGCCAGCACAACAGCCTTCAGACCGGACGCGCACACCTTGTTCACGGTCATGGACTCGACACTGGAGGGCAGGCCTGCGAACATGGACGCCTGGCGGGCGGGAGCTTGGCCGACTGATCCCTGCAGGACATTTCCCATGTACACATCGGTGATCTTCTCCACGGGGATATTGGACTTGCTCAGAGCGGACTTGATGGCGACCGCGCCGAGTTGGGGAGCGGAGACGGAGGCGAAGGAGCCGTTGAACTAGAGAGAGAAAGCACAAGTCAGTACGTCGAGCACTGGGGGTCGTTGCGGCTAGCCCGCTCTCGTCAACAGGATCTTACCTTGGCAGTCGGTGTACGAGAGGCACTGAGAATGTAGGCATCCTGAATCTCCTTCAAGGCCGGGCGGGCGGAGCTAAAGTGTCGTTGAGCGCGGAATGCGGGGATGGCGCCTCGCGTAGGGAGACGGGCAGACAGCCCTGCGGCGTTGATCATGACGAGAAAGAGGTGAGATTGAACCCGACGGTCAATTCTGGGAGAAGAATGATCAACGAGGACGAAGAGAAGGGTGAAAGAGAGAGGAAGGAGAGAAGTGGCATGCAGATAAGGAGCATACCATGCCCGCCTCTTTACCCGCTGGCGAGCCGCCTGTAACCGCTGAGCCGAGGCTGTAAGCCAAGTCCATCCACATGATATCATTGGCCTCCAACCTAGGGAGGGACTAAGTTCTTGCGGGATCTATATGAGTGACAAGTCAACGAGCTGTAGAAATTCCACCCTCTAGATTAAATTTATCCAATCAATATATTTGTCTTTCTCTAGGGAATTATCTCCAACCTTCCTCCTGGAACCATTTAGGACCTAGGTAGTGCTGCCTCGTTCATGCCTGCGGCACGCGCCCGCACTGGGCACTACATATATATCTTGCGATTCCAGCGACTTTGAAGAGAGGGTTTGCCGGTCCGCAGCAACAGAAAAAAGGCATGTTATTAATAAAAAGTTAGGTAGACAATGTCATCCAGATATATACCCTCGGACGAAAACAAGAACTCAGTAGAAAGTCCTCATAAGTATACACAATGTCGAGACCCTCAAGTCCCGGATCAACAAGTCGCCGGTCGTCAAGCCGCTTGGAACTCAAGCTAGGACTTGGGAATGCTTCTCAAGGCTGGAATAAAGTTCTGACCGTTTTCTTCCGCATCAAACGGATCTGCTTCTACCCGATTCTACAAACGAGATTCGAGGCTCTGACCACTCCCGGGCTGAAGGCTTCGGATTGTTTCCGCGAGTCGGCTTGATTGAGATAGTTTGTCCGGTGTAGATCCGGGTCCGATTAGGATATTTAGCCCGGCTCCCCTCCTCCCGCTTTCTCCAGTCATCGCCAGTCGCCTCGTGCAGCAACATCTCGTAGCTTCTTTCCCTCTGCTTCCAGTTCTCTCCTGGTTGCTCGCATCCAGCTCCAGCTTATGCCAGCAGCCTCTCTCTAAATCGCCTCATCTACACTCATATCACCATGTCGACTTCTGCGCGTCGCCGTTTGATGCGGGACTTCAAGGTACGTTCGACAGCACCATATCGAAATTGGGTATCGATTCGAACCTTCGACTGGTTCGGATAAGAATCATTCCCACAAAGACTTTGTGGCAATAGGCCTTGAATGGCCTCTTCCCAATTCCCCATCTTCCCACGCTACCACCAAAGGTCCTCTGAGAAGGTTATTTGCCCCTCCACTAACCACGAGCTTCTGCTATCACAGCGCATGCAAACCGACCCTCCCGCCGGTGTTTCCGCATCTCCCGTTGCCGACAATGTCATGACATGGTATGTGCATATCGTCTTCTCGGCTACTGCCATGGTCGGTGTCGTTGGCTAATGACTCGACAGGAATGCCGTCATTATCGGCCCCGCCGATACTCCCTTCGAGGATGGCACATTCCGCCTGGTGATGAACTTTGAGGAACAGTATCCCAATAAGCCCCCGGGCGTCAAGTTCATCAGCCAAATGTTCCATCCCAATGTCTACGGAACCGGCGAGCTTTGCCTCGATATTCTCCAGAACCGTTGGAGCCCCACATACGACGTGGCTGCTATCCTGACGAGTATCCAGAGGTACGAGCTCACAATGACACGGTTCCTTTTTCAGAACGTAATGGCATGATACTGACATGAATGGGATTCCCTTCTAGTCTCCTCAACGACCCCAACACCTCCTCTCCGGCAAATGTGGAAGCTTCGAACTTGTACAAGGACAACCGCAAGGAATACATTAAGCGGGTGCGAGAGACCGTTGAAAAAAGCTGGGAGGATTGAAGAAATTCATGATATCACAACTCGGTTCTCCAGTGACACTCAGAGCCCGTTCCTATGGACTTGTCCGACGATACAACTCGGGCTATGGAGCTAGAACCGGGTGTCAAAGTATCAAATTTGGGCCGGTTGATCTGCACAGCGTGGGGTTTAGGCGCATGGTTCTTGTTTCTGTGTTGTTCTCGTGCTCTTATCTTTTCTGTGGACTTTACTGTTTTATTTTGTGTTATGTCCTGAATGACTCCCCTCGTGCATCTGTCGACATTCTGTTCCTACTGCGTTCCATAGCCTCAATGCATTAGCCATATGCTAGGAGTCTGATAAGATTGAGGAGATTTTAGCTCATGTAGATTCTCTACTACCCCCGAAATAGCAGCAAAACTTTCGGCTACATGGCCACTCTTAGACAAGATGATTGATGAAATATAGAAGTAGAGTGCATCACTAGTGCGTGCGGTTACGCGCATCAGCAGTGTCCTGCACGTCCCAAGTAATTTAGTTCGGGGCGGTCGGTCAAACGTCCTAAACGGGGGGCGTGTCAACAAATCCACTCCGACCTCGACCTCCGAACCATTTCACTCCTTATTCGTCCGAAGTGGTCGTGCCCGACTGCTTTTCTGTGCTTTGTTCTTTCCCAAAAAAATCCCCCCATTATACTTCCTCCTGGACGTGCGCAGACGCTCACGTGCAGGCCCCCTGACCCTGGACCCTCCAGGAAGCGTGAAACACCTCGATCCCCGGGATTTATCTGCCCCTCTTCGGGGTCTGTTTTGTCCCAGGAGAGAGCCCGTGAACGGCAAAGATGGCGTAAGTCTGCTTGATAGGGGATATCTAGGGATATTACTGACTCCAAATAGGTCCTCGGGGTCCAACACCATTAAGGGTAGGCGCACGCACAATGTGGAGGAGAAGCCGATGGACACGGACAGAGCCAGACTAACCACGCAAAACAGTGGTTGCCAGATTCCGCCCCCAGAACAAGGTTGAATTGGCCTCCGGTGGCAAGCCAGTCGTTGGATTCGAGAGCGAGGAGTCATGTATTATCAACGTGAGCAAACGGGTCCCAGAGTTGCGCGGGCGATTCGAAGAATACGGAGTCGGCTAACGGGCAGGGCTCTAGTCAAATGAGGGCACTGGCTCCTTTACCTTCGATCGGGTATTTCCTATGGACACAGCCCAGGCCGATATCTTCGACTTCTCGATCCGCCCAACCGTCGACGATATTCTAAATGGTTACAATGGAACGGTGTTTGCGTACGGTCAGACCGGTGCGGGAAAGTCGTACACCATGATGGGTTCCGATATCGATGACGATGTGGGCAAGGGTGTTATCCCCCGTATTGTCGAGCAAATCTTCGCCAGTATCTTGACGAGTCCGAGCAATATCGAATACACCGTGCGGGTCAGTTACATGGAGATTTACATGGAGCGGATTCGCGATTTGCTGGTGCCGCAGAACGACAACCTACCGGTTCACGAGGAGAAGTCCCGTGGAGTCTACGTCAAAGGATTGCTGGAGGTGTACGTCTCCAGCGTGCAAGAGGTCTACGAAGTGATGCGCCGGGGTGGAAATGCTCGAGCGGTGGCCGCAACCAACATGAACCAGGAGTCGTCGCGATCGCACTCGATTTTCGTCATTACCGTCAGCCAGAAGAACGTGGAGACGGGATCGGCCAAGAGCGGCCAGCTCTTCTTGGTGGATTTGGCTGGTAGTGAGAAGGTTGGCAAGACGGGAGCCAGTGGTCAAACTCTGGAGGAAGCCAAGAAGATCAACAAGAGTTTGAGTGCGCTGGGCATGGTCATTAACGCTCTCACCGATGGAAAATCGAGTCACGTTCCCTACCGTGATTCGAAGCTCACTCGTATCCTGCAGGAATCGCTGGGTGGTAACTCTCGAACCACTCTGATTATCAACTGTTCGCCCAGTAGCTACAACGACGCAGAGACCATCTCGACTCTGCGGTTCGGTGTTCGTGCCAAGGCTATTAAGAACAAGGCCAAGGTCAATGCCGAGCTTAGCCCTTCGGAGCTTAAGCAGCTTTTGCGCAAGGCTCAGACTCAAGTGACCAGCTACGAGACCTATATATCCGCTCTGGAGGGAGAAGTCAGCCAGTGGCGCAGTGGAGACAGCGTCCCCAAGGACCACTGGACTCCAGCTCGGGGCAACGAAATCGTGAATGCTGCAAAGGCTGAATTCCGCGGACCTCGACCGGGCACCCCATCCCGTCTGCAGGAGACTGCTCGCTCAGAAACACCTCGCCCCGATTCTCGCGTGGGTGATCGCTCTAGCACGCCCAGCCTGGTGCTGGAGAAAGACGAGCGCGAGGAGTTCCTTCGCCGGGAGAATGAATTGCAGGACCAGATCGCGGAGAAGGAAACTCACATTGCCAATGTTGAGCGTAGTCTTCGTGATGTTCGGGAGGAGTTGAAGTCGTTGAAGGAGAATGCTGGAAGCTCGGTCAAAGACAACGAGCGTCTGGGTTCTGAAGTCAACGAGCTTCGCATGCAGTTGGAGAAGGTGTCGTATGAGAGTAAGGAGGCGGGCATCACGATGGATGGCCTGCGGGAAGCCAACGCGGAGCTGACCGGTGAGCTGGATGAGGTGAAGCAGCAGCTCCTGGACGTCCGCATGAAGGCTAAGGAGACCACCGCGGCGTTGGATGAGAAGGAAAAGAAGAAGGCGGAGAAGATGGCCAAGATGATGGCTGGCTTTGATCTTGGTGACGACTTGTTTTCCACAAATGAGCGCAAGTTGCAGGGTTGGATCTCACATGTCAAATCTCTTCACGAGGTGAGCGCTGCCGGGGGCACGATTGCGCCTGACGATCTTCTTGAGCTGGAAACTGGTCTTCTGGAAACGCAAGGAATTATTCGACAAGCTGAGCTCACTATGAATGACCGAGGCGAATCTGGCGCGGGGCAGGACAGCCGTTACGCCGAGCTGTTGAAGGAGTTCGATGGCTTGCTCCGTGATTACGAGGAATCTGTCACCCGCAACGTGGGTGAAGGGGATGTGGAAGAGGTTCTCCAACGCGTGGAGAAGGTCTTTGACCGCCGAAAGGAGGTTGAGACCGCCGCTATCGAACACCTTCAAATTCAGATCACCCAGAAGGACGAGGAACTCAACAAGATGCGACAATCGGTACCGCAGAACAAGAACGGAAACTCGACCTACCGCGCCGTTGCCGACGATCTGGAGCAGCGGATTGCCGAATTCGACGCCATGAAGAAGTCGCTTATGCGTGATCTCCAGAACCGTTGCGAACGGGTCGTCGAGCTTGAAATCTCCCTGGATGACGCACGCGAGCAGTACAACAACGTGCTGCGTTCCTCCAACAGCCGCGCCCAACAGAAGAAGATGGCCTTCCTCGAACGCAATTTGGAGCAGTTGACGTCTGTTCAGCGTCAGCTGGTGGAGCAGAACAGTCTGTTCAAGAAGGAGGTTGCTATCGCAGAGCGGAAGCTGCTTGCACGAAATGATCGCATTGCCAGCCTTGAGAGCTTGCTCCAGGAGAGCCAGGAGAAGTTGACTCAGGCCAACCACCGGTATGTTAATCTGCATTATCTTCCCCACCACGAAGCTCCGCCAATACTGATTGATCATTATAGATTCGAAGCCCAACTCACTGCCGTGAAGGAGCGCCTGGAGGCTGCCAAGCAGGGCTCCACCCGAGGCCTCCCCGATGGCAATGGGAGTTTCAGCTTTGGAGGATCGCGCATTGCGAAGCCACTGCGTGGCGGGGGCGGGTCGGACGGGCCGGCGAATGCGAACATCGCGGGCGTGCAATCGCAGGAGGCATCGGGCAAGCGCTCGAGCTGGTTCTTCGACCGTAAATGATCCCGCTACCCCTTCCGAAGGATGCTCGTCTGTGGCGATGCTCCTCTTGAAACTCGACGGCTGTCTGCCGTGGACACCGGACCTCTTTCAGTTTGTTCTCCTGTCGCTGGCCTTCGGCTCAACCTGATAATCTTCGTAACGCCATCCCACGAGTCTCATCTATTCGCATTCCTCTTTGTTGTTTTTTCAGTTGTGTTTTCTGCTAGGACTATACTCCTATGCTCCCCCTCCTAGTCAGGAGACATCCCTGACTCTCATTTGTGTTGTGATGCCTATGCCGATTCTTTCTTGTGTTTCTTCTTGCCCTCTTTCCATTCCCAGTACATTAGATTGCGCCCTGCTTGCAGGGAGAAGGGGGGAGGTTTGTGGATCTTGCTGATACCCTTTGTACATCAAACCTAGATAGATTGCAGCGGAGCGGTCTTCTATCTTGACGGTAGTCTACGGCTGTGATGGCATAATTCGTTTTTTCTGATTATCAGTGGCGGTAGAGTAAATGTTGGATGTAATACTGCACTAGATACTTTTTACTCGATCAATATTGACGACAGTTTTGGATTCTTGATTTGTTGATGGCTACCTTGAGGACTGGTCTTTCTCCAGGTCTTTCTATCAGACATGCACCTGAACCCAACCCAACCCAAGACTTTAGAACTTCTTGTATATCATTTCAGCACTAACCCCCCCATCCTCAGGCAAATGGACCAACCATGATCAAAAATCCTCTTTACCTGAGACCTGCCAACGTCATCGACATGCGGCTCTTCGTGCGGCTGAAAAGATCCGCACGTTCCTCGTATTATCCGGTGGGGGCCAAGTAACGCCTGGCGCATTTTCCTTTTCAGCCCCAGAACACATCTTATTGCCTTAGTCTCTTGGTATTATCCCAAAGTACGAGGCATCAACCCCCCACAAACGGGCGGGATGGTTAACGAAACTCCACCATCGGAGAAGAAGGAATCGGAGTCGTTGTTGGTTGCCTCCCTGGCTGAGTTGGACTATACCGATGAGACTCTCCTGGTGCAAACTTTGCAACGCTTGATCGGAGAGCCTCGTGTGCAGTTATGGCACCCTCCTAAAGTTGGCTTGCCTCTGCCGTTCTATGAGAATAAGGGGCGGTGGGATAGCAAGGCTAATATCTATGGGCTGGCTGTTCTGGCTCATCGAGATGGCAGGTCTGGCTTCCTTGTTGCGGATAGCTTGACCAAGCGTCAGTTGAAAGGGGACCCGAGACCGGGAGAGAGCCCAATACTCTCCGTGGTGATGGTTGGTATTCGATCATCGTCGAGGACGTCGAGAATGCAGACCAGCCACACGGAAAACGAAACGAGCGAACACATTCGTGTCATTGCGAAGCGGCATACGATTCAACAAACGGGCGCTGGGACTATACCGAGTCTATTGGATACATTTGAACTTTCGTATACGTTTCTCGGAGGCAATAGCATCGATATTACGACCCGATTGTGCGACTATGGCCTCGAACTTCATGACCCTGATCACGCAGTTTTTCTACCCGATACGGCGACGACGACGGGGCGCGAGGATTTCGAACGAGAGACAAAAGCTGCATTGTTAGAGTCGACACCACTGCCTGCCGAGCTAGTTGTCAGTATTGTCTCCCGCCTCGATCATCGGAGTCGCCCTAGTGTGGCTCCCGTGAAGATTCAACTAGAGAGTCTTGTCATCTTCCTCACTTTTCCCACCACAGAAGACGAGAGAGATTTGATACAGTTGAGTCTACAGCAAGAGGCACACAGATGCTTGGAAAGGAGGACCGGTAGTCCTACAAAGAGGAAGAGAGATGAGGAGCACGCAGACATACAAGTGCAATTGATTCCTTGGGAGCGGAGATCGGATGCAACACGACGGGACTTGGAGTGTCATTGGAAAGAAACGCATGATCGCGCTATCTGTCCATTGAATTACCTACTCGCACCCACCAAACTGTCTCGCCAGTCTTTTGCATTTGACGATACTCAATTTGGATCGATATATCATGGCAATGATGGGTTTGTCTTAATGGCACGCAACACCCTTGACCAAATGATCAAGGCCAAGTTGAATCATTCCAACGGCCGTCTGGGCAAGATTGCACAGCTGCAAGAGGATTTGAAAGATGGTACCTTGCCCGAATCGAGTCAAGTCGAGTTCTTGATTGGACCCGATGAGCCTTTCTATTATAATCCTCCCCTGTGGGAACCGGTGAATGGCGAGGGACTTATATCAGTCGCTGTCTTTTACTTGACCAACAAACTCTCGCATGATCAGACCGTCGCATTGAAGATGGAATTACACACAGATGATGCACGGCTCGACGGTCAAAAGGCGTGTTGCTTCGTCCCTTGGGAAGATGGCAGTAGAAACAGAACCGACGGAACTATCGACGATATCTGGAGAATCTTCTGGGAAATGCGACGGTGCACTTCTTGCCAGATGCCAATCTTTTTCATCGATGAGCAATCCGGCATCGATCAGACCGTCCTAATGGTTGACACGGATCATTATATCTGGCAACACGACGATGAACAAGCGACCGACCTTCTGAAAGATGTGGAAGATCCTTCTACTAGGGGTCTTCTATATGGCCGGATCAAAGGGTGTGATGCCCACGATGGTCATCTCAATTTGAGTATGGGGAATTTGAATTTTGACGAATTTCTGGAATTTAGTGGTTTGGATGAGGAACATCGTTATCCTCGACCTGGCTGGCCGGGACATGGGATATTGGAAAATGATGAATGATTTGATGATTCTTGCTTGAGATCGGTATATTGATTCATGATTTTCAAGACTAAACACATTTAACCCTTTTTGAGATTTCTACAACCAAGCTGGCTTGGCTGTTTTGTTCATCACATGCAATGAAAAAGTGTTTTGTATTTTAATGAATTCATATCCATTATGGAGCGGTTATGTTATCTCTCGAAGTCATAAGACGAGCTCATAAAGCCGTATTAGAGCGCCAACTGCTATCAAGAAGCTACAGCATGGAAATCTCCCGCAACAAAATCTAGCTCTAACCATCATCGACAAGACTAATTCGCACGCCTTCCATGCCCATGGTTGTGGCGATGCGATCCATCCAGTCGGTAGTTGGAGGCTGGCGTGTCTCTGGAGTCACTCGGGACTCGATCATCAACCGAGGTCGTCCCGGTGACCCTGGCGGTGTTAAAGGAGAAGATGACCCATCGTGGCTATCGGCAGATCGAGAACCCCTCGCAGCTCGCATTCGATCTGCGATGATCCGGTTCTCTGCTTCGGCGTCTGGCCGCTGTGACGGGTCGAGGAGGATAATAACATAGTTGAGGAGGAGAATACTCGATCGAATACCCTGCATGGTCAGGGTTGAGAATCCGTCGAAGAAGTGATATGGGATCGGTCCGATGAACCCGGTTTTCGGTTCACGACCTGCTCGGAGTGTCGAGGCTGTCATGCTGAACTCGGTGTGAATGCCCCGTAGGGAGGCGCGCGTGGCGAGGATCTCCCGTAGAAGTGTAGGGCGCTCACGTTTCTGGACACCTAATGGGAGACCTTGGATGTCACGCATTCGTCTTACAAATCCAGGAAGCTTAACAACTTCACGGAATGCGCGCTCGGTGATGTCCGTATACACAGAGGAATCGGGTTGCTTGGCATTCTCTGCAGCGATATGCTCGTTGAGAGCCTGCCACTCGGGTTCCTCTAAGAAACAGTCCTCACCGCTGACTAGTGCTGACGTGACGAGGGTGTTGCGATATGCAATGTACAATGCACAGCCAAACCCGCTGTAGTGTGCTTTGGGCCCTCGAAGCCGCATCAACGCTCGGATACCTGCAGCATGATGGATCCAACCATCTGATGTGGTACAGCAATGCATCTCATATACCGCAAGAGTGATGACGGTGGCTAATGCTTCATCCGATTTGGCCTTGGATTCATCCTTCAACACGGCCGAAAGACCGCGTATCGCACGGATGTAAAACTCTCGACCTACATCGGCGTAGTAGGGGTCATTATGTCGACTGCCGGCATACATGGTGGTTATGCTGCGGACGGCCAGATCGAATGGCGTGCTGCCGCTCTCTCTCCCGGCGACATATTCCACCCAATTGATCGGTACTCGAGTTTCAGTAGCTTTGAAGTAGCATGGATACGCATCGAGTACAAAGTTGATATACAGTTGAATCTGCCCCGCAGCAGCAGCCTTGGCGACAAGCGACGGGGTCACATTTTCGTTGCTGGGCGATAGAGTTAAATAGCGCGCGTCACTTCGGCCTTCGCGGGAGATCCATAATAGCTCCTGGCTCGACGAGCGGGCTTGTTGAGAGGTTGACGGTGCTGGGGAGGCTGAAGTTGACTGCGATCGATAAGGTAGGTCGGAGCTTGCTTCTTGGACCTTGGGTGGGCTATCTTCAAAGTGACAAGGAAGACGAGAGTTACAGCATCGCAGACAAGGAGATTTTCCGTCACACTACAAAAGTTAGACAAATCCCATTGCAAAAAAGAAGGCTCGAAAGTAGTGGGCAGAGGCATGCGCATCGCCGTTAATAATCACGGCCGTTGACAAATCTTGCAGGCGTCTGGAGAATTCCCCCCGCACTATAATGCGGCAATAACCAGCGCAAGGTACAGGGCCCACCTGCCAAACACAAAGTGCCGGGCTAAGTGGGCTTGAGGCTCCGATGGATCGGGGCTCTGTCATGTCCTCATGGCACCGTGCAGATATGGGGGGCATTGGCACGCCTCTTTAGAGAGGGCCGGCTAAAGGGGCAGGGGTAGAGAGATGGGGAACACGAGGGACAAGAGGGGGCTGGGAACCCACCTGAATGGACGAACGGGCGCATCGCAGACAGCGACGGGGCGCTGGGACCATGCTTGTCAAGGCATGAAGGGGAGCCCAAAATCGGAAGAGTCGGCATTGAGAAGAAAGGGGCGAAAGAAGGAAGACAAACTTCCATCGGAAGACTGGTTTAGATTAGCAAATGTGGTCATCATCCAGTATGGGGGGGTTGGGGCGATGAAGATCCATCGACTCACCGAGAAACAACAGTGATTGGCGGGTCCCAAGCTGATGCGCTTATACCAGCGGGAGGGGTCCTTCGAGAAAATGAGGCTAGTGTCATTGAACCATTCTGGCCTCGAATAACCCCGTAAGACGTAAGACAAGAAGCAGAGTGTAATAGAGTGGTGACTGGTGAGAATCGTGAAAGAAGATACTCGGTGGATGCGGCTGAAAAGAGGCTGAAGGCCTGGTCACGAGACCGAGTCATGTGCCTGGGCATTTTTATACTTCTTGGCTGGAACTTGCTGAAGGAGACAGATTGGAAAGATCCTACAACGACTGGAGTATTCCCGGGTATACTGAGTATCCAATACTTGGTTCATGTACATGGATGGAGATCAAAGGGGGATGATGATGATGTGACGAGGCAGATCAGAGAACCAGCACGAGAGAGAAAAAAAGAGAACAAAGCATGTATATGCGAGATCAGAAAGATAAAGGGCCCCAAACCTCCCAGTAAAAGAAAAAAAAAAGATAAAGTCAAGCAACAACATAAAATAACAGAATCACATTGCGCCGCATTCGCCTTCTTCGAAGCACACTATACCAACCCGTCGTACAGTGACAAGGCGCTGACAATGGTCTCGTCACGCTTGCTGCCCTCCTTGAACTCCTCGATATCCAAGCTGCCATTCTCATCCTTGTCCATCATCCGGAAGATTTTGCGCACCCGCTTCTCCGGTGTGTCCTCGTCCTCGGGAAGCTTTACCATAGATCCCACCTATGCGAACCGTCAGTAATCTTCCACCGCAGTGAAACCGAGAAAGAAAAGGACAAAGGGAAAAGCCTATAGACTCCCCCAACCCAGGACGTACCATTTTGTAAATCGCCTCGACAATGGCCAGCATTTCGTCGTAAGTAATCTTGCCATCTCCATCAATATCGTACAATTGGAATGCCCAGTCCAGCTTGTCCTCCATCTTGCCGCGCGAGGTGACCGACAGCGCGCAGATGAACTCCTTAAAATCAATCATGCCGCTGTTATCCGAATCGAACACCCGGAACACATAATTGGCGAAGGATGACGGGTCGCCGAAGGGAAAGAATTGCCGGTAAATCTTTTGGAACTCCTCCTTGGTCAAGGTGCCCGAAGGGCAGTCCTTCAGGAATCCTAGATGTAGAGCGCCCACGATCAGTCATGTCCACTGTCACGCTGATCGCTGGATAAAATGACACCCTGCGCAACTAGGAGAATCAATCGCATACCCTTATACCATTGCTGGAGCTCCTTCTTGTCAAAGTGGGTGGCTTTCTGCAGCTCGTCGAGCTGCGAAGGCGAAAGCTTCGATTGTCTGCGAACCTCGAGTCAGTATTCATGCTCGCAACAATCAAAACCCCGTCCAGAGCGCCATGCAAAAGACTCGATCTCAATGATACCACAATTTCACCACTGCGAGGCATCTCCGATGTCCCAGTCCCTTCTGCCCGAGCTTTCTTGCGGCGCGTCGCAAGGGGGTAGTGAGGGGTAACGGGGGGACGGATCGGACTTACGACTTGCCCATGATCAAACACCCAAAACCGATACTGGCACAGAAGGTCGAAAGCGCATATACGTTCGAACACTCAGCGAAATCGTCAGGAACGGAGTGAGCGCAAAAAAAAAGGGCGGAAACCGGTGACGCGGGGTAGCACGGGGGAGAATGTGTGGCTGAGTTGAGATACTGTGGCGTGGCGGGTGACGAGGGGCTGTGCAGGAGTCCTAGCGAAGCGACCGGTCGATAGGAGTAGGGAGATTCAGGGATTATAGGAGTCGGTTGAAGATGCGAGAGTGAACGTGCCGAAGTCCAAGGGGAAGAGAACTAAAGCCAATTCGGGGTGGCGAGGAGGAAGTCCAGACCATCCGGGGGGAAATGTGGTGGCTTGGCAATTGACACGATTACGCTTGTAATTACCGCACAGCTCCGTCCAAAAAACGTGGATTATATATACATTCGATGCCCTCTCTTCCACGTAAAAAAAAGACCATTCTATCTCATCCCAGTAACCGAGAAACAGGAAAGTAAAAAAATATTCAGGACAATGCAAAATCATTTCCAGTGCTATCAAGACATGCGAAGAAAAAACAGAGAACGAGCGCCGGTGCGGGTTGCCCCGGATGAAGGGACGGCTAAATAAAGCGGGTCCATGATGACACGTTTAATCCACCTTGATGGAGCCGTAGATACGGTGGATGAATGCCCAACTGGCGAAGAAGCCGATGGAACCTGCAGAGGAGGAATTAGTGAATCGTCAAGTCGAGGGAGGAGCGGGAGCCACATACCGGTCAGAATGAAGACAACGAAGCCAATCAACGCCGAGTAACCCACGTAGAGCACTGCACCGGTCAGGCCGCCGAAGCTGACGCGGGTAGCCCAGAAGATGAGGGCATTCAGGAAGACGTAGCCACCGGTCATACCAGCGCCCGCAAAGGCACGCCAGTGCCACCGGTAGTTCTCGGCACAAAGCAGGAAGTATACAAGAAGGACAGTCGTGGCTGCGGAAGTAATGATCATCAATCCATAGCACAAAAACAAGAATCCGAACATGTAGTAGATCTTGTTGGTCCAGAGGGAGGTCATGATGAAGTATAGCTCGACGAAGATGGCGCCAAAGGGAAGAATGCCAGTCAGGAGAATGGATGGGATCGTACGCAGGCTGCCCGACATTGGAGGAACCTGACGGGGGATCTGGTTGGTCTTGGTAGGACCCTCGATTGGCTAAACACCAAATTAGCATTAAGAGAAGCCAGAAATGAACATAGGAAGATTCGACTTACCGATTGCCTGAACCCAACCCAGCTACCCGCCACACTCAATGGTACGCTGATCACAAACCAGATCAAGACCAATGCGAGCATGGTGCCAAATGGCACGGCACCACTAGAGCCCTTGGCCCAGACAAACAGGTTGAGCAGGAAGAAAGTGCCAAAAATGACACCCGGAAGCAAGAGAGGAGTCATGACGATGTTGCGCTTCCAGGCCTCGCCGCCAAATGCCTTGTACACGCGAGCCGAGACGTAGCCTCCAATGGCGCCAAAGAGGGCGGAAATAAGGAGGATGGCAGTAGCCAAAAAGCCACGGTTCGCCGGCGAGAGGAGACCGAGCAGTGCGAATGCTATAGGCCAAGGTTAGACGGTCTCATTGAAGTGCGAGAGAAAAAAAAGAGAAGAATCATCACTTACCAACGGTAACACCAGTCATCATGAACAGCTGAGCACCATTGCCAAGTAAAACACTCAGCAGCAGAGGAGACTTGGGGCAACGGAAGACATCTCCGTGTACCAGCTTCCATCCAGAATCCTCTTGGATTCCATCCTCAACTGCGGCCGAGGTACCATCAAGATCATCCAAACTGATCTGGTCCAGGCGGTTGTAGCGAGCAATATCCTTCTTGAGCGCGCGCACAAGAATCATGCTCACCATTCCCACTAGGAAAACGACAAAGACAGCGGAGTTGATCAGGGAGAACCAGTGAATCTTCGGGTCATAGACGTGCAAGTATTTGTCCCAGCGGGTAGCCCAGGCGGTTGGTGATTCCTTCCAGTAGACGCTATACGTCCAGATAACTGGAGTATCACCATCCTCATTCAATCTGAGGAGGTTTCCTTGGGTACCGCACTCGGCAGTGCCGTCCTCGAGAATTCGCGAATCGAGCCGAGACTCGGGCTGCACGAGCACTCCAACCACCCGGTACTTGTCTTTGCCGCCGAAACCCACACGGTGGTAGTCGATCACAATATCGAAGTGATTGTTGAGTACGGATTGGCCATTCTCATCCACGTCGCCCAGCGAGAATCCCGGGTTGTAGAACTGGGTGTTGGTGTTGCCGTCGTAGTTCAGCTGCGCCGCTGGCAGTCCGTCCACGAGCCAGTTGATGTTGTATCCTTGCGAGATTCGGCGATTGGTAAATTTGGAACTGCGCCCGTCAAATACCACCTCCCCGCAGATTGCTTTGCATGTCTCATTTTGGGCCATGTGAAGCTCCAGCGGAGAGGTGCGGATCCGGTCGCCGAACAGAATACTTCCCAGTGACTCCCTTACATCTTGAGCACCGCCTTCCGGCCGACAGAAGTGAAACGCTGGATGATAGTAGTCGTAGGAGAAGACGGAATGGAGCTGGTCGTCGCGCGACAGCCCGGGGGTCAAGTGGTTGACATTGAGCGGGACGGATTGGCCTTTATCGTAAGATGACGGGGCAACACCAGGAAGGTAAAAGGCTGATGAGAGCGAGGGAATTGACAGGAGGACCGAAGCGAGGATGGAGGTGTGGTCGGTGAACCGCATGGTGAGCGTGGAGCGTTCGGTGGGTTGCTCAGACCAGCTTCATGTGTTATGACGGGTGATTATCTGATTTTCGGAGCGGCGCGTGTAAGTTCGATCTCCGATTCCACAATCTGAGCACACCAATTTAGAAAGCTCGATTGGAATGAGCTCGTGGCTTCATGCGTATACCTCAATAGAGGGAAAAGGAATTCGTGGCTGTGAAAGGACAGAATGGCCCCGAGACAATGACGATCAACGAGGCAGCCTTGTCAGCACGTGACTCGTCACTTTCGAGCTCGTTCCTGGTTCCGAGTCACGTGCTGATAAGCACCATCCAAAAAATTTCCAGCGGCCTCGTCGCCGAAAGGAATCCTAACTCTAAAAGACACAACACATCATGGCTTCAGCAGAGACTGCACCCGTGCGCGCCCAGACTCTATCGGCCCTCCTCGAGAGTCTCAATTCCTGTCTTACGAGCGCCAGCTCTTCCCTCCCGACCGTTAACAAAGATGCGCCGACCGACGTTTCCATCACGCCGCCCCAGGACGGTATCTCGCTCCTCGACACCAAGAGCGAAATTCTTCTCTCTTACCTCCAGAACCTCGTATTCTTGATCATCTTCCAATTGCGACAGACAAAGTCGGATGAGCCCGAAATTGCGGCCGACAGCGCTCTTCGCGACGAGGCTGTGAACAAACTGGTTGAGCTCCGGGTTTTCCTTGATCGCGGTGTTCGGCCTCTGGAGGGACGCTTGAAATATCAGATCGACAAAGTTATCAAGGCGGCAGAGGACTCGGAGCGCACAGAGCGCCCGGCCAAATCCAAGAAGCCCAAGAAGGTCAGCAAGACTGCTGGCTCCGGTAGCGAGGATGAGTCTGAGGACGACGATGAGGAAAGCAACAGTGAGGCGGATAGCGATGAGGAGGATTCCGACGAGGAAGAGGATATGGATGAGATGGCATACCGCCCAAACGTTGCGGCACTTGCGAAGGGCAAGGTGGAGCAGAAGTTGCCGCAAGCCAAGGCGACCCGACAGGAGCCCAGTGACGGCATCTATCGCCCACCGAAGATTATGCCAACTGCACTTCCTACCACTGAACGTCGTGAACGCCAGGATCGCCGGCACCTTCGGTCCAATGTCATCGATGAATTCGTTAGCGCCGAAATGTCCGCTGCGCCAATGGCCGAGCCCAGCATTGGTAGTACCATCATTGCTGGTGGACGCCAGACCAAGTCCAAGAAAGACCGCGAGCACGAGGCCGAGCGAACTCGGTACGAAGAGACCAACTTTGTCCGTCTTCCCAAGGAGACCAAGAAGGAACTTGCCAAGCGTGGTGGTGGTGGCCGCGGCGATTCTACATATGGTGGTGACGAATGGAAGGGTCTCACCGAGGGAGCCGATCGCATTGAGCGCCTTACCCGCCGATCTAAGAACAGCGGCTCTGCTCTCGAGAAGAGCCGGAAGCGCAAGAATGAGGATGGACAGCGCAGCGATGGTGTGGCGGTTGGTGACATCTTTGACAAACGCCGCAAGAAGATTGACAGCTGGAAGCGGTAAATTCGTGGATTTATCTACCGCTACCTCTTCTTTTTCTTCACTTTTTTTCATGTTTTCTTTGTTATGTGACAGGCATCGAGCCTGCGATCATTTCCCGGAGTTGGTATGGTAAAATAGGGCTTGTTTTGTATTTAGTTGCCCACGACTATATGTCTGCATCAAAGCATCCAATTATATAGAATTGGCTTAACTGCTACTTTACTGCTATCCACAGTAGATGTGTAATTCCTCATACATCGGCCTACAGCTTCTACTCGGGATGCCGAGTGTGCTGAACGGAGTCTTCCTTGCCACGTGTGTATCGCTGATAACATGCTCCATCCACTATTTGAACAGGCAGCATGATTAATGTTCTTGATTCGAACTCTTGTATAGAAGCCCGACGAGTCCATCGTCACACTTGGTGAGGTGCCAGTATGTTCACATGTCGGAACTGGGTATGATGTCATTGCCTTCCACCAAGTCCTTCTGTAACGCTTACGATGATTATTGTCCCTGGGCCTAATTCTTCTGTCAACATTCCATATTACCGCTGCTATCCCCCATAATCATGGAGAATCCAGGTAAGTCTATCTATCTAACATATTGCTGGTTTCATGACTGAGTCGAATCATCTTCAGTGGCCGAAATCCGAACGGTGATCCGTCTTCTCACTCAATCCACCCCATCCTTGCAAGAAAAGGCACTAGAGCGGTTCTTCACCACCAATGCGTCCTTTGTACACCCATTCTGTCGAGTCCCCAGCTTTAACGGCAGTCGATGGTGGGTGACCAAGATCTTTCAATGGTACAAGATCATGTCTCCTCGGATTGAAATGGAGGTTCATTCTGTTGGTTAGTGCCGTGCTATATTATCGCCCCGAGTCATGGCCATAATATAACCAGAAATTCCCAGCCTTTGACGAGGATCATCTAAAGCTCTATGTCCACATGTCGCAAATCTTCTCTATCTGGCTGGTGCCTTTCCATGTCGCACCGGTGACGCTGACAACGGTCTTGGATCTCACCACGGACGCAGCCAACAGCAGTGCCCCGACTAATGGCGACCACACGCGGTACTACATTACCAAGCAAGAAGATCTGTATCAAACCTCCGAGTTTGTAAAGTTTCTCTTGCCACATGTTGGGCATTGGCTGGTGCTGCTTTGGCATTTGATTGCAACGTTCTTCTGTATCGTTGGTGTGACTTTCCTGTGGCCTATGCTGTGGTTGGAAGAGAAGGGCTATTTGCCTCATTGGATTTCACGGGGGAATCTGGCTTGCGACATTGCGGATAAGATTCCCGAGATTAAGAAGGAGTGAATACGAGAAAGTAAGGGTTGCTTATGATCTAGCTCTACAAGAGGATACGCTATCAATCTAATCTTCAAAGACTTCATTTAATTGGTCAGAAGACTGTTCTTTTGAGTATCATCAATCGTAAAATCTCCATATCTGCAAATCTAGGAAGTTTCAATTCACGCTCACATATGATCATCAAAAAGCAGCGCTCGTCCACATCCATCATTCATCAACTGGCATGGTCGTTGATCCTGCCGTCGTAGCGGTTGTCCATCTCAACATTACTCAGCCTTGTCAATTTTATGCTGCTTTTGTAGTTCTTTGCGGAAAAGCTCCTCCTGCTCCACCACCATCAATGGCAAGGCTCGCCCAAGACCAAAGAACACGAATAGGGCCCACTTCCATCGGAACGGATTGATGAGCAAGACAAAGATGTACCAGTAGATGAGCTCGGCATAGGTGAAGAAGTCAAAAGCTTTAGTAGGAGCGAACCGCTTCATCAATCGCGTAAAATCAATCCAAGTCTTCATTCGCTGCTCCGTAGGACGAGTCAAGGGATCGGTCAAGAACATAATGAGGAAGCGTGTGTAGATGCCGATGTGCATGTTGCCAACCGTACCGATCGCATTGATGTAGGTGCTATTGTTGGCGCAGATATCGGGGTACTTGGGTGGGAAGACCTGGAGATACCAGTCTGGGGGACTGTATGGCTCTTCGAAGACTTCATCGGGAAGGAAATTCAAGGAGGGTCGCTTGAACCCGGTGGCCATAACAATAATGTCGCCCTCGACCAGACGCTCCTTGCCTGGGCCGCCTTTGGGAACACCCTTGGCTCTATGGTTGAACACCACCCCATTCTCTTCCATGGAGACGATATCGCCTCGAAGCCAGTGGGCTTTACCTTCGCGGATCTGATTGAATAGTTCCGAGTTGGCCATGGGAGTTTGGGTGAAAATCCCATCATCAGTTGGAGCAATATCTTGAAGATCACGATAGAAGAACTTGCGAAGCAGCCCTCCGGAACCCAGGAGAGCGAAGTCTCCTGGCCGAAGATATTGAAGGCCAACAAGGATTGAACCAACACGTTTCGGGGGATAATCCATTTGTCAGAGCGCGACAGGACGTCGATTTCTGCGGCACCAGACTTGACTGCAAACTCTAGAGCTTCGATTGCACTGGCACCACCACCGACAATCAAGATCTTCTTGCCCTTGGCATCTTTGCCATCCAAGTTTGACGAGTGAAAGATCTGACCCTTGAACTTGTCCTGGTCCGGCAAGGTAGGCGTCTGAGGATCTCCACACACACCGACAGCGGTGAGCACGCCATCAAATCGGCCATATCTCTCTTCGTCATTGTTGATAATCCATTGTCCATCCTCGGTCTTTTTTACCGAGGTGACTCGAGTGTCGAACACTGTGCGTCTTTCGAGGTCGTAGCGCTTCCATAGCTCGACAATCTGCTCCTTGATTTGCTGCTGGGTGGGGTAGGCACTGTCGTAGTGCACTGAGGGGTGGAATCGGTACATCAAGCTGTGGACCTGCAGGGCTGAGGTGGAATTGACCCGCTATGCACAATCAGTACTGGCTTGTTTCCTCCTTTGGAGATGCGATGGGCTGACTCGGGACTTACGCTCCAGATACCTCCCAAGCCTCGATCTTTTGATCTAGACTCGAAGATCTGCACATCAAAGCCATGGCCCACACAATGTGCTGCAGACGAGACACCCGTCAGACCTGCACCGATGACAGCAACCCTCTTTCGGGGAAGCTTGGATTTCTTTGCAGTCGGAGGGGGAGGAGCCGGTGAAAAGACCAATCTCAGTACATATTGCAGGATGATATACAGCCAGGTAAAAGTCTGAACGAAAGGGTGCCTGATGAAGGCGAGGATCGACGATTGAGATGTCGCCATAGCGAATGGAGCGGACAATGAAGAAGAGGAGAGCAATTGCAACTGAATAGGTTAACGATGGAAATTGGGATGTTTTGTATTTGAACCAGGAGAGTGACGTGACCAGTGGAGCAATAGAAAATGGCGCTTTCTTCGCATGTGATTGTCTTTGAATGTGAAAATAATCTGGTCGGAATGCTTGTGCAGTGATGTAGGCCAGAGCCTCCCATGATGTCATCCTTCCCGGAGCTCCAAGTTTCTGGACCGCGTCCGAACTATGAACTCGGCATGCCCTTTAAATAATATACTTAAGGATTGGCTTTCAAAACTGAATAAACGATGGCTATTTATTCTGAAAGAATAAAGGAAGCATGATAGGAATGACAAAATGAATGGTGGATTAAGGATTACATGCTGTGCAATGAGTCTTGCATTGACACATGCATGGCGTTTAAGCTAGTTTGCCATGTGTTGGGTTGGGTACTTTGAGATGCCTTGCATGTGTACCCACATAACATAAAGCCTTTATGTAAAATCATATACTTGCTTTGGAGCCACCACTTCTCTAAGCTGTGTACCTCGCAAAGCTAATGGGCCTCCAGCTTCCTCTATGTTTGTTTGTCAACCAAAATATACATCGTATAAGCAGACTGGCAAGACTAGCGAATATCCTCACCCCAACGACCGCAGTTTTTGACAACTTAAAACACCTCAGACAGTGATAGCATGCAAGTCATTTGGATCAGTTGATCTGGAAAGCCATTTCAATGTTGGAAGTGTTCACCAAGACTGACCAATCAGGTGTCCCAGCTATAGTTAGTATATACTTATCGTTGCCTCAGGAAACTTCCGAGCGGTCAACAATGGGCGGTTATTATTCTGCCGGACGCATTGTCTCCGGCCCATCTCCAATTCCATTTCTTTGTGAAGACCAGCTTTGTTCACTCCCTCTGCAGAATCTGACCCTCGCGCATGGTCGAGGCGCGCTACTCGAACTTCTGATTCTCAAAAATGGTGTTGTCGCCGCAACTCTCCTGCTAATCGTTGGATTCCTCCCTCTCTTCGCATCTTCGCGACCTCCGCCCCACCCACCTCGTTATGGCCAGCCAACCTCCCATTCTGGACGAGTTCCTCGGCGGCATAGCTGTCCAGATTCAGAACCGCGACGGCGCCAAACTGCAGGACCTCTTACAGATTGAGCCTCCGCTCTCGGAAGCCTACCAGCGCTTGATCCAGGAGCTCCGACAACGATATCCGCCAGGTCCTCAGAGCGATTCGGATCTCTTACAACGATGCGAGGCATTGATACCGCGCACCAAGGGTGGTTCGTCATGGACAGCCTTTCCGACCTTTATGAAGCTCTATTTCACCTTCCTCCGCGATGTTAATACCGATAACCTCCTTGATACATACAATCAGCTCAAGGCGCTGCTTAAGTGAGTCGCCATTCCTTGATGGGAGCTTGACTTTCCACCTCCTCTCTACAACCGTTGACATCGTGGCTAACTCGATTCGCTGCTCTATAGTCAATGCGTTTTAGCCCTTGGCGACAGCCAAATGGGTGTCGTCGTCCTCCCTACCGTTCTCTACCTGTCGAAAGTGTTGGCAAAGCTAGCAATGGGATTAGACCGCCGGCCGGAACTAATCGCGCACATCTTGCGCATGGAAGGGTCCATGGATAATGATGAAAGTATCGAAAAAGTGACATTGGTGGAGCAATCGGCAAACGTGGTGCGCGAGGCCTTCATCAAGTGCTTGACAGATCGCACTGGTACTCCAGGCCCACAGGGGAAGCCCGAAGGAAAGCGCGTTGGGATTTACCTCATGGCCAACCTGTGCCTCAAGCTCCTTTTTCAGGTATGTACCGCACCTGTATGGGTGTACCGTGCCAAAATTCTCTCGAAACTTGAGAGACGTTCGAACTGACATTTGTCCAATCAGTGCGGCAAGCTGCGAAATGCCGAACAAATGTTCGCCAGCATCACTGCCCAGTCTCCCCCTTTAGCCCATTTCCCTGCCTCACAGCGTGTGACATACCTCTACTACCTTGGCCGTTACTTATTCTCCAACAACCTTTTCTATCCCGCCCTCATTGCCCTTCAGGCCGCATATGACCAATGTCACCGCCAAGCAATCAGCCAACGACACTTGATTCTCGCTTATTTGATCCCATGCAACATAATCATGGGTCGATTCCCATCTCGGAAACTACTACAACGGCCCGAGGCAAATGGGCTGACCGACAAATTCGAGCAGTTGTGCAGATTGATTGTTCGCGGAGATTACATCGCTTTCCGAGAGTATCTCTCCCCGAGCTCGCCCGCTGCCGAGTGGTTTGCCCGTAAGGGAATCTTGCTTACGATCCGCAACCGATGTGAGATCATGGTGTGGCGATCATTCTGCCGGAAAGTGTTTATTCACAGTGGATTTCATGGGGACCCGCAGGCGCAGGCGCAGCGTGGCCCCCCGCCTTATCTTTACCTCGAGAAATTGACTGTAGCCACCCGATGGCTCCAGTCTCAGCATCGCCAGGCCCAGCTGTCGAACGGAGTCAATCATGCGACACCTGACTTCCATTTCTACGGGTCTCAGGTTATTCCCGAGCCAATTGATCCCGACTTCAAGGGCCTCGATGGCTCGGAGATACCGACGGCACAGCAGTTGTTAGAGAAATTTGGCGATTATCTCGCGCCGGACGGATTCTTCGATGAAGGAGGCCATTGGCACGAGAACATGCCTGGTCGGTTGATCGACGGGAATCCAGGCGCTGATTATGATGCGTTTGAACTGGATCCCTACGCCGAGGCCACGGAAGACGGCCCAGAAGCAGACAAACAGTCTCTGCTTATGGATGAGGTCGAATCTATTCTTGCCTCACTTCTTACCCAAGGACTTATGCGCGGTTATCTAACTCATCGAAACCCCCGTTTTGCTATTCCTGGGGCTCGAGTACGGGGTGCGCTACCGACCGGCTTCCCCAACATTTGGGAGACGATCTTCGCTCGCGAGAAAGACGATGATAGTGTTCCGGGGTGGGTGCGGCCTCCGCCACCAGGGGCATTGGGCGCCGCTGGAGGTGGCCGAGTGGTGAATTTGTCAGGAGCACGACCGGTTGGTGTGCAATAAGGAATTTGGATATTGGCGGGCTATCTAACCCATGAATTTTGAATCTGTTTTTACGATACCTACAGCTTATGCTCAATGAAGAAATACTTGGGAAATTTTGCGGTGACACGCGATCTAATCTATTCTTCGCAATGTAACAATGAAATCCGAACAAAACCAGCAAGCCAATTCAAACTCCCGAAAAGGACGACCAATTATACGATCAACGCAATCGACAGCTTCAAGATGTGTCAAAATCAAAGTTCCATCTCCACAGTCTTAGAGCTTGGATTTGTTCCACCAGATATCTGGGCGCCACATCTCGTTCAACAGTCGACTGGCGTTGACCATGTCCGGTCGAAGTTGGTCAAGTGATGAAACCCCAAGCATCTTCATGGTGATCTCGATCTCCTCAGCAAGAACTAAAATCAAGTTAGCAAAAGCTTTCAACCCCTTGAATGACGGAATCAACTTACCGTCAGTGCACTTCTCAACGCCTTCAATACCATAAGCTGCCATGGCATAAAAGTATGGCCGACCAACTCCCACAGCCGTTGCCCCGAGACACAAAGCCTTGAGAACATCGGCACCATCCCGAAGACCACCGTCGACAAAGATCTCCAACTTGTCGAATGCCTCGGGGTAGTATGTACGGGTCTCCAACAGGGTCATCAGGGCACTGGGAGCCGAATGAATCTGTCGGCCACCGTGATTGCTCAAAAGAACACCCTGCACGCCGTGTTGGACCGCCAACTTGACATCTTCCACGGTCTGAATCCCCTTCAGAACGATCGGACCATTCCACTCCTCCGAGATCCACGACAAATCATCCCAATTGAGACCGGGATCGAGGTATCCCGGTACAGGCCGGCCTCCAAATGCAGGACCAAAGGCGTTGTCAGCCGCCGCCTCTCGGACTGTCTCACGGCTACCTTGATCGAGAGCTTCTTGTGCTTGCAAGTACCGATCTGCCGTTCGTTTGCCCAGCGTAGAAGTATCTACTGTAATCCATAGACTGTGATATCCAGCAGCTTTGACCCTCCGAATCAGGGACCGAGCTAGATTCCGATCCACGGGGACGTATAACTGGAAAGCGAGCTTGGACGGACTTTGATGACCAAGTTGGCGCTGCTCGTCGAGATGAGCCTCCATGATCTCCTCCAACGGTTTGCTCGTCGCCGTGCTGACCACGGTATGTAAGCCCTTTCGAGTAGCTCCTCGTACCAGCAAGGGCTCTGCGCCTGGGTGTGCGTTACCCAGCGTTCCCATCGCCGAGACGAAGAAGGGTTGACTACCGGGTTGCCCCAGGATAGACCGGGTTGGATTCAGTGAACTGACACTCCTCATGATGCGAGGTCGGAAGTTGATTCGAGACCAGTCGTCTAGATTGGATTGGAGGGATAGACCCGAGGCTGCGCTGCTGGAGGCGTAGACCCATGCCTTGTTTGGGAGAACCTTCTTTGCGGCTGCCTCGAAGTCTTCGGTGGTGATGCAGAGGGCCAGATTGGGTGGTGATGTCTGATCGTTTGCCATGTTGTCGGTGTTTGCAGAGTTCGTGAAGTGTAGAGATGTCTAGCAAGTATAGAAGCAAAAGGCTATAAACAAGAAGCCGTATACAGTATTTCAATCGTGAAGGGACCGTTTTGAAGTATATATGGAGTGTTTTAAAATGATGTTTAAGAAGATTATTATTTCTATCATCTCACAGCCCAAGCTCCTAGGGATATAAGTATACAAAAGTACAAATGTGTCAAAGTAGATCACGTCCGAGTCCTTTCGTACGAGAAAAGCCCTGGAAAATGATCTCCGTCCGGACTTCGGCCCCGTGGAATTTCTCTCCTTCTTCAACCTCCTCCCCACCCCGGATTGACTGGCTCCTTGGAATGATCAGCTGACTCAATTGATTCTCTCTCAAAGACGGCCATCGATTGGCGAGAGTTGCCCACATCCAACGCATCGGCTATTCACCTCTTTCGTCGCAAGCCGATCGGCTGGCAGAGAAAAAACTCCACTCTCCAAGTGTCCGAACCCTTGATTGGTGGTAAATCCCGTGGGCTCACTCGGGCTCCCCCAGAACCGAACTTTGGATGCCAAAACCCGACCATCACTAAGCCGGGCTTTACCCGAGAGCAAAGAACGAGAATATGGAAAACGTGCGATCGTGAGAATCCGGGGGACATGCCCCGCCCCCGAATCACCCCCAGTCGGCCCTTGCCCGAGATGGTCAAGCGACGAGGAAGGCATTTCTAGAAGTGAGAGAGAGCTGCTGCGGCTTCAAATATCCTGCGTGGTGCCACTCGGAGGGCTTCAATCCAGGAGCCTTGACCTCTCTGCCCTGTCGGCATTTGATCGATTGACGGCAATTGAACCAGCGCCAACCAGCGTTAAGTGCCAACCAACACTAAGACCTCACGTCCAGCCACTGCTAGCCACCATGGGCTTTCGGGCCGTCGAGGATCGTCCTACCCCAAAGGAGGTCTACAACTGGCGCTTGTACTCCGAGGCAATCATCATTGCTACTGGATCATTGCTGTAAGGTGGATCGCCGGGAAGAGCGAGAGATTGGCCTTGTTAACTTGAAAATCAAATAGTTTCGGATATGACTCGGCCTTTGTGGGCACGACTATTTCACGCGAGAGCTTCCTGACCGATTTCCATATCACCAAGGCCAACAGTAGTGCCATCTCAAGCAATATTACCTCGATCTTTCAAGCTGGCGCATTCTTTGGGGCTCTTTTCTGCTTTTTCTGTCAGTCAATCGAGCCAATTCCCTACTTCTTGGAAGGAAAAACAAGAAAAGTTACTAACTCATTGCTGCTTTATAGTTACTGAGCGTTTTGGTCGAAAATGGACACTACAAATCAATGTGTTTGTATTCATCATTGGTGCGGTGATGATGACCGCGGCGACCCATCAATTGGGTCTCATTTGTACAGTGGCCCCTTGCCTTCGCCTATAGTATCATGTTCATGCCACTAACGGACAGCTATATAGACGCCGGTCGTGTGTTGACGGGTATTGGCTGCGGCGCGATTACGGCTACCGTTCCTAGCTATATTGCAGAGCTATCCATTCCCTCCATTCGAGGTATCTTGACAGGTTTCTTCGAGTGCGCCTACCAGATTGGTTCCGTGATCGGATTCTGGATCAACTTTGGTATCACGGAGAACATGTCCGCCAAGTCGTCGACAAGTTGGAGGATTCCCATGGGCGTACAGCTCATTCCCGCGGTGATTCTATTCATCGGTGGATTTTTCCTTCACGAGTCTCCGCTCTGGCTTATGCGCAAAGAGCGCAATGACGAGGCCTATCGTGCCCTCGAAACCTTGCGCAGGTTACCCGTGGATCACCCCTACCTGCAGCAGGAGATTCAGCTCATTCAGAACCGATTGAATGAAGAAGCGAGTGTCGCAAGCAAGTATGGCCAGGGACCGTGGGCTTTCTTCCGTGGTGCGATGGACGAGTTCTCGCGCCGAGGTATGCGTAATCGTGTGTTCCTCGTCTTCTGTGCTTTTGCTTTGAATAATCTTTCCGGTGCTTCTGGTATGTGATAACCCTTCCCTTGATGACTTGCTCGTCTGGACTAACCGCGTCTAGCTATCAATTACTACTCGCCTACTCTGTTCGCGTCCATCGGAATCAAGGATACGGCGCTGTACACCGGAATTTACGGTCTCGTCAAGGCGGTTGCATCCCTCATCTTCTACATTGCTTTCGTTGACAGAATTGGTCGTCGTCGCCCAGTCATTGTATCTTCGATTGTCTGCTCCCTCTGCCTCTGGTACGTCGGTGCCTATGTCAAGGTTGGTAACCCTGCCGCCGTCATTGCCGATGGCGGTACTCTGTCAGACTCCACGACTGGCGGGGGTCACGCAGCAACTGCAATGATTATGATCTACGCCGTGTTCTGGTCATTCGGCCTCAATGGTATTCCCTGGATTGTCTCTGCGGAGATTTTCCCGGGTGCCTTACGAAACTTCTCCGGCACTTGGGCGGCCCTCGTCCAATGGGCCACTCAGTTCCCGATGAGCAAATGTCTTCCGTATATGTTCAACTCTTTTGGATACGGAACTTGGTTCTTTTTCGCGGGTTTCATGGTCGTTGCCACTGTTTGGTCTTACTTCCTACTCCCCGAGACTAAGGGTTTGACGATTGATCAAATGGATATGATCTTGTACGTCTCCCTCCCACTTCTTTTTCTCTGCATTTTACTGACAATTGGTAGCGGTTACAATCAACCTGGACACCGCGGCATTCCACACACTCGCATTACCCAGACTCACTTGGAAGCATCCAATGCAGGTGCTCCTGATAAACCGACCCAGCCCGAGCATTTCGAGATTGTCTAAAGGGAAAGTCAGCGGAACAGCTATCGATTTGGTAACGAGGCCAAGTGTCAAGCATGCTGCGGATGTGGGCCTGTGATGATGATGCTGACGCATCAATTCAAATACGCACGACTTGCACTGCCTACTGTACGAATAGACTATGATTGATAGAAAGCAAAGTACATATAATTCAATATCACGTCAGAGACATAACAAGGCACTAAAGTAACAACACCGTTAAGCATAAATACAGAAAGCCATATCCCTCATCATTCATCAAGTCAACTTGAGGCCAGCTGTTCGGACGCAGTAGTATTTGCAAGCCACCAGGGCCAACATGGTCGATGTTACATGTTCTCGTTTAGAACCTAGTACGGGTATTGTTAGCAATGAGTATTAGTGCGCATGGACCAAACATACAGCATCAACATTTTCTCGGCCTTCATCTGCTCAGGTTTCTTCTCGCCTCGCATTGGCGACGTGGCCTTCGTAGTGGGAGTTGGAGTAGCCATGGACGTTGGAGTCGCACGCTTCATCGGCATTGACATAGACGAGGACATGGGCATGGCTGAAGTTGCAGGAAGATCAACTTCTTGATGGTGCTACGTATCAGAGAATATATTGATTAGTTAAATGGCCTGGCGGTTATTTGAGAGGCGAAACAAACCTGCTGGTTTCCACCGCGGGGTAGAGCGACGGCAACGGTTGCAAACAGAGCGTAAAGGACTTTGAAGTGCATCATGAATAGAATCAAGATGGGATTGGTTGGTAGTGAAAAGTGAAAGTTGGATTATTTTGAGGAAATTGGGCGACTAGGCGAAATTGGTCGAAGAACTGAATGCTTGAGAAAGAGATGACAGAGAATAGTATAAGCCTTTTATACTTGAACTTCTCTCTAGTTCAATGGTAGTTCTGATGATGCAATTATCGCTAGCAAGTAGATATTCCCACCAGAAAGGCAGATCCATTCATGAGACGTCGAGAAGGAGGGGTATAAACGCAGACCATCTACGTCAGATGCACCTCCAGGCCTCCAAGTGGTGAGAATAAGCTCACAGGAGCCCCTGCAGGACCAAATTTGCTCATAGTATTATTTGAAGCAGGCTTATTCTGATGTCAGTGGAATGTGGGCAAGGAGGGGTCCTCATGCCTGGTGACACGCATATCCTTCGGAAGTACCCCTTGATTAGCATGGAAGCATCTCATGAGGCTTGGCGTTTTTTAGCAATATGTGAGCATATGAGGAGGTCCAAACAGGCCCTTTGTTCCAATAAGTGAATGTATGGTATGGCGCATTTTGTCTAATTTTTCTGCCTTCGACAGAGAGTCGTTACGTATCTGTAAAGTACATCTAGTATATGAAAGTCTATAATTCAACTTTTAGCTCTTCTTAGCCGCATAGTATCGCCTCCAGCTTGCCCACATAAAGCAGATAGAAACGAGCAACCCTAATCCAGCTAAGCCGATTCCCATGTACAGGGCGCCGCGATATCCACGTAGAACATTGCGACCCGCGTCATTGACATGGGACTCCACGGTGCCTGCAAATCCGAGACCCAACGAGATCGAGTAGTTGATAGTGGTGGCCACGAGGGATGCAGCCAACCCTTGATGGTGGCGATGCATCGCATTGCTGAGGATGAGTGTTCCAGAGGGGAAGGACATATCCCTTTAGGTAAATCAAGCTTGTTAGCATATGACTTATGACGAGAGATTAATTGGAACAATGAAACACATACATTCCCCAGGAGGTAATCAGGCTGACGACAAAGGCCTGTGCCCAGTATGTTTGCTCCACTGGCACAGTGGCAAAGATGCATAGACCGGCTGTGAAGAAGCCCATGGCGCAGAACATGATGACGCTGGGTGGCCAGCGACCTAGCAGGAACCCAGTGACGAGGGCTGCAATAGCACCCGAAGGGGCAGCTGCTGACCATTTAGCGGTTGCTAACAATGGCGAATTTCCTTTGATGACCTCCATAAACTGGTAGAAGTAGTAAATGATGATTCCAAAACTGGACCATCCTGCCGCGATACACCCAAGGACCCATGCCAGGTCGCCAGTAAAGACCGATCGTGGTAACAACGGGCATACTGCTTGACGCTCGATGTATGCGAATATACCGAGGCTGATAAAACCCACGATAAGAAGCACGTAGGTATAGGGATTCTTCCAACCGACGAGTGCAGCCTGATTCCAGGCAAAGTTGATGAGCACAAGGCCAGAAATTCCGGTGGCCGCTCCGAGTAGATCCAGTCGCTCCCAGAAAGGGATATCATCGTCGAATCTAGGCCGGGGAGTATGAGGAATTATCAACCATCCAGCCAATGCTAGTACAGCGCAGACCATCCCCATTACCCAATATCCCCAAGGCCACCAGACGAGCTGAGCGAAGATGGACGAAAATACACCACCAACTATGAACCCTCCCGGAGCAGTTGCGCCGAAAAGGCTAAAGATCATTTCTTTGCGAAATCCCGGTGGATAGGTTCGGCCCAAGATGGCAATAGCATTGGGAAGCAACATTGCTGGTCCGATTCCTTGCAGAGCACGACAGCAGTCGAAGAAGATCTTATTCGACCAAACACTGAACCCTGCGAGCAGGGACCATAGACTAAACCAGCAGAAGCCGATCACAAATAGACGACGGTGGCCATAGACATCCCCTAGTCGGCCTGCGACTAGGATGAAGGTCCCAACGGTCAAACTGTATGAGGCAGCAAACCAACTCAGTTCGGCTGGGTTGGATGTTCCAAAGCTACGACCGATGATATGCACGGGAGCAATGGACATATTAAGACCTGCTTGGGTCATGAATTGGGCCATGCATACCACGCTAACGAACAGAATCTCCCGGGTCAAGGATTTTGGGGGTGACATCTGTGATTGCGAGGTCTCCAGTCGAGTCAAGGCCTCAGGGTCGGTGTCTCGCTGCGTGGGTGGTTTTCGTAGGTCGACTGAATGGCCCCGATCCGAGTCGGTTGACCGACTGTGGCGAGAACTATGATCCATGACTTGTGGCAGTGAGGAGAGTATATGTGATGAGGATAGGGAGTGTCAAGTCATGCGGAGTGCATATATTACCCTGTTGATTTGAGAATAGATGATCTGCAGGAGTATTGTAGTGTAAAGTGCCCATCGATTAATGTACGAGTCACCGAGTAAGTATATCTTGTTTTTAACTTCCGTCGGGAGCAGATCCGACGGAATAAACTCTGTCCATTCTCGGGAAGACATTAATGAACAATATGGAAGGAGTCTAGAACATTTGGGTTATACAAGCACTAGTGAGTTGGAATGAGGCTCTTGCGCACTATAGATCTCTTCAAGCTCTTCTGAACCTGTCATGTACAGTATACTCTAAAAATGCCATGCATGTTGATTCCACAGACTAAATTAGGAATTTGCATGTTAATCTCCGTTGATCGGAGCTTAACCCTGCGTCATCGTACTAACGGGATAGACAGGAGCCATTCTACCCACCACTCTAGACGATAAAGAATGAGATTTTATGTTGGCGGTGTTAATGATATGAGTCTAGATTTTCTCCATGGAATTTTACAACCACCCTATCACTATAAAACTGGCAGAAGTAAATATCATCCCGATGAGCTTTTTTTTTTTTTTATTAATTTAAGGTTCCTTAAAAATCAGGTGGATCCCGCGGCTGCAGTTACATAAGCATCACATGTCACGCCTTTTTTTCTCCGCGTGGACTGACTGGCGTCCTTTTTTCAAACTCCCCATTCTCGCGGCTTTTCAGCACTGCGTGCTGCCTGCTATCTGGCCATGTTCAGTTGAGCTTCAACCGGCTTTCGTGATCAGCTCGAGTTGCTGTTGCTGCCGCGTTGGAGATAACCGGCAGCCGTGGTAACCCCTCCACACTCCTTTCCCCCCCCACTCTTTTCTTCAGACAGTATGGCGGACGCTCCGCCCATTGTCTTCATCGCCAGGTACGTGAGGTTGAGTATTGTTATAACTTTGAACTTGAACTGACTTGGCTAGGCATGGCGCTCGTCTTGATGCGGCCGACAAGGACTGGCATTTGACCTCTCCTACTCCTTATGACCCCCCTCTGTCGTACGGTGGGTGGATGCAGGCGCGGGCGCTTGGTCTCCGCATTGCCAGTCTCTTACAAGACTCCGAGTTCACAGGCAAGGAACCAGAGGCTAACTCTGGCCCCTTTTCGGCCTCGGATACTCCTACAGCATTGCAACCAACCCCTGCATCCTCGGACTCGTCCCCCCGATACAACGTTATCGTCCACACGTCTCCATACCTGCGATGTTTACAAACGGCGATCGGCGTGAGTGCAGGCCTCAGTCACTCCCGTCCGGGTGGTGAAACGTCTGAGTCGGTCGGATCACCGCCCGGGTCTCAGCCTCACGCAGGAGAGGCTGGGAGTCAGGATATCCGACCGCTTCTGCGCGTCGACGCGTTCCTGGGCGAGTGGTTGTCGCCTGATTACTTTGACCAGATTGTCCCGCCACCCGCATCGGACAGGATGGTTGCCTCGGCCAAAGCTGAGCTACTTCGTCGTGCCGAGGGAATTCCGATGGTGAGAGAAATAAGATCTTCTTCGGGCCACTTCCCTGGGGGATGGGGCAGTCAGTCTCACCCAGCATCGCCAAATGAGGATGAAGACCGCCGGCTACCCTCACGCGGCTCGCCAGCTGCCACCCCTCCTGGCCAGCAACCTCAGCGACAACGGGCCAGCACCTACGATACTCTTCAGGGCCCCGCTCCGACCAACGGTGCCCCTCTAGCCTTGGGCCGCTTGAACACCGACCTCCCCTCCGCTGTAGATGCGGCTTACGTGCCCCCGACTCCCGGGTATGCAGTTTCCCCCTCGGATCCCATCCCAGCCGGCTATGTGGCGCATGCACGGGACGCTTGTACCAGGATCGACTACCAATGGGACAGCATGCGAACACCGTTCTGGGGCACGGGCGGCGAGTACGGCGAGGAGTGGAGCAGCATGCATGAGAGGATACACACAGGGTTCCAACATATGGTGGATTATTACCGCCAACCAGGGAGTAATGCCAGCGACCGATCCAGGGCCATGTCTAATGGCTCACTGCGCAAGGAAAATCCTGCCCAGACCGTGCTTATTATCATCACCCACGGAGCGGATTGTAACGCTCTGATTGGCTCCCTCGCTGGGCGTTCAGTACTCCTGGACATCGGTACTGCGTCCCTCACCATGGCAGTGCGACGGGGCCGCGTGAGGAAGAAGAGCACGACCCCAGACTCCGATCGCACGGCCATCTCTCCTACCAGTTCCTCCCCCTCCTCGCCCAGTAGTCAGGGGGATCGATCGGTCTCCCATGAGTACTCTTTACAACTCATCGCCTCAAGTGACCACCTGCGTGCGGGGGTTAACCCCTCTCAGCTCGCTTCGCTGTCCTCTCCCTCGGCTCCACAACCACTCCCGCCGCCTTCCATCCCGACCTATCGCAATCGCCTCGGCTCGCGTCCATCAGCATCGATCTTGCAAGGTTCCTTCTTGATCGATCCCACCCCGAAGACGGGGCCAAGTTCTCGCAGTTGGTCCATGAATTCTCGTCCATCCCCTACCACGATGGGTTCACGAGGAGCATCGGGCCTTTGGGGCTCTATCTCGTCCCCCACCGAGGAAGCTGATGAAGATGCCGAGGACGACTTTGTCCCGAATTTTGGAGGACCACGACCCGTGAGCCGCGACTCGTCGCCGTCCGATATTATTGTTGACCGTTCGGGATGGACGAAACAATTACCCCAGCGTACACTCTCTCAGCGTGGGCTGTGGGGCAGTGCGCCGTCCTTGGAGGATCGCGATGCGGCTTCGAGACGGCGATGGACTGTGACGGAGCAGAAACTGTGATCGCAATGACTCAGTAACGACTTCTTTCTTTTTCGTGTAGCTATTATTCTTAGGATACCTCTTTTGCATGGCGCTGGGCGTTGAACAATTGCATCTGGCCATTTCGGTCGCTTGAAATTCTATTCTTCTTCTCTTCAGGTATCCACGCGTTAAGGCACTCAGGCATCCAGGCACCAAGGAACTCAGCCACTCCCCGCCGCGGATTCCCCGGATTCCCGCTTTGTCCCACCTTCGTAAACAGCTCCCTCTTTACATCTCCTTCTGCACCCTCTATCCCTCCTTCTCTCTTCCTCTTCCCTCTTCACAACTAACTCCCACCTTGTATCAATCCTATTCCGTCGGGCTTCCATGTCAAACCTCGAGTCCGACGGTTTATCCGTCGCCTACACCTCGGACCGTACCGGCTCGCCCGATCTGCGACTAATCCACTACAATGACGTCTATCACATCGAGTATGATCGCTCGCGCCTCTCACACCTCTCACGCCTTGCGCAAACTTAGAAAATAGCTAACTAGAGCTTCACAGGTCCGGATCAGCCGAGCCCATTGGTGGTGCCTCCCGATTCCAGTCTCTCGTGAATTATTACCGCTCCGACCCGCGGTTTACCGGTCAACCTGACGTCCTCACCTTCTTCTCCGGCGATGCCTTCAATCCCAGCCTCGAGAGCACCGTCACAAAGGGTCGCCATATGGTGCCCTTCCTGAATAAAACCGGGATCGATGTAGCGTGTGTGGGTGTGAGTACGGATCATCATTATTTAGAAATGGGCTGAGCCACTGTACTGACATGGTCAGAATCATGATCTGGACTTCGGAGTGTCGCAATTTCGACATCTGTCGAGCCAATGTCATTTCCCTTGGCTGCTGGCCAACGTTCTCGATCCAGCCCTTGGAGAGGATGTTCCAATCGCCAACTGCGGGAAAACGTGCTTGCTGACCTCCTCTAATGGTATCAAGATTGGTGTGATTGGTTTAGGGGAGAGAGAATGGTATGGCCGTCTGGGAATGCGCTTGATCAGTTTTCTACATGTACTCATCTATCTCCAGGCTTGGCACGATTAACTCGCTTCCGCCCGACTTGATTTACAAATCTGCTTCCGCGACTGCGAAAGAACTGGCACCCCAACTCCGAGAACAGGGCGCAGAGTTGGTTGTCGTCGTTTCTCATCAGCGCGAGCCAAATGACAACAAACTGGCCAACAATCTGCCCCCAGGACTAGTTGATATTATTCTTGGAGGACACGATCACTACTACGCTCATACAGTTGTTAACGGGACTCATGTACTACGATCTGGCACTGATTTTAAGCAGTTGAGTTACATCGAAGCTTTTCGCAAACCTAGTACAGAGGCGGGCTGGGATTTCAACATCATACGACGGGATGTCGTACGGTCCATTCCGGAGGACCCGGCGACCATTGCCATGGTTGATCGACTAACATCCAGCCTCCAGGCAAAGCTTGAGAAGCCCGTAGGCTACACAGTCAGCCCGCTAGATGGTCGATTTTCCACCGTTCGCCAGCGCGAGTCAAATTTGGGCAACTTCGTGTGCGACTTGATGCGCTACTATTATGCCGCCGATTGTGCAATGATGGCCGGTGGGACCATTCGCGGCGATCAAATCTACCCGCCCGGTATTCTACGGCTGAAAGATCTGTTGAATTGTTTCCCTTTCGAAGACCCGGTAGTTCTTCTACGCCTTCGCGGTCGGGCTTTGTTGGATGCATTGGAAAACGGAGTCAGCCAGCTTCCGGCCCTCGAGGGTCGATTCACCCAAGTTTCCAACATTTCCTTTGGTTTCAAGCTGAATGCCCCTTCTGGCTCACGCTTAACTTTTGCGCGAGTGGGTGGACAAGCTATTGACCCGGAACGGGAATACGTTGTTGCCACACGTGGTTACATGGCTCGTGGAAAGGATGGCTTCACGTCGCTGCTGGTTAAATCCGAGGGTGGTGACGTTGAGGAACTGGTTTGCGAAGAGAACGGAGTCCTCATCAGCACTATCCTGCGCCAATATTTCCTCAGCCTCAAGGTACTCGGCAAGTGGCGTCGTTGGAGTCCGAGTCTTCGTCGACATTGGGGTTTGGTGCACCGGAGTCTGCATCGTAGTGGCTGGCTTAAACCACCCTCGGCATTGCCATCGCCAGAGACGGAGAAAGCGCCGGCTCATCGACTAGAGCTGCGACCGCCACTTCAACGAACCAGTCGCGAGGCTTACTATTATGGAAGGTTCCCTCAGGAAATTGAGCCAGCCCAGGTTGCTACCAACGGGACTAACAGCGATGCCATGGACTCGGACTCTGATGAGGACCCCGAGATCCTCACGTCGCCCATGCCAACGAGCAACTATGTGACATATCCTGCCAAGTCGTCTACGGAAGAAGAACACCGCTTAAAGCTCGCACGTCGTGTTGTTCGAAAGTGGATGCGACATGCTGGGCTAGAGCCATCGGCCCTCAACAGCATGGATGGCGAGGGTGAGTTTATCCCTCCTTGGACGTCTGGAATTTCCCCTCGGGTCGAGGGACGCATCGTGGTTGAGTGAAGACGGAGACTCTAGGGATTTCCTAGGGCTTTTGCTGAGGGGCTTTGAACAATTTTTCTTTGCACTTGGTATTGTCTTCTCCTTGCTTTCGCTTTACTGCTTTGAATCTTCGCTTTTTACGATCTGCAGGCGTTTTGAATTCTGGTCTGGCGAAGATGGATTGCATCTAATGGCTACGAGATCATGAGGGGCACTGCTGCACATAGACCAGGCGCTACATATGGCAGATACAACGGGGTGCCAAATACTTTCGGCTTATATTCTTAGACAGTGTTAATTCAAGCTCATATCAATTTTCGCATTCCATTAGGACGGTTTGCATGTTATTTTGGCATATTTATAGATGTCTATTCACATCTCAGCATCTAGATCTATGCTCTAACAATATACAGTGGCCTTTAAGCAGCCAACTCCTCGGCACCCCATCCACCACCACCAGCAGTCATGATAACCACCCGGTCATGTGTCTTCACGGAGACAGTGTTCTTGCCTCCAATATTGATGTGTCGCTCCTCACCAGTTTCAACATTCTTCGTGATCCACTGGTTCAAACCCGGTTCTGCATCTTGACCGCCCTCCAATCCATAAGGACGGTGCACACGACGCTCGGACAAGATGGAGCACTGCATTGGAGCGAGGAACTCGATGTCACGGACTACACCCTCGCCACCGGGGTTCTTGCCTCGTCCACCAGAGCCGTTGCGAAGTGTGAATTGGCGAAGGAGAGTCGGATAACGTTTCTCCAGAATTTCGGGGTCCGTAATACGAGTATTCGTCATGTGAACCTGAACACCGGATTCACCCTTCCAAGTAGGACCGGCGCCGCTGCCACCTGCGATCGTCTCGTAGTATCCGAATCCAGGGGTGATCACCTTTCCGGTTTCAGCATCGATCTTGGGGTTGGTGCCGAATGTCAGGTTGTTGCAGCAGCCCTGCGATGCTGCGCAGGCTCGGAAGGCTTTGAGGACAACGTCGGTGATGCGCTGGGAGGTGACCACGTTGCCTCCCACGACTGCAGCAGTCTTCGTTGGTGACAAGATGCTAGGAGAGGGGACGCGGATGTCAATTGGAGCCAGGCAGCCCTGGTTCAGGGGGACGTCGGCGTTGATCATGCACCGCAGACAATAGATAATGGCGGAATGAGTGATGGCAATGGGAGCGTTCCAACTGCCGTACACTTCAGGTCCAGTACCATCAAAGTCGAAGATGGCAGATCCGTTCGACCCATCAATGGTGACCTTGAGGCGAATGGGTGTACCATCATCCATGTAATCAACTGCCTCCAGAGGCTGACCACCGAACTTCTGGTGTAGCCCCTTGAGAAGATTCCGGACAGCCGTCTCGGCAGTAGCCTGAATGGCGTACATATACTTTTGCACGGTTTCAACGCCATACTCGTTGAAGAGAGTCTGAATGAGGCTGATACCTCGGGTGTTGGCGGCGATCTGTGCCTTGAGATCGGAGAGGTTGTCACTGATGCAACGTGCACCAGAGCAGCCGGGATATTGAGAGGGCTTGGTGACCAGCAACTCGATCAGACGGGCTTCGTCGAGAACCCCATCGCTGACGATCTTGTCGCCTTCGATGGCTGCACCCTCCTGCCACAGCTCTGTCGACTTGGGAGGCATGGAACCAGGTAGGATACCGCCAATGTCTGCGTGGTGACCGCGCGATGCAACGTAGAACATGATCTCGGTGCCACCGGGTCTATCGAAGACGGGGGTGATGACCTTTAGCATATAGGTTAGCAGTTATTCAAATGATGCACAATCGATGAGAGTTACTTGCCGTAATATCAGGGAGATGAGTGCCACCGCAGCTAGGGTGGTTGGCCACGAGTACATCGCCATCCTTCAGGTTGCCCAGCCACTTTTGATGCTGGTAACGCACAGCGAATTGCATCGAGCCCAAGTGGACAGGAACGTGAGGGGCGTTCGCGACAAGGCCTCCATCGGGGGAGAACAGGGCGCAGGAGAAGTCCAATCGCTCCTTGATGTTAGTCGACACGGAAGTCTTCTGAAGAGTGCGTCCCATCTGCTCGGCGATAGACATGAATCTATGTCCGAAGATACTGAGACGGATCGGGTCAATCTCGGACGATGTCTGAGTTTCTGGTGCTGAAACTGATTGAGTCTCCTTCAGAATATCGATGACGATGCATGTTTCAAGTAGGTTGGCAACAGAGTTGGGAGCCACGACAATCGTCTGGGTTTGATCAATGATAACGGCAGGACCGAAGATGCGGCTGTGCTTCTCCAATTGATCGAGCAGATACACAGGGGTGTCAATGCGCGTGGGGTGTCCGTCAAAGTAAGCAGATGTAGTGTTGGCCGGCAGCGTTGTGACATCGTGGAGATCGGCATCCTTCAGCTGCAGGAGAGGGCTGCGTTCGGTGCGGACCTTAGAAGAGGCAATCGTACGCACACGAATATCATCGACAAGCACGGCTCGCTCAGAGTTGAAGTTGAACTCACGACGGTGGCGTTCGCGGAATTCAGCCAGGAAATCTGAAGATCCTTCAGGTCGTAGGATCATGAGACTCGTGTCTGATCCTTCGTACCGCATGTTGAGGTACTGCTCATGTCGCACCTGGCTTGATGCAAATCCTTGTCCTTCCATTTCTGTTGTCGCAGTTGCGGCCATGTCATCAAATCGTTGAAGCAGACTTGAATGAGAAGAAAGATAGTCCGAAGACACCGGCTCCTGTGACTCTTTGACGACCTCTGCCAGTGCTAGTCCGTACGCTGACAGGACTGAGGAATATTTGTGAATGATGATACGCGAAATACCCAGCGAGACGGCAACAGAGCATGCATGCTGACCACCAGCACCCCCGAAGCACGCCAAATGGTGGGAGGCGGTCTCGAAACCACGGGCTTCAGTAAGATTGCGGATTGGCCGGGCCATTGACTCGTCGGCAACCTTGAGGAATCCCAAAGCAACCTCCTCTGGTGTGTACTCTGGCTGGAAGTGGTGCCGACGCTCAACGTTGATCTCTTGAGTCAATGCGAGGAACTTTTGTGCTGTGATCTCCGTGTCAAGTGGCTGGTCCTCGTTGGGACCGAACATGTGCGGGAAGTACTCGGGCAGCAGTCGGCCCAGGAACAGGTTGGCGTCCGTCACAGTGAGAGGGCCTCCTTTGCGGTAACAAGCCGGGCCAGGATGAGCACTGGCAGACTCGGGACCAACGTAGAAAAGGCCGTTGCGCCATGTGAGAATGGAGCCACCGCCAGCGGCGACTGTGTTGATATCAAGCTGGGGTGACTGGATTAGGACACCGGCAACTTTAGATCCGAAGACGTGTTCCAAGTGTCCATCGAATCGAGAGACATCGGTTGATGTACCACCCATGTCGAATCCAATAACGGGGATCTTCTCAACAGGATCCCAACTGGTGGCTGCAAATCCAACCACGCCAGCAGCGGGTCCGGATAGAATGGCCTTCAAACCGCTGAACTTGCGGAAGTCAACCAGTCCACCATCAGACTGCATGAATTCAAATCGGCAAGCTTGTTGGCTCTCCAGACCACCTTCAAAGCTGGCTGAGATGGAGTCGATATAAGTCTTGATCACGGGTGTGAGGTAGGCATCAGCTGCGGCCGACATGCCACGAGGCACGATCTTGATCATGGGCTGCAGCTTGGAAGATAGTGTGACGGAGAAGCCCATTTGCTCTGCAATCTCCCCAATCTGAATTTCATGGTCCGGATAGGCAAATGAATGTACCAGGGCAACTGAAAGAGACTGGTACCCTTGCTCCTTGAGACGCTGGAGCTCTGTCCGCACCTGGGCCAGATCTAATTCTTGCACGACGCGGAACTTCTCGCCCGTGATTCCTTCCACGATACGAGAGCCAGAGAAGCAGTTCTCATCCGCGGCAGGGTGGCATGGAACTACTCGTTCGTTGACTTCGACAACACCTTCTGGCAGCACTCCGGGTCGAGCCATGGACAGGTCAAAGATGGCTGGACGAGACTGGTCACCAATCTTGAGTAGATCCCGGAATCCCTTAGTGGTGAATAATACTGATCGAGCCCCCTTGCGCTCGAGCAATGCATTTGTGGCGACCGTCGTGCCCATTCGGAGGCAGCCGATGCGGTCGAGCTTCAACGGTTGGCCGCGGGGATGTGACTCGCCCGTTGCGAGCTCCAAGATTTGGCGAATACCCTCAGTGGGTGCATCTTGATAATGTGAAGGGTCCACTGAAAGAAGCTTAAGAATGATATCCGACCGGCCAGGCACAATTGCATGGACGTCGGTGAAAGTGCCACCGCGGTCAATGGAGATGGTGATCTTCCCTGAGTCGGTCATCATGTGTATTATGTATGTTTATTTACCAACGCAAGCGCAGGTTGAAAGCGATGGTAATATGTGACAGGGGTCTATCAGAGAGCAGCACGATAGACTCATATACCCACGATATCTAATCAGGTTGTCGTCGGACTGTTTCGATTGTCCTCGTCTGGTATGGCAGTCACGTGTCGGGCCGACGGCCGGAGGGCATCGGGAGGATCGGCCCGATGGAAATCACGCGATAAGCCACGGAAGATAATCGAGGGGAAGAGGGGGTCAGAGCATCCATCGGAGAGTTGTGCGAGGGCTTCATTCTGTTACATCATATTGAATATTCAGGGGGCGCAGAGAGAGAGACACTACACAGAAATCTAGGTTACGTGGTGGCCTATAGCACAGGCAATCAATCATACGGGAGTATGCAGCAGGTACTTCAAGGGCTCGGCCAAAGCTAAACTAAACAAACAGCTATGAGGTCCTTGATAGCAAAATGACATTCATCCGTATACAATCATAAATCTACTATCTTCTCAATGTATTCTCAATCCAGTCCGTATCCATGTCAATATCAATCTGGTCCAATGCACCTTCCCACAATGCTGGGTCATCATGAATGTCAATCTGGAAGGAAATATCTTCTAATGAAGGGAACTCTGGAGGGTGTAGCCAGTCATCAACAAGCATTGGTGGAGGGTTTGACACGGGTACTTCAACTACAGGACTTGCTGGCCGGTCACTCGTGGGCGTATCAGGGACATTTAGCGGGCTGGGTTGCTCAACGTCGGCGGGGGCAGGCTTAGGATCAATTGCTGCACGTAGCTCCAGAAGTAGGGCATGTCGAGAAGCCAAATAGGTATTACCCCTATCGGCCATGCTACGAAGAAGAGTAAGGGCCATCTCCATTGACCGCATGTTGGCTTCGTTATATGGAAATGCTGCGTTGACCATGACAAGGAGTAGCGCTGCGGAGAAGATGTAGTCACCATCAAGGTAGCCGTATGTAGCTGTCGATTTCCAAATCAGAATTTGAGTTTGTTGAAACAAGAATCAGACAGAATTGATGCTTACCTATCAGATTGTGTTTGGCAGCGGCGTCCATAATCATCGTCGTAGCTCGAGCAGCAGTAATACAGCTGTCGATAACTGCAACGGTATTTGGAGCTAATCCATCTTTCCAATCCCCAGCAGAAGTTCCCAAAGTAACTGCATCAAGACGTCTCTGGATGATGTAAAATACGAGGGGACGTGCGGTCATGTTCACACATGAGTAAAAGTGCAAGTTGATCGAGACGGTCTCACGGTTGACGTGCGTGTCTAGTGTGGTGAAATCAATCCGAAGGCGATCAGGAATTGAACGGAGCCAGCTCGCAAGACCGTTGGTGATACTCTGTACAGACATGATCAAGTTGAAACCAGAGCGAGGCTTTTTGCGATAAATCTCTATGGTGTTTTGGTCAGAATACTGTGGGAAGATTCTGAAGGGGAGCCAGACAAGTTCTTACCCTCACCAATTCTTCCTAAGATACGAGACAGCTGTGTGTAATAAGTCAAGACAATTGACGGCCACGGGTCGGAAGTTGATCCGTCCTGAGAGGGAAATCAGTATTGGTTGCTTAGAGAAACTATCGATGGAACAGATGGAACATACTAGTGCAGCTGGCCAGGTGATGCCAATATCTTCATCCTGGATAGTAATCGGATTACCAGATTTAACTGAGAGAACCCTGGGTGTTGGGCATGAGTACGAGTTTCACTCTCTCTTTGTTTGAGTCAGGGCTCCTTACCGGTCGAGACTATATACGGACCACCAAGCTCTGCGGCGGCGGTTCCTATCTGTCTCACTTATTCCTGGATCCGAAACCTCTTGATGAAGTCCCAGAGAAATGGCCATTCGTAGAGCGAGGCCAATCTGCCGATCGTTAGTTGTCTCCTGTCTGGTCCATGTAGAGCGCTTGGTAATACTCAACATACATAGATAAAGGCAGCATCTCTTCTATTAAGATTTTGCATATAATATGCCACGTAGCACAGCACCTCAACAAAGAAGATCGAACCTTCTTCGTGAATATCTGGCAAAAATCGTAGGGCGTATTTAAAATATTTGAAACCGGGGGGTCCCTCATCCCCCGACCACTGGTTGACTGAATAGAGGAGCCCAAAGGCCATGACCAGGAGCACTTGGCAGTAGGTCAGACAAGATTCACGGTGAGAGAAATCTGGGGGCTGATGATAGACAATCTCTAGCCGCTCTTCGAATTGCCGGGGATGGATAAGAGAGAATATGGTGCCAATGTAGGCGTATTGAACCCAGAAAAGTCGTTTTGCGAATTCAAAGGTTGGTAATTGAGGTAATGAACGCGCAATTGGTCGTCGGAGGGATGTGGGGTCATCATAGAGAGGACGCACATCCCAGGCCAGATTGGTCGAGCCGGGATTAAGACGTTTGGCCAAATTGGTGGCAGAGGATGGACCCACGAAGTCTTCAGTTCTTTAGTAAAGCTTGGTCGTGTAGATAACTTTGAGTGATATACATACGATGCTCTCCCGATCGGTTCAATAACAGATTATCGACTCCCTTGAACCACCAGTCATCTCGCTCGAAGGGAACCTCGCTCTCCGAATAACGGGCCGCTGTAGAGGGCACACTCGATGGCCCACTAGGAGAACTATGCCAATCGCTTTCTGCAATTGACGAGCCTCGCACGGCTTGGAATGGTGACTGGGACTGTGAATGTGCATGCGATTGCACCGAGTGGGCGCGAGACTGCGATTTTAATTGGCGATATTCTCTGGTAGCGCGTTAGTATTCGATAGCATCATATAGACGAATGAACGGTATTCTCGAGAGCTCTTACCTCTCCGTAATCGAGACGCGCTTTTCGGCCTCAGAATATACGCACGTCTCCCCTACGTCGACACAAGCTGCACAGGGGTGTGGTGGGTTCCCGGCACAGCGGGTCTTTCGGTTGCGACATCGGTTGCATCTGTCAATGGAAAGAGTTGGTATTCATCTTGATATGTATCATAAGGGTCAGACTTACGCGACCGGAGATCGTCCGTTCGAACGGTCTTGCGACCGCCGGACGATGCCTTTGCCACGGACCATTGCCGGGACGGTTAGGGGAGAAGATGGATGATGAAGTTGAATTTAGTGAAATAGATTGGGATAGTGGATGTGGGGTGAGAGAGAAATATTGTTAGTTTAGAAATTGAATAATTATTATCTTATGAGAGCGTATCGCGTTGGTCTTCTTTCTCCACACTTTCCACTCTTCTTATCTGTCTTCCAATCTCTCAGCCTCCGGGGTATCGTGGGATTTTTTGAGTTTTCATCGGTCCGACGAGAAACTTTCCCCCCGCTTTCTCTTTTCGGCTTCGGCCGTCAGCAATCAACCACCAGACCATAAGACTATAGGGAGGTTTTTTATACCGATCAGCAGCCTCTCATCATTGGATATCCAAAGACAAACAATCTTGATTTCTGTGATCATGCTGCAAAATCCCCTTCGTATATGCAGCTTATTTGTGCTTAAATACACCGGACACTCTAACTAGGATAACGGTCGATCAATCAAAGAGAACTAGCGCATCCGATACGAAGAAATAGCAGAATCTGTTATCTTCAGCCTTTACCCATGGATGGCTCATTGCTGCTCCTTTCGGTACCACGACGGCGTGGTAATCCGAGTCGCGGAGAATCTGGGACCCCAGTCCTTTTTCAAACGATCTAGAACTCTCGATTGGCGAGATATCTCATAAAACAGCTTTTTGCTAGGAAGTCTCCCCATTGGCATGTAAATAATTCTAACCCGCGTGACGCGATAGGCTATCAACCAGCTTGATGGAACAAATTGGATATCCAACTCTGTACGAGACTTCAGTCTGGCTTTTTCGTCTATTTTAGAACGTTAATGTTGAACCAACTTTGATTTTATCTTATAGACATAAACACTCATATTTGCTCTTCTGGAATAAGGCTATTAATAGGCTTCCTGTAACAGACTTCCTAGAAACTAGGCGATTGCACTGGGTTATCAAGAGCCAGCCTCTCCAAGAATCTTCTGCAAGCTCAGGGCAGAAGAAGGATCATCTGAGACAATGGCCAGTCTCACCAAGCACGGGGGTGCATAGACCGACTAGCAGAAATCACCCTATGAATATGCGTATTTGTCCATCTTATATATCGTATCAAAAGATAGCGACGCCATTCGGAGGACTGGCAACGCCGCCAGGCACCTTCAATGGCACGCTGCTGAAAAAGAAACTGTATCGCCCTCGCTGGCGACATTCCCGAGCCAGCCGGTCCAAATCAAAGAGTTCGCCGATAGGAACGCCCCAGCCTGCTAATAGCCACTCGTGCAGGAAGAAATCTGTACTCTGAGGTGGATACGCTTCGAAACTTGGCATATCGCCCGCCACGGCTGCGAAGTCGTTCTCCCAGATCCATTGCAGCATCTCCTCTGACGATTCGACCCCAATCACGGGTGGTGCCTTATGATCCGCTAATTGCTGGCACTCCGCTGTGGACAGTTGTTCGTACGCCCGTGTCCAGCCTGTCCGGATGAACAAAATGTCCCCTGGTCGAAATGTGGTCTTTTGACTCGCAGCGACTTCTTGAAGCACGGAAACCGGGATGGATTGGGTCTGGAAGCAATTCACGGGGTGACCATGAGCTTCAGCCCAACTCGCGTAGTCGAGAAGAACCCCTCGTCCGACGATGCCGCCGTTTTCTACCCAGACTATAGGGACGATGCAAGTTGATGAGTATCCAAATCAGCAAGCTCGACAAGATGAGCAAGATCGGCAGGATCAGCAAGCGGTATCACCCTAATCCGCAGCTGGAGGGGAACCCCTGCATGATTGATCAATCACCTACCGTGGATTCCATTTCGCGTTGAGGTCTGAATATCCTCCAGTGAACACCCGTTGAAGTACGACCCTTCCTTGGCTCCGTAATGGCGAAACCCGTCCCATTGAGAGCTACTTTGGGTGTTGAAGGTCAAGATATCGTCATTCACGTGCCGTGGAGCCTTATTCTTGACGGTATGCTCAAAAGCTGATCGTCCAAAACAAGGGACGGCCATACTGTTCAGGGCCCAGTCAGTCGAGACACGAACCCCCTCGATGATCTCCTTCGCGGCCGTTGCAGTGTTCTCGGGGGTGAGCAGGTTAAGCATGCCCATCTCGTCGTGCTCCCCAAAGAGTCCCCATGCATTACCGCGCGGACCATCTGGACGAAGAGGCAGGGACTGGAATGTGGGCTTCTGAACGGGCATATTTGTGGAGGAAGTTCGATAGTCGTGGTATCCGGCCGATAATGCTGGGAGCTACCTATAGTCTTGTAAAACACGGCAATCAATTTATAGCTAATTCCAATGGAAGTAAGAAGGGTATCTGGACAAGTCGATATGTTTTCCTATGGACTTTATAGTACAGCTAAGGTTACCCCGCAAAATTGGGGAACATCCCCGCTGTGACCTCGGCCACCGGCAGTTAGGACCGATCTACTTCTTGAATCAGTAAGAGGAGCCTGTAGTAATGATGCTTTAGGGTATATTATCGATGTGATTTCGGACAAGCTCTGGAAACGGTTATTCCAACGGTCGTTACACTTGGTCGCTCAGTCATGGAGTCGGATTTATCTTGAGTCAGAAAGGTTTCAGAACGTCAACTTCCAGGGAATTAAGTGATTCCATGAACTGAGTCACTGAATCATACCATCTTTCTCTTGCATTCTCGCTGAGAAGTCCGACCGTCATAATACGTACTCGGATGAGGTCCGACTAGGTAGGTATGCCATAGCCCTAGTGATGGTTCCAAGGTTCCGCGTAGATATGAGTACTAGTTGGATATATCTTTTGAAAGTGTTTTCAGTAGATGTTCTGCTACATTTCTGCGAGCACAAAACTAATTACTGATGACAATTAGTCTGGATGGAAGAAACTAAAGATGGTTCGAGCCATGGCTGTTGATGTGGGATATATATTCTCGTAGCTGCCGAGCTGACTCGGACTCCCTACCTGTCTGCATGGGATTGATTACATCTAATTCCGTTGGAAATAAAAAAATTTGTTGGGATCTTAAATAATTCAAAAACACAAAACAACAACTTTAATTATGCCTTTGAGTGCATCTGATTCATCATTATTTAGTAACTACTCCCCGATGTCAAGGTTTCTGTACCTGACGGTGGTGGCCTTATGACCTGAGGCCCCAAAGTAATAACCTAAGACACAGCCACAGCCACGTGACCCACTGCCTTTCTGCCTTTGTGCGGGTTCCACCTCATCCACAAATCACCACAAAGAGATTCTCATTTTCACCCAATCCCATTCTCGACGGTGGATCGACAATAGCCAAGCCATCGAATGACCTGCGTTTCTGCATCGAACGAGCCCCTGCCGCCGACCACGGCCGATCAAATATTCTTCTCCGCCGTTGTCGTCATCCTCCCGGCACTTTTCGGTCCCCCGGGACGCCACCAGATGATCTGTCTTGGCCCCCTCCATCAGGCGTGCAGGATGTTGCAACCCTACAGTTACAGGAGCCCACCTGGCCAAGGAAGTGAGTGTGGGTGTTAATATGTCCCGTGTGGAGGCTCAGAGGGTGGTTTCAAGTTTCAGATTCTCGCAGTGAGAAAGGGATGATCAAGCCAGGAAAGGATCGGGGGGTGGTGATGGGTCTCCCAGCAGGCATCTTGGCCAATGTGCAGACGCGTTGCGTTGTTGGCCCGCTGACTACTGTTCTCATCATGGACGAGTCATGTTGCGCGCAGTCAGAAGATCGGAGGGCCAGGTCCAATTTCATCATGCGGTCGATCATCGATTCCACATGTCCAAAGAAAAAGAGACGAGCCCTAATCCATGACCGATCCGTGGATGCCCGTGGGCAGCATAGCCAGCAAAAAGCCAGCAAAGCCAGCACAACGATGCAGTCAGTTTCCGAGGCACCGGATCTGCCTACCTGTCTTTGCGCCGTGTTGTCGCAGGGGAAACGGTTGCCAGGCGTGTCTCAGGACGATGATCCATCTGGTGGAGTCACAATAAGAGCGGATGACGAACGACATTTGCAGACGCCGCTGGGCCCGCTGTAACGCGCCTCCACTGCCTTCATCGTCTTTCGTCGAGCACCGCCTGCGCCTCCAATCAAAATCTGCTGTACCAAAAATATCTTTTTATTCTGCTTGTGAATCCAAAAGAATTGCATATACCTATCCTATCTTTAGCTCCCCCAGGCGACACCTTTCATATTGTCAGCCCATCTTCCTTTCACTGCGACCCTTTTTTGACATCGCCCGCCAGCCTTTCTGTGATCTGCACCAGGCAAACCCACTTGGAACGGATCTTTCGAAGGTCTTCTTCGCAAGGCTACGACGTGTCCAGAAGACCAGGCATTATTCGTCTTATTATCATCCCATTACTGCTTCCTACTGTCTGCTCGAGCTTTTCTTTTTTTATTGGGTTGACTAGGATCTTCGCTGTTCGCCGTCATCCTCTCTTGTCACCTCACAGCTTGCTCGATTTGTATCGGTTGCATAACTACGCTACCGTCGTCGTTGCCGAGATTTTATACCTCTATTTGGATTTGACACAATTGATCCTTCTTCACATATCCTTTGATCGGGGAGCTGTGCACAATGGGTACCCCCATGCCGACGTCTCCCCATTCCCCTCGGGCCCATTCGCCAAACCTATCTCATTCGCCTCATTCGCCTCAAGCGAGCGAGAGTAGCCTGTATTCTCACAATGGTCCTCGCGATGTGAGTTGCAAGAGAAACCCGGAAAAAAACAACTTTGGACTGCGGAGAGGGAAAGTCGCTGACATAGTTCCTCGAACTAGCACGGATACGGTTACGAAGAAAAAAATGACAACGCCGAGAGCTCACAGTCCCTCCTCTATCGGAACCAACCGAGCCCCCTCCATGCGCAATACGATGACCCCTACGCTTCCTCCGATTCTCTGCGACGCTATACTCTGCAGGATCCAGGTGTAACAATTTTCCCCGATGGACCCTACCAGGATCCTACTGCCGCGGCAGGTCTCAACCGCCGGTCGGGTGTGCAGACTCCCATGTCAGAGACCCCATCGGAAGCCTGGCAGCAACGGCAAGCACCTGCCTCGGGTTTGCGTCGCTACGCGACCCGAAAGATTAAGCTGGTGCAGGGCTCCGTCCTGAGTGTGGACTATCCGGTGCCCAGTGCCATTCAAAATGCTATCCAGCAGGAGTATCGGGAATCAGAGGAAGGCTTCCCAGAAGAATTCTCCCACTTGCGCTGTAAGTAGATTTTGCGATCGTGAAAGTCGCATGGCAAAGCAGAGACAAGTCAAACTGACTGAGTACTAGACACGGCCGCCACTTGCGACCCTGATGAATTCACCCTACGGAACGGATACAACCTTCGGCCGGCCATGTACAACCGACACACCGAGTTGCTGATTGCCATCACCTACTACAACGAAGATAAGGTCCTTACCGCCCGAACACTCCATGGTGTGATGCAGAATATCCGAGACATTGTGAACCTGAAAAAGTCAGAGTTCTGGAATAAGGGTGGTCCGGCCTGGCAGAAGATCGTGGTGTCCTTGGTTTTCGATGGTATCGATCCTTGCGACAAGAATACCCTGGACTTGCTGGCCACGGTCGGTATTTACCAGGACGGTATCATGAAGCGATCCGTTGATGGAAGAGAAACGGTTGCGCACATCGTAAGCTTTCCCTGCATCGAGTTGGCTCCGTGATCAGCCCGTTTCAAATAGGCCATAACCGGATCAAGGAGATAGCTTTTGCCACTGCTAACTAGTTACTTCACATTCAGTTCGAGTATACCACTCAGCTTTCCGTCACTGCTAGCCAGCAGTTGATTCGGCCCCAGGGTACCGAGTCAACTAACCTCCCGCCAGTCCAGATGATCTTTTGTTTGAAGCAGAAGAACAGCAAGAAGATCAACTCCCACCGCTGGCTATTCAATGGTTTTTGTCGTATCTTGAACCCCGAAGTGGTTATTCTGATTGATGCCGGTACTAAGCCGGGCAAGAAGTCTCTGCTGGCTCTGTGGGAGTCGTTCTATAATGACAAGAATCTCGGCGGATCTTGTGGTGAGATCCATGCTATGCTTGGTAAAGGTTGGAAAAACCTGATGAATCCGCTTGTCGCTGCGCAGAATTTTGAGTATAAGATCTCAAACATTCTCGATAAACCTCTTGAGTCTTCCTTTGGATATGTCAGTGTGTTGCCTGGTGCCTTCTCAGCGTACCGATACCGTGCGATTATGGGCCGGCCCCTCGAGCAGTACTTCCATGGTGACCACACACTCTCCAAACAACTTGGTAAGAAGGGTATTGAGGGTATGAATATCTTCAAGAAGAACATGTTCCTTGCCGAGGATCGTATTCTTTGCTTCGAACTGGTGGCCAAGGCTGGGTTCAAGTGGCACCTGACCTACGTCAAGGCTTCTAAGGGTGAAACCGATGTTCCCGAGGGTGCTGCAGAGTTCATTGGTCAAAGACGTCGCTGGCTGAACGGTTCATTTGCCGCTAGTCTGTATGCCATGATGCATTTCGGTCGGATTTACAAGAGTGGGCATAACATCCTCCGTCTCGCGTTTCTCCATCTCCAGATGTTGTACAACTTTGCAGGTCTTGTCATGACTTGGTTCTCTCTCGGTATGTGGATAATTTTGCTTCATTCTCATTCAATCTTGTTTTCATTCGACCCTATTTCTTATCTGGATGACCGCTAATTGATGATCGATAGCGTCATTCTGGTTGACCACTTCGGTTATTATGGATCTTGTCGGAACCCCGAGTGACAGCAACAAGAATAAAGGCTGGCCCTTTGGTAATGAAGCTTCACCTATCGTGAATAATTTCTTGAAGTACGGTTATGTGTTCTTCCTCATGCTACAGTTCATTCTGGCATTGGGTAACCGACCCAAAGGGTAAGCGATCATCAGATCTATCTGACTCTGGGTTATTCACGCGCTAATCGATATTAGTTCCCGTCTGGCTTATACCCTTTCGTTCATTTACTTCAGTATCGTCCAGTGTTACATCTTGGTTTTGTCCTTCTACTTGGTCAAGAATGCTTTCACTGGTGGTACCCTGGACTTCGACATGAGCCAAGGCGTGAGCAAATTCCTGTCGTCCTTCTTTAGTTCTTCCGGTGCCGGTATCGTCTTGGTTGCCTTGGTGTGTACTTATGGTATCTACTTCATTGCCAGTTTCCTTTACATGGATCCTTGGCACATGTTCACCTCCTCTTGGGCTTACTTTGCCGGTATGACCTGCTCGATCAATATTCTCATGGTGTACGCCTTCTGCAACTGGCATGACGTTTCTTGGGGTACCAAGGGGTCAGACAAGAGTGAGGCACTGCCAGAGGCTCAGACCAAGAAAGATGAAGCCAAGTCCAATTTCATCGAGGAAGTCGACAAGCCGCAGGCCGACATTGACAGTCAGTTTGAGGCGACCGTCAAGCGTGCGCTGGCGCCGTTTGAGGATCCCGAAGAGAAGGAGGAGAAGAGCATGGACGACTCGTACAAGGCCTTCCGTACTAATCTGGTGCTCCTGTGGATCTTCAGCAACTTGATTTTGGCGCTGTGCATCACCAGTGAAGGTATTGACCGGTTCTGTCTGACGGTACGTATATATCCTTTTCTTTTCCCGACCTGGCGGTGAGCCATGACTAGCAGAAGGCTGACCAAATGATTAGAACAAGTCGACTACTCGGACAGCCAACTACTTCTCGGCCATTCTGTGGACGACTGCTGGTTTGTCAATTTTCCGTTTCATCGGCTCGCTCTGGTTCCTGGGCAAGTCGGGTATTCTTTGCTGCGTCTCCCGACGCTAAATTTCCTCGGGCTCGGTGGCGGCAGCCACCAAGTCGATCATGTCCATGTGTATATAATATCGTCCCAGCGTCCTCGCGTGGGTCTCGATAATGATGTCTTCTTTTGGGATATGTATGCTATAGAAAATTTGGATAGAAGGTTTAGTTCGCGTTCGATTTATGCTTTGCTGTACGGCTGCATCATTGGGCGATTCTCATGTATGATTTGATTTTGTCGCGGGGTCAACGATGTTGTTTTCCTTCTTCAATGATATGACTTGTCTTGATGCCATTGGGCAAATAATTCGTGATTTTGTACACATTTGCAGACTGTTGGAAATCAACCAGATTACACCTGTCTTCCTTTTTGTCATTTTCGTGTTTTCCCCCATTTTCGTTCTTTCTCCACCCCGAACTTTCCTCCACATTTCTGGGGAGGTGGGATGATCGATGCACCTCGAGAAGCCCACAACGGCAGGCTGACGAGTGACGAAAGAAAGGGCACAGACTTCCTGCACGGATGACGCCGTGTGGATCTGTCTAAGCCCTGGCCAACTAAATGATTTAGCCCGAGGCTCGATATCTGTAGCCTGATGCACTCATGGCCAGGCCTCGTCTTTGGGCCCGTCTCTCCCCCTGTTACCTGCGCTCGGACGTTGCATCGAGAACTAACACACCCTTTTCGTGTCTTTGACATCCCTGAAGTTGTGAAGTATTCGGACTACAGGAGCCCGAACTCCCTAAATATCCGATGCCGTCCTTGGAACCAATGGGAATTGCTTGCTCGGACGGAAGATCAGCAGCACCGGCGTGCATTGACACGGGGGGCTTGAGGCTTTCGCTCGGTGGTGATTCTTCACCGAAGATACACACAATTCTCAGCCATTACTGGCAACGGTTATCTGGACCCGAAATACTGAAACCAAGTGCACTGCCCAGTGGGAATGCATCTGTACAGTATGAGATATGCACTTTACCGTCATTGCCCGCACCCCCGCATCCTCTCTGGAGTCGGTGCCGATCGCCTCTGACTAGGCGGGTCCCTGAAAATGAATCGGTATTCTCTGATTCCATTGATTTGTCGTCGGTCTACTTTTGAATGGAGTCTTATGGAGACAATGCTTTCCTAGCGGCGGTCGGCTGGGCGTACCGTCCTTTGTTCCTCTCCACCAACCACACAGCGCGTGGCATCAGGAAGCATACTTGTCCCGACATCGAATGGTATGGGTGACAATGATGCCATACCCTCACCCGAACCGGCTCTTGGCTTGAGATATCCTTTTGGCCCCTGAGGCATTTTTCTCAGATATCAGCATTTCTACTCGCGAAGATGAAACATGAGATCGATCTATATAAACCTCGCTTGTATCCGGTCTCGCGGGATTGAAACTACTCCGATTTATCAGCTCTCTTCCCCCCTTTGATAACGATTCTTGTTGATCCACTCTTCCTTGCACCCCGTATCCACACCCAATGTCGCAATACCTTCCCCAGATTTCCTCGCAGTCCCTCGAGGATAAAGTAGTCCTGATCACAGGTAGGTTCTCCTCTGGCTCCACTCATACTTTCCCACTTCAGGCTCTTGCCGCCCCTCTTCCAGGTCGTTTTGCTCACTTTTCCGCCTACAGGAGGTGCTAATGGCATTGGCGCCAGCCTGGTACAGCAATGTCTTGAGAGTGGCGCAAATGTCTGCTTTGGAGATCTCGACAACATTAGTGGCGAGCGCCTGCTGAGGAAGTCCGTTGAGGAATTCAAGCCCACGGAAGCTAAGCATCCCCCGAGGGTAGTCTTCCAGACAACGGATGTGACCAACTATCAATCGGTGCTGGCCCTGTTCGATTTGGCCTTCAACACCTATAAACGCATTGACCACGTTGTCTCTGCGGCTGGTATTGCAGAGATTGGCAATTGGTTCGACTTCGGACTTACTTTGCAGACAGTCCGCCAAGTAAGTGTGATGATTTGCAGTCACTGGCCTGCCCAAACCCGGCCTTTCTCCTTTCGTAGTAGTAGAAAAATAACCATCTCCCTTATTTACAAAGACTCCGACCCAAAAAGTTCTCGACGTCAACCTTGTCGGTTCGATGTACGTCGCCCGAATTGCCTCCGTCTATCTACGACACAACCGCGGCCCTGGCGCAGACCGCTCCATTCTCCTCTTCTCTTCCGTCTCTGGATTCAAGGAAAGTCCATCTCTATTCATCTATCAGGCATCTAAGCATGGCGTGATTGGACTCATGCGCTCCCTTCGCAACTACATCTCCTCTCCGTATAAGCACTATCTCCGGATCAACACCATCTGCCCTTGGGTGACCCAGACCGACACGATGAAGCAGATCGAGCAGCAATGGAAACAAGCCAGCCTGCCCACAAACACGACCCGAGAAGTCTCCACAATAGCTACTGGTATGTTGACTGACGCGTCTCTGAATGGCACGTCCATGTTTGTCGAAGGTGGACGCGCCTGGGAGATTGAGGGTAACATTGAACGCCTGGAAGCCCAATGGCTCGGCGAAGCCCCATCCAAGTCCCTTGCAGCAGGCCAGGAGCTGCTGGATGATGGTGCTATCTGGACTGCAGTGCCCCGCAAGAGGTCTAGCATTTCAAATGGTATCCCCCGGGTGTTCCTCTCGAGAAGCTCAACGGCATACAGCAGAATGGCACTCGGAAGAACTCGATGAACGGGTTCGCAAATGGCCACACCAATGGAGTGACTAAAGCAACCAATGGGGTCACCAACGGATTCAGCAATGGGATGACCAATGGGATTGTGAGTGGAGTGCACTGAAGATGCGTCATAGATGATTTGATATTTGATACCCATAAAGTATGGTGATGACTCGCCGAGAAAGATGTTCTATCTTTGATATTCATCCCGAGAGGAGACGACATACCGCGATAGATGGCACTTATCATACATGGGAAGTCTGATTGACTCTGAGAGATGATGATAACCCAGACAATGGATATAGATTGACGTCAAATACAGCTATTTTTGCCAACAATATTTCCACTTTCTTATACCTCGTGAGATCGATCGCCCGTTTAGTGGAGACTTCCTCCGTGAAAGATGCAGAGCTCGCTCTATTCACGCCCCACAAGTGGATCCTGTTATGCATTATCTTGGAGACGCCAAAACCCACAGAAGAAGGTTGATTGTTGCTTATACTAGGACCGAGGGGAAATTAGTTTGAATCTTAAGGTTGATGGTAGAGAAATGAGTATTGGGAAAGTGAAGATTATTTCTATATGCTGATATAAGCCGTGAACAAAGGAAATATGAAACACCAGATAGATGCAATGAATAATATCGTTGAAAAGTCAAAAGATTCCGTGCCCTCTCCATTAGAGCCAACGCCTAGAAAGATCTTCTCTGTGATCTTTACTCTATTTTTTTCTTCCATCTACACCTTACTTGAAGGATTCGCGGGTGTGTATGCGGTCAATGTTGTACGGGTTGCCATCGTACGTGGGAACCCGATGGATTTGCGAGGTGTAAGTGTCGACGTGCGAGAGGGAGCGATGCATCGAGAGGACTTCCGCGGTGCTTTCCTTTTCCAGGGCGTGTGAAGCAGCCCCTTCCTCTTCAACAAGTGATGGCACGCGAGTGGCAGCCTCCGCGATGGTCGACTGATCGGCCTGGGAAGGCTCCTCCTCGGTAGTCGTATTCTTCTCAGCAGCACCTCGAAGAAGGTTCTGCACGAATGCTTCGGATTGTGCAGAGTACTTGCAGTACTTGCGAATGACCAAGCCCTTCTTGTACAGCACGAAGGGGAAAGGCACACAGGCGAGGGCTAGGAAGGCTGGAACACACGAGGCCCAGTGAATGCCCAAATTCTCAAACATGTAGGTCGTGAACAGGGGGAAGGCAAAGCCAAATAGAGATCGCAGCAGCGAGTTGGCGGCCAGAACGGAGGCAGCGAAGATAGTATAGGCATCAATGAGATAGTTGAAGACACTCAGGAACACAAGGACCATGCCAAAGCCGAAAGGCACACCAGCGGCAACACTAGCGAGCCAATGAATGTCCGGAGAATTGGTCCAGGCAAACCAGAAGAGTCCAACAGGGAGTGCAATCGAGGCAATCATACAGGGAGGCAGACGGCTTTCCGGGGGTGAATAGCCACCGTTCTTCTCCAATAGCTTACTATAGCGAGTATTCTCGGGGATTGAATAGGCAATCGCTCCCAACATGCCCACCATCACTCCTAGGAAGGCCAGCGCAGAGATACCCTGGTTCCAGCCGCGGTGGATTTCGTAGACGATAGGGTATGCACCGAATAGCATATAGAGTGTTCCGTAGATAATTGCGAGGTAGATCGAGAGTAAAAGAACGATAGGCTCGCGGAAAAGAAGGATAAATGGACGCGAGAGGGCAGTCTTCATGGCCTCTTTCGGGACGGGACGACCCTGGTCAATGTCGAGCTTGCTCACGTACACCTTTCCGGTCAACTTGGAGAGGGTCTTTGCGCGTTGGCGAAGCAAAACTGGTGCATACGTCTCGGGCTTCAAAGCAGCACCCAAGAACCACATCGCACCACAGAGGATGGTCAAGAGGCCCATCACCCACTTCCAACCAGCATCCATACCCAAGAATCCACCCACAATCGGTCCAATCACTGGTCCCAAGAAGGGAGCCAGCGCAAAGGCCGACAGAGCCAGTCCTCGTTCGCGGGCCATGAACATGTCCGCAATCACACCACCAGAGTTGGTGAATGGTGAAGATCCAAAGGCGCCTGCCAGGAAGCGGAAGATCAAAAGAGTGGTGATATTTTTAGCCCCAGTAGTTCCAGCGCAGAAAACGGTCAAGCCGCAGTAAGTTCCGATGAAAACAATCTGGCGACCAAACAGTTCACTCATTGGAGCCCAGAGCAGAGGACCCAGTGCGAAACCCAAAACGTATAGAGAGACTCCAAGGGTGGCCACCTCGGTGGTGATCATGAACTGTTCCTCAATCTGCACGATACCACCAGTATAGGCCGACGATACCAGGGCCACGACGAGAGTTTCCATGGCAGCCACCACGGTGATGCCCCATTTCATCCGGGTGCTCAACTGGAGCGGGTTGCGAAAGTCTTTCGGCATCCATTGCACCACGTATGGGTCATCGTCCGTTCCAGCGCCGGTATAAGGATGGTCAAAAACTTCTTGGGTGATAGCACCTGGTTCAGTGACCAGTCGCCAAAAGGGGATCGATCGAGGCAGATCCGATGGACCCTTGGCCTCTGCTGTAGATGCATCGGTGGTCATGTTGATCAACTCCTCCGAAAGGAGCTTTTTCGGCAAGCCGAGGGCAGCACGGACTATAAAGGGCGATTATAAAGAATGGTAAAGCCGATCAGATGTTTCTCTGGCGGTAGCACCGTGACCCGAGAGAGGACGGACGAATTTGGGCTGAATGGCGTGGCGATCAGCCAGATAAACGTTGTTGGAGTATGGGTTAGTGAAATCTCGAATAAAACCACCAGCCCAGGCGAGCCTAGCTGGTTTTGTTAGATCTCGAGAGGACCTCATAACGATCTTGCTTGGGCAGGATTACTCAACAGAAAACGCCTTTCCCGGAGGACTTGCTATATCGGGCCAGCAATTCTCTTCAAAGTGGGTCGAACGAGGGGCCAACAGCGTCGGAAAGCCGTACTTTGTTTGGCCCCGAAGGATATGATAAGTGGTGCATAGCATATATGCAAGTAGATTGGATAAACAGAGCCTCCAAACGGAGTTGGGAATACGCAGTTGGGAATAAGCGGATTGCACTACTAACTATGGACCGGGATTACCTAGCGGAAAAAGGGCGATATGTGGAGTGCTCTTGATGGATTGGCAAATCACTATGAAGTATCTATGAATTTCAAAATGGATTTTTGTTGCATTTACTGTTCGAAAAAACAAAGACGTCTGGCCACAGAGTGATAGAGTGACAATCGTATGATATAGATGTTGAAGAAGAAAACGACATCTCATGACGAACTCGGGCCGATTGATTATCGGCTATGCCGATTCCTGTCTCAAGAAGTGCAGAGCTTTTTATTGGTCTAAAGGTATCTGGTGGGGGCGCTTAATTCCCACTTACCGAGGCTCATTTCATCATTACAGTAGGAGTGTCGTAGTTTGGTTTAGAACAATCGTCTGGTCTGGGTATTTAAGATGAATTTTTCCATTCCTATTTTCAATTCCAGGCACACAACTCCGTATTGCGGGGCCTCTTGTAGCCTGTTTCTTCTTGAACCTCGGCTGTCGAAGTGTCGAAGCATCGAAATTTCGAAATTTCCAAGGATGCCCATAGCTCGCAGCAAGTAGTTTAGATTCTAAAGGACCAGTATGTCCTCAATAATGTGCTATATGATCATTGATGACAGTAGTAAGTGTCAAAAATATTCCGATTACCCTATCAAAGTATAAAGTATACATGCATGGATTATAATCCGTCGCCTTCGGGATTCCCCCACCCGGGTAAATCGAAGCGGTCGGCCTGAAGGGAAAAATATGCAACTGGGCCGAAATCGCAGCCTAAGTGGGTCGGGAAAGATTTGATTCCTGGTCTTGTCAAGGTACCGAGGTTGATTACTATACTGAGTCAAGAAAGAAGAAAGTGGTATTTATATCTTAGGATAGCAGTACACCATCATGAATATAGATTACGTGAACTGTTCATTTTCCTTGTTATACTAGGTATGCTAACTAGATCTCTTCTCTAGGCCGTCTAATCGGACTGTTTCAACTATCGAGTTCTAGAACCCCGATTGAAGATTCACATCATACCTGGCCCCTATCTCGTCCAACGGGGCGCAATAGTCGTCACGCTTTGACCATTTAATTCTCACAAATAGACACTCGTCGTCAGTGCAGCAGTATACAAGTGCTCCAAAATAGGCTTCTATCTGAAATTGTTCTGTATCAATTTGTCCTGAACATACTAATGATAGTCCCACTAGATATTAGGTGCATCTGCGAATAGCCCTTTGGTGTTTCTATTCAAACCTAGTGGATCCCCTTGAATCATGAAGTCAAAAAATAGGAGCGTTTATTGGTCTATCTCTCATCTCTCATTATCATATTTATCTTGGAGTTTCTTCCTTTGTTTTCTTTTCTTACAAGCTCTTCTCGATTTCTCCCACCTCGGCCATCACCTCGCGAACGGCCTTCTTTGAGGCTTCTGCCACGGGCTCATAGGGATGACGGGGGTGAAGCATCTCCTCTGCACCGGCAATGCCTGCTAAGGGAGCTGTATAGTAAGAGACTGCGTACTTAGTCGACGCGATGCCGCTCTTGATGGGGCTTTCCGCCAACGCAGCCTGACCCTGCAGCTTTCTGGCCTCCTCGACCTGGCCCTTCTGATACAGGGCATAGACGCGCGACGCGGTCTTGGGGAACACGTTGGCAAAGGCAGCAATGCATCCGGCACTGCCTGCTGCGAGACCGCCAATGAGGAAGTCGGATTGTCCTCCAAAAGTCGCGAATTCCTCGGGCTTGAATGTGGCCGACAGCCGAGTGATCTTGCCCACGGAACCGCAGGTGAGCTTTACACCCACGACGTTGGACTGGCCATTGGCATTGGCAGCAGCTGATTCTCGAACGATGGCAGCGATAGTCTCCGAATCCATATCGACACCGTTACACACTCCGGGGAAATTATAGAGGACCACGGGGATAGGGCATTTAGCCGCGACTTCGGAGAAGAACCGCTTAACGACGTTCATGTTGGTGGCTTTGCCAAAGTACGCTGGGGGAAGGACGAGGACATAGTTGGCGCCAGCGGCAGCGGCATCTTGGGCGAGTTCGAGGGTTTGTTTGGTCGAGTGTGCGCCAACACCAGCCATCAAAGGGAAGTCGGGGCCGACAGCAGCGCGAGCAGTCGCGATGAGTTGAGCACGTTCCTCACGAGTGAGCAGGAAGGCTTCCGAGTTGGTACCGAGAATAACCAAGCCAGTCAGGCCCGTTCGCGACAAATAGGAAAAGTACTGGGACTGCGCGGTCAGGTCGAGGGAGTCCGTCGTATGGTTGAAGAAGGTGACCGCAGGACACCAGACGCCCGAAGGGGGAACGTGTGGCTGAGGGGAGACTGCCGAAGTAGAGCCCATTTTTGTATCTTGCAGGTATCGTATTATATCTCCTATTAACACAAACTGGATAGAGCTGATGACTGGGACACGGAAGGGTGGTGGTGGAAGGGGAGAGAGTGTGTATGGGCTAATAATCTACTCCTGCCGACCCTCTTATAAGAATGAACAGTATGAAATACCCCTCCATTCCCCCGCACTCTTAGTGACGACAAGGCGAAGCACCAAAAGAGATCAAAGTCTGTTGGTTTCGACTTCTGATTGCTCGATGAGCGCATCTTCGGCTCGCGATCCCGTCAAACGGCCCACTACGAGACTCCTCCCACTCGGAACGACGAGCCGATCGTTTTATCTTTTGCTCTCGTGCTTGAGCGGGGAAGCTCGGCCTTCCTCCGATATATTGGGTTCTGATTCGCTCTTTTCCCCTATCATACTAATAAACTCCCACTATCTCCAATCATCTTCCCCCACCAGATGGTTGATTGTTCGGCTGGCGGATGACTTGCCGGTCGATCGGTCGCGGCCACCGAGTTTCTCTTCAACGAGATAGAACAAACTACGGATTGCGAGCCGGGGATAGTTGACTGTTTCAATAGTCACACAGTGATAAGAAAATGAATAAGATTCTGCATAACATGCTACTCGTTCGACCCGTAACATACCTCCTATCGAGACGTCAACCCCAATATCTTCGCAGAATGACGACTATGACTACGACAGTTTCTACGCCCTCGGGACAGACCAGATTCAATCATGCAAGATTTATCCCACCGGATGCCATCTTCGCGTTGACAGCTGAATACCTGCAAGATTCTCATCCACAAAAGGTCAATCTGGGCCAAGGCACGTATCGCGATGGCGATGGAAAACCCTGGGTTCTTCCCTCTGTGACCAGGGCTCGCGAGACACTTTCAGCTCAAGGGTTGAATCATGAATATCTTCCAATTCTAGGCCTGCAGACTTTTAGAGAAGCCACGGCGGAAGCGGTACTAGGATCAGAACTATTTGCCCAGCAGAAGTCCAAGGTATGCACCCTCCGTGCGGGAGCCACCTCTTGTCCATGAACTAGTTGTGAGAACGACGTTATTCGCGATGAACTAACAATTATCCTGATAGCTCGCAACATGTCAGAGTCTGTCGGGAACGGGCGCTTTGCATCTAGCTGGATTGCTGCTCCGAGCCTGCCAATCTCCACTGCCAAAGATCTACATCCCCGAGCCAACCTGGTCGAATCACCATCAGGTATTCAGTTCGCTCGGTTTCCCCTGCGAGAGCTTCAAATACTACGACCACGACACGAGGGATCTGGATATAGAATCCTACTATTCGACATTGAAGAATGCAGAGCCACAGTCCATCGTAATCCTCCATGCTTGCGCGCATAATCCCACGGGCTGTGACCCGACAAAGGAGCAATGGCGGGAGATTGCGCAATTGATGAAGGATCGTCAGCTATTTCCACTCTTTGATGCTGCTTATCTAGGCTTCAATTCGGGCAATTACGATGAAGATGCTTTTGCAATTCGATATTTCGTTGGAGAAATGGAGATGGAGGCGGGAATATGTCTATCTTTTGCGAAAAATATGGGCCTTTATGGTAAGTTTCGTGGATACCCGCCCATCTGGCGCGCGAAAAGGAAGAGGAGCCCTGAACTAATTGAGAATGCGATGATAGGAGAGAGAGTCGGCTGCTTTATGTTAGCCACGAAAACCAGCGAAGCCGCCGTGAACACCCAGTCGATGCTCGAGATGCTTCAAAGATCAGAGGTATCGAATCCTCCTGCCTTCGGAGCGAAGATTGCGAGCCAAGTAATGGGGACAAAGGAGCTGAAGGAGATGTGGTTCACCGACATGGTGACCATGAGTGGTCGCATCCGGTCGATGAGGAAAGCACTATATGACCACTTGCTCTCGTTCGGTAAGAATTGTCAATTGATTGTTCAAAAGGAGAAGAACTAACGTCAAAAAGGCGCACCTGGGTCTTGGGACCATCTCATTCGCCAATCAGGGATGTTTGGGTTTCTAGGACTGTCTCCGGAGGTAGTTTTGAAGTTAAAGAGTGAGTCCTGGAGTTCCTTATTGTGACGCATATTGCGTGGATTGAGTACTAATTTCGAATATTCTCCACAGATGAGTACCATGTCTATATGGCTGGCAATTCTCGGATCTCGATTGCGGGGTTGAATCCTAGCAATGTTGAATACGTTGCTCGCTCAATCACACAGTGCCTAAAGGATTCTTAAGGAGCATAGCTAGACGAGGATCATTTTGCATAAATATTGCGGATTCCCTTGTACCGTGAATGAAGACGTGTTCTATGATATTGTTCCTCGATGAGCTTTAACTGATTCACACGCTAGACAAGCGGTTATTTCGGACGATTAATATTGGAGAGAGCAGTTGAATTAATGAAAACTTTTCAATAAACCCTTTGTCTGTCTGACCATACCCCAAAAGAACTTGGAGAGGATTTTGGAATCACGCTCATCGCTCTAGTTTGACCTCATTCCAGATCATGTGACTCGCAGCCTTGCTATGTTGGCCAAATGAGTCACATCAGCGAGAGTAAAGTTACTATCGTAACTATTTAATTACTTTGTTTACTCACTTGTTGGAAATAGAATGGGCGGCCTTTTATTACTTGATCCTAACCAAATCGCTGTCTTGCCTCTTTGTCGGTAGTGACAATTGAATACCCTTGAGTGCTTGGATCATACAGCCGACATGTCGGTTCCCCAACTATTGATTGAACCCCAACTCGCCAACCAATGCGAAGATGCAGAGGAACTTCACATCTGGCGCCAAGGCCAAGTGTGTGCCCAGCTTTACCCGGACCAAGACATCGTGTTCCGGCCAGTACCCAATGGAGGAATTGTCATCCGAACTTTGCCTGCTTTTACCGGTAAACTTAATCGGGCCGTGGGCTGTGGAAAGGATGGTAAGATTGACCAAGAGACTCTGACGGAGCTAGAGTCTCTGTTTGCCGGTATCGGACTGGCCCCAGAGATCCATGTCAGTCCCTTTGCGAAACCATCCACCTTGCAGTCTCTCATCGCACATGGATATGAAGAAAGGGGGGTGCTGAGCACATATTGGTGTCCTCTCGAGGACTCGGCAAATGGCTCTACTCCAATTGGCAAGCCGGGCACGGCTGCAGTGGAGACCCGACTGGTCGCTGCTCACGCCACGGAAGATTTCATCGAGTCCTCCATCGCCGGGTTTCAAAGCAACGGCCGCCCCCGGGAGCTGCTGGGGGCACTCGCCAGGATTGCGACTCAACGGGCAGACACGCAATTGTTCGTCGCTCTAGTCGACAATGAGATTGCCGGCTCCGCTGCCTTGGCCAGCATCGAGACTTCCGGCGGAGGCGTGGCGCATCTGTATTTGGACAGCACGTTGCCAGGCTTTCGGGGTCGAGGCGTGCAGCAAGCGCTGATCCAGGCCCGTCTTCACGAAGCCCGGTGCAGGGGTCTGTCACTAGCAACGACCATCACTCGCGTTGGGGACGGGAGTGCACGCAATGCGGAGCGGGCAGGTCTGCGGATTGCGTATACCACGACGATTCTCACTCGACCAGAGCTCCGGGAGAGGGACGATACTCGTAACACCAGCCGTGCCCAAGAGGAGGAGAGAGTTAAGGAGTAGTTTGGGGTCAGTTCAATCCATTAGCATATAAAATCTTAATTAGGGTTGGTAAACTTTATGGGCCGCCTCATGGTCCATGCTGATGGAATAAGACCGAACGGTTTAATCTTCCGATTTGCGGAGCTCATGGCAGCAATTGTTTTCCTAGATCATTGTCTGTAGTTTGGCTCCGCCTGGTAATGAAATATCTGTAGTATTAATGGCCGCGAAATAAGAGTCAGTAACCGGATGGTCTCGTTCCTGGAAAGCTTCCATTCCCAAACTTTGCCCGTTCTGGAATACGGACCATGGCAGTCTCGGCCCACTGCTGGGTTTCAGTTGCCTTTCAGCCCCAGACTTTTTTTTTTCCAGAAGTTGCCGTTAAACTTCCTGTAAATCGCTCGTTTGCAAGACATGCAAGGCATGTAAGGCGGCCCTAGACCTCCACGAGTGGAAGGCAAGGGGGATGAGAATCAACAGGGCCTCTCCGACGCCTGCACGGATATGATATCCAGCTGGACTCTGGACGATACGGCGATCAGGCTTCGACGCGTCTTCGATACCCCAAAGTGGCTTGACCCCGAAGAAAGTCAATGGAAAAAACCGCGCTGGCCCAGATGATTCGAAAGAAGTGATCGGCGAAGGCGACAAATCGCGCAAGGGGCTTTCTCTCCACGCTAAAGCTGCGGGCCGACCGACTAAGCCCAATGGCGTTGGTGGCGCTCAGCCGGGAGTTGGAGAATCGAGGGGGGATTTTTCCCCAACCAGCATGGGGGAAGCCGGGGAAATAGTCGAGCGGATATTGAGGGGAAAATGTGGGGAGAAAGGGTCGCGATGAGAGGAGAATGATGGTCGTATCTAGTTGATCAAATCTTGTTTAGAGAATCGTGAATAATACTGTAATAGTTACCTACTCACTTTGACAAGTCTATTTCCGGTGAGTTGCACGTGACCTGCTCCGCGTCAAAGTTTTTCCACACTTCTGCCAGTCTTCTCCGCCTGATTACTATTGGTGGAAATCACCTGATCACAGACTTTTCAGACTTTCTCGGCGCCATCCGAACAGGGATCTTTCGCTTGTGGCGTGTTGGCTCAGGCGGCTCACCGAAAGCTTGGAGAAAAGGATAAATTTTGTTCTGATATCCTGGGAGTATCTGGAATGAGATCTCGATGATACCCTCCGCATTTTTCATCTTCGATCGAGGGTTACTTCTGCTTCCCCGGCTTCTTCTGCCCCCCGCATTCTATTCCCCATCCACCGCGGGGACAGTCTCCATCCGATGGCCTCCCAAAGACCCAGTGTCGCATTTCTTTTACATAAGAACCAAACCTTCTTATCACCGGATCTGCCGTTGGGGGCGTATCGGGGCGCACTTTGCGTCTCGCCCAGCGGCCAGACGGTGGACCTCCAGGCCCCCGATGGAACCACTTTCTGCTGCTTGCGGCCATTTCGTTGGGCGGCCGATCAAACCGAGTGGAGTAGCGTTGTACTCCACGTGTGCAAGACCACCCAAGGAGCGCTCACCAAATCCTGTTAGTCATTGAAATCCGCATTTTGCCTGCAGGATGTTTCCCCCGGGCGACGTGAAATGGTGGTTCCCCAGAGATAACGCCGGATCCGAGCGCAAAGTCTTTGGCCAAGCCCATTTTCTTTTATACCGGTGCCATGGCCTCTCTTCTTCTCCTCTTACCTCTCCCTTTGTCTTCTCCGGTCAATCCGACAATCTCCCTCCTCCTCCTCCTCCTCCCCTTCCCCCCTCCTTAAGTCCCATCCTCGGCAAGATGGGCTTCGACGATGTCTCAAGTGGCCCAGACTCCAACAAGATCATGGAGTCTGACGGCGAGAAGAAGGTCTACGCCGCCCCACCACCATTCGAGAAGGATATGGTCGGCGAGATGAGCGAGGCCGAGCGCCATATCTATGACCATGGTATCAAGAAGTTTAGTCGTCTCGGTTGGAAACGACTCACCGTGGTTCTCATCGTCGAGGCCATTGCCCTCGGAAGTTTGTCCATTCCCTCAACCTTTGCCGCCCTGGGGATGGTGGCAGGTGTGATTTCCTGTGTGGGTCTTGGTCTCGTGGCCATCTATACCAGTTACATCGTCGGTCAGGTTAAGCTGGCTTTCCCAGAGGTCGCCAACTACGCCGATGCAGGTCGCTTGATGTGGGGTCGCTTTGGTTATGAACTCATCAACCTGATGCTCGCGCTGCAGTTGATTTTCTTGACCGGATCTCACTGTCTGACGGGAACGATTGCCTTCCAGAACATCACCGAGAGTGGTATTTGCTCCGTCATCTTTGGCGTGGTGTCTGCGATTATCCTGCTTTTGCTCGCCATCCCACCTAGTTTCACCGAGGTTGCCATTCTGGGTTATGTGGATTTTGCATCGATCGTTTGCGCGATTGGTATTACGATTATCGGCACTGGCATCCAGGCAACGAATGCCCCCGGTGGCCTTGCGGCCGTCAACTGGTCCGCCTGGCCCAAGCCCGACTTGACCTTTACCGAAGCGTTTATTGCGATCTCCAATATTATCTTCGCCTACAGTTTCGCCATGTGCCAGTTCTCCTTCATGGATGAGATGCACACCCCCCGTGACTTTGTCAAGTCGATCTGGACCCTGGGCATCACCGAGATTGTCATCTACACCGTGACAGGTGCGACAATCTATGCGTTTGTTGGTCAGGACGTGAAGAGCCCGGCGCTCCTCTCCGCAGGTGGTACCCTCAGCCGAGTGGCCTTTGGTGTGGCTCTGCCCGTGATCTTTATCAGTGGATCGATTAACACGGTGGTCTTCGGCCGCCTAGTGCATGGTCGGATCTTCGCCAACTCCCCGATTCGATTCATCAACACCAAGATGGGCTGGATCACGTGGTTGGGTGTTATCACCGCGGCTACGATCATTGCCTTTATCATTGCGGAAGTGATTCCGTTCTTCAGCGATCTGCTGTCCATCTCATCTGCTTTGTTCATCTCTGGCTTCAGCTTCTACTTCCCTTCGTTGATGTGGTTCCTGCTTATCCGCAAGGGTAGCTGGACCGAGCCCCGAAACCTGATCTTGACCATCATCAATGCCTTTATTGGAGTGATTGGACTGATTATTTTGGTGGCCGGTACTTATTCTAGTATCGATGATATTGTAAGTCATGGATCTTACTGGACGATCAGAGCGTCAAGTTGCTAATTCGAATGCTTTTTTAGATCATCAACTACCGGACCGGCTCCGTACGGGGTGTCTTCACTTGTGCTGCCCTGGAGTAATTGGATGAGGGCAGGCTCCTCGTGAAACTCGTTTTATTTTTCTATTGTGTTCGATTGGCCTGCGAGATCCTCCTGGAAGAGGCTGGCATGTGGCAGGCCTGTCATGAGCATGTAATAGACGAGTGGATTTACGGCGCAGATATATTTGCATTATCCTGATAGACGTCTGGGCCTGGTATTCAACCAGGGCGGGCTTTGTATATTTACATACCACATTTATAGTTGCATGGAATTTTCTCCAACCCTTTCCAGATTCTCTTACGTTGCAAATCTAGTCCGTCCCACTCAAGCTACATCCCTAAGCCGTGCTGCTATCTATCTGGTTAGCACGGATACGTCCAAATCAACATCGATTATGCAACAGGAAGGGTGGGATTATCTGGTCTGGTGTAGTGATCCTCTGCTCCTCGTTGATGTCCTGATTTCATTGATAACCGGATATCCGTTTGAGTTTTGTATGTCGAATTAAGGTTGTTTGCTCTGCTGATTGGAACGTCTTTCCTTCCAAATCGTCGGAACCAGCTTCAACATCCATCAATGAGATGGTATTCTGAACTCGCCAGCTGTACCTGGTCTTTCCGAAATATATATTTTTGGGCCTTGAGGTATGCACGGTTACCGATCTGCCAAAATTGACCACAGCCGCTGTTTGATGAGACGTCCTGATAAATGCTTCATTCATTGTTCAAATTATACGCAGAATTTGATTGAGAGCCTAGTAGGTCACGATGATTTATTTCCATCAAATGACGAGCCTTCAGCGGCGCGTTGATTGTTATCCTGCGCGGCGCCGATCAATACCCAACTCGACTTTGACTTCTAAGCTTAATCGTCCAAGCCTTTCGAAACAGGAATAGGTGGCCTACGGACCAATTATGTTAGCGCAAGGCTACAGGAACTACCATGGCGACCGCCTCTACTGTACCTTTTATGGCTCTAGAACAATCCATGCCGATCATGACGTCGTATCAGGAACAGGTCCTACCTCACGACCTTGAAGCATTCTGCTCTGACTCCCACAACGGAGGCGTAACATCGATCCTTGGTGAGACAAGATCATTGTTGATTATGGCATCTGGCAGAGGAGACTCAATTCCTCATTAGTGGCTAAAGTGGGGAAATGTCCACAAAATCCACCCTCACCAATAGACGTGAGAACACACACCTGCGAAGTATACTTTACGCTGTTTCGGGGGCCGTGATTTGTTTTTATACGGCTCGCTAACTTTATCTTATATCTCAGGCAACTGTATTACGACTCACGCGGCAAAGCTTAGCATAGACCCTGCCCTGCCTGAATGTCTATCGCAAAAAAGTCAAATCCTCCTGGCGGCATCGGGTGGCTTGATTGTGTAGCTGGATGGGACCCCCACGTGCCGACTAGGCAGACACGTGTAGTTTTGCTTGGTTATACACCACTACGAACATCGTGATTACAGTACGGAGGACTGTTTATGCTTTTCTAGAATTTCTTCAAAGTTTCCATACTCAGGGACCACTGTAAGGCTGACAGGCTGCAATATTATGCTTTTTTTTTTTCACGTAGTGATGGTGTGCCTGAAAGAGAGACTTTCGGCCATTATGAACTCTCTGTTGAGTTTCTCCCTTCCTTTCCACAGTTTCCCTGAAGAATATGTTATGAGATGTACGTTCGTTTAATCGCGGCCGTTCTGGTCTCTGTTATCTCAACATACGCCCATGCCGTTGATGAAGATTGGAACACAAATGCATCCGATCCTCTTGACTGGAGCTCAGCAGGCAGCAAAAAACCACTAGGCCATGGAGTCTTAGAAACACGAAGTACTACGACCTGTGGTCCTTCCGCCAACAACGCAGTTTGTGCATCGAACCTTTGCTGCGGGCCAAATGTATGATCTTTCGAACCCCTTGTGATTCGCCTGTCTGCAATACTGACAATTTTCAGGGGGTTTGTGGAACAGGATCCTATTATTGCGCTGCACCATCGTGTCTTTTCCAGTATGGTCCCGCCTGTGATGCGAATCAAACCCCTACAGGTGTCAATACTACCTCGGTGCCTCGACCAAAGTTAGGCAGCACTCAATATGGAGTCAGTATCAGGGACTGTGGTATCCCTGGAAAGGTTGCCCTCACGTTCGACGATGGCCCGTACATCTACACGTCGGCTCTGCTCGATATCCTGAAAGAAAAAGGGGTCAAAGCTACCTTCTTCCTCGTTGGTAATAATGGCGGCAAGGGCCAGATCAACGATCCGAAAACGGGTTATCCAGCTCTCATCCAGCGCATGTACAATGAGGGCCATCAGGTCGGAAGTCACACTTGGAGTCATGCAGACCTGTCTACCTTGACCCGCCAGCAGCGGTACGATCAGGTGGTCAAGAATGAGATTGCTCTGACGGACATTCTTGGATTCTTCCCTACTTATCTCCGTCCACCATATGAGTCCTGCAATGCAGATTGCTTGAATGATCTGAAAGACCTGGGCTATCACGTTGTGAGTCACAAATACCTATCTGAAATCCACACAACTACAATGCTAACAAAAGGTTTGTGTACAGGCAAACTATGACATCGATACACTTGACTGGCAAGGAGATTACACACGCAGCCAGAGTATCTTCTCCAGCAACCTGAAATCCGCCAGTCCTTCAGCCCGCGGCTTCATATCCCTCGCGCACGATATTCACGACAAAACCGTCCACATCTTTGCAGCATACATGATTGATACCCTCCTTGCCGCTGGCTACACAACTGCCCTGTACGGCGAATGCATGAACGATCCCCCTGCAAATTGGTATCGCAATTCGACCACGGGCGAGCCGTATACCGGTGCCTCCCACAACACCTCAACTGCCTCTAATGCCAAGTCGGTCTCGGTCAGCAGCAACTCGACGACAACGAGTATAACTCATTCGTCGACTACGGCTACCCCTAGTGCGGTTGTGGGCGGCGAGGGGGCCTTTGGAAGTCGAACAGGAAATGCGACAGTTAGTGGTACAAATGGCACTGCAAGTGGTACTAATGGGACTGCTACGAAGAGTCAGGCAACGTCGGGCATGGGTTTGAAATCTTCAGAAACAGCGGGAACATTTTTTGGGATGGGCTTGACGTGGGCAATCCTCAGTTGGCTATTCTGGATATGAGTGTGATATCGTAGTAGACAATAAGAGCGATCAACTTTACAGCTCTTGATGTTGCTACTGAACCCTTTGGAGAGATATTTGACTATCAAATTTATTATTTGTTACCTCTAAACTAGCCCGAATCTTCTTGTTAAGACCTTAGCGTTGTCTATGGGTTAGAGTGTTAGAGTTATACGGCGGTTAATAGCGGCAAAGAGAAATAGTAAACCATGTCAATCAAAATAGGTTTGCTGACGGCTACAAAGTGCAATACATAAAAGCTATCCTAAACTTTATACAGAAAAGTAAACTTGAGCTACTGTGGGGGATTGTTGACAGGCTGCGCAGACTTTCTGACCAGAAGAGGCATAATTTCAGATCCCTTCACAATCCGTGTGCATTGGATAGCCTTTTTAAATACAATCCATCATAGCTGTAGACATGTCGTAAGATAAAACCCCAGCCGAAGATATTCCGACCGTCGAATCGCCACCAATAGCGTAGTGCAAGGATGGAGGTGAATATCGGAAAAAAATTGACTTTCATGCAAGGCGTCACTATTCCTAGCAAATGCGCCCGGCGGGTCGCACTGAAAATTATATTTGAGCAATTCGTCAGCCTCATTTCGTGTACGAATTTGCCATTTTTGGATAATTCGGGAGATTTCGAGTTTACAAGGTGTAACGAGAAGAGATTCTAGAGTCGCCGTGTGTCTGATAAATCCAGGACGAAAGGCTTCATAAATTGCCCCGAAATGAGCAGCCCTGGGCGTTGGACTAGAAATGCGTGGATGGTGATATTTCCTTTTTAGGAAAGTAGATGTCACTGAATGGGCCCCGGTCTCTCCGAGTACTATTGAATTCCCTCTCGACATTTTAAAAAAAAGGCCGGGATGTCTTTTTTCTAGAACAATGGGTAGTTAGCTGCAGGACATCTGTAAGCTTACTAGAAAGGTCTAGCCTCGCACAAGAATCAGATTGTCTTGTGAGCTGAACCATTCCGAAGCGTTCTGATTTGCTGAAATGGCGAACCAAACTTGCTCAAACCGGGGGCAATTGGGGGCAAGGTTGCCATCGCTGCGCTTTCATGGATGTGGTAGCTGATCTTGAACCTTTAGTAGACCAATCGCGAGGAACTAAAAAGAAGTCTAGCCTCGATGCGTATCATGTTTCTTCCCCTGCAGCAGGCAATAATTCGGCGACCAAAAAAGGTGTTTGGTGGCCGGACCTAACCGAGATGCACGCTGCAAGGGAGGATTTTCTGGAACGTCCAAATGAGAATCATAATATTATTATGATTATTCGCATGCGCAGGGTAGGACCACGTGCAGGCACGTGTGCAGTAGTGAAGAGATTTAGTATACTTCTGTCGAGGTGTAGACTGTCAGTCGAGCGCAATCATTCGTGGATTGTTCCAAATTTAAAGTATCCAAAATGGGGTTCCCCCGACCGATCAAAGGTATCAAAAGTGGCGCTAACAAGTCAACTCGGGCCCACGTGCTGGATCTATTGGCTCGAGAGGCGGCGGAGATCTGAAACAAGCTTCGAACTGACTGGCAGCTGCACTACAACATTGTCCTATACGGGAGTCCATACAGTACTACCACTAGGTCTAGTATACTCGACACGAGAGTATCTCATTTCGTGAAAACACAATACACTTTTGCCTGGAAATGATATTTGGATCAGCATGTGCTCGTTCATTAGGTGACTGCCATATTATGGTAGCCTACAGTAAGCTCCTATATCTACTACTAGACAAACTTCTTCCATTCTTCTTTATACCTTTTCTTGAATAGCTTCTAACCTACCCAATCACTTCATATCGCTTAGATTGTCAACCTCCGGGCGCAACCCCGTCAACGTGCTCGAGCAAAGCAATCTCGGGCTTTTCCCAAACGCCATCTTGGCATCGGGCGACCGTGGGTGGTCAAAGTGGCAGTTCTTGGCAAGCCATCCACGGGCTTGGCGTCGAGGATCCATTGGTGAACTTGAAGCCTCTCTCTTGGCACGGCTGGCCTCCATTGTCCATTCAGCTCTCCGCAATCAAGCACGATGCTCTGGTTCAGTATATCAAAGACTCCTACAGCCATTGAACCACCACCATTCCACCAAGCCTAGGCCAAGCTTGTGAGGAGGTCGACAAGCCTCTTCCAAGCCTACCTAAGCCTTTATGCCCAGAGAAATGAGCCAGCCCTAGTGGAGTGTGTGGTTGACCACACTTTTTTGCCCTCCACTGTAACTGAGTAAGCACGACGAGAGGGCAAAAAAAGTGTGTTTATAAAGGGGGCAACGATCCCCCTGCCCTTGACTGGAAACCACCCAGCTTATTTCTCTCCAACCTTCTGGATAGCCCTATCAAGGCTAATACAGTCCTCAGTCATGGCTGGTGCTCTTACCTCGGGCGGCAACTCTGCCTTCCGCAACCACAACAATGACTTTGCTCATATTGAGGATCCCATTGAGCGTCGTCGCCTCGCTCTAGCGGAGATTGACAATGCCAAGTTCGGCTGGTACCACGTTCGTGCCATCGTCGTGGCCGGTGTTGGTTTCTTCACCGACTCCTATGATATCTTCGCTATCAACTTGGCTTCCAGCATGTTGGGTGTCGTCTTCTGGCAGGATGCCAAGTCCAGCCCTGGCAAGATCCCTTCCACTGCCGATACTGCCATCAAGGTCTCTACCTCCGGTGGTACTGTCATCGGTCAGCTTCTCTTTGGTTGGCTGGCGGACCGAATCGGTCGTAAGCGCATGTATGGTATTGAGTTGATCATCATCATCATGGCCACTCTCGCTCAGGCTCTTTCTTCCGACTCTCCTGCTATCTCTATCGTTGGTATCCTCATCTTCTGGCGTGTCATTATGGGTGTTGGTATTGGTGGCGACTACCCTCTTTCCTCTATCATCACATCTGAGTATGTTTCTCTCTACCCTGTCCTTTTCTTTTGGAGTATTCTGCTAACCAGTCTGTTCCTACTAGGTTCGCTACGACGAAATGGCGTGGTGCTATGATGGGTTCCGTCTTTGCCATGCAGGGTATCGGTCAGTTCGCGGCTGCCATCGTGGCCCTGATTGTGACCGTCGGCTTCAAGGAATCTCTGGAGACTGCTACCTCCGTTGGCAAGTGTTCCGGTGTTTGCCAGCTCGCTGTTGATAAGATGTGGCGTGTCGTCATCGGTTTCGGTGCCGTTCCCGCTTGCATTGCCCTCTACTACCGTCTCACTATCCCCGAAACCCCCCGCTATACCTTCGATGTCGCTCGTGATATCGTCAAGGCCGATGAGGATGTCCGTGCCTACATTGCTGGTAAGCGCGAGGGCCACCCCGACGAGGTCCGTCGTGCTTCCGTCATCCAGAACCAGACGAGCGATCTGGTTGCCCCCAAGGCCAGCTGGGCCGATTTCTGGCGCCACTATTCCCAGTGGAAGAATGGCAGTATCCTCCTCGGTACCGCCGGTTCTTGGTTCTTCCTTGATGTTGGTAAGTACTCTTGTTTCTCTCGGTCCTGTTGAAATCCGACACCAGCTAACATGGGCTATATAGCCTACTACGGTCTTGGTCTCAACAACTCTATTATCCTTGCTGCCATTGGCTGGACTGGTGGTAGCACCGTCTACGAGACCTTCCGTCGCAATGCCGTTGGTAACCTGATCCTGATTTGTGCCGGTGCTATTCCTGGCTACTGGGTGACCGTCGCTACCGTCGATACCATTGGACGTAAGCCCATCCAGCTCATGGGCTTCACCATCTTGACCATCGTCTTCATCGTGATCGGGTTTGCCTACGACCCTCTGCTCAAGTCCAACAACGGTCTGTTGGGTCTCTACGTCGTTGCCCAGTTCTTCTTCAACTTCGGACCCAACGCCACGACTTTCATCGTCCCCGGAGAGTGCTTCCCTACCCGCTACCGTTCCACTTCTCACGGTATCTCTGCCGCGTCCGGCAAGGTTGGTGCCATTATCGCCCAGTGTGTCTTCGGACCTCTGGTTCACAAGGGCGCCAAGGACTCCTCGTCCACCCCCTGGCTCAAGCATGTCATGCAAATCTTCGCTCTGTTCATGCTCTGCGGTGTCTTCACCAGTCTGCTCATTCCCGAGACCAAGCGCAAGACCTTGGAGGAGCTGTCCGGTGAAGATCAAAACACTCTCGTCACTCCTTCTCCCATGATTCACCCCGAGAAGGTTTCCAACGAGAACAGCCCCGAGACCCTGCCCGTTTAATTGGGGACCCGCTAGGCCATCTTTTCGACTCCCAGGTGTCTCGGTACCTTGTGTGCCTTGACCTGTAACTTAAACCCTTTTTTTGTCCTTTTGTATCACATACCCTATAACTACCACATACCGCAGCTTATTAATAGAATGAACGGAAGTGCTGTAAAATGAATCCGTGCTGTTAGTAATTTATTAGACTAAGCTATAATTAAGAATCGAAGCCCTGGATCGGACCGTCCATGAGATTCCGCGGTTCATGACGGTTCATGACGAACGGATTCCACGAGTAGCGCACGTTTAGGCGGAAAAAAAAAGAAGAAGTGAAAAAAGCCGATGGGCGAGTGGCCATTTCCATTGATGCTTAAATAGCCCCCGATCCCCCGAAAAGGTGTCGTGTTTCTCTTTCCCTTCTTCTTCTTCTTCTCTCCTCCCATTCTAAGGCGCATTCGGCTGCCCTTTCCTAGTTTCACCACCATTTTACAGCGCAACTACACGCGACTACACAAGAGAACTTATTCTTGTCTAATCTGCCTACGCCAACCCTGCGATTTCATCTGCCTCTTTCTCCTCCTGGAAATTCCTGGAGGTCGCAACCCCCCAAGCAACATGTCGGAGCAACTACCATCACCGTCGGCCACCGACTCCAAAGATCTCACGACAGAACCCACAAATTCCATCCCCGAGCTATCTACCTACGTCACGACTGATGCAGACGAGATCCTCTCTGCCCACCGGTTGGTCGCCGACAGCGTCGCGCAACAACGCCAACTAGCTGCGCGAGCCATCATCTTCCACCCTATCTGGCTCGGAGCCATGGTCGCGGTAATCGCCGTCGTCTACAAGATGCTATACCACGACTCGTCCGATCTCCCCTTGATCGCAACCACGGGCGCGGGATGTGTCATGGCCGGGTTAACGGTGGTGCGAGTGTTCACGGGCGGATACATCGAGCATGCTGAACATGTGGGCACGAGGGCCTGGCTGGAGGATGAGGATGGTGAAGATCAAGTGCAGGAGATTCTCGTGACCAAATTTGGCGAGCAGATCATCGGCGCGCTGATTGTCAAGGGTGTTCGGGAAGGTCGCAAGGTGCACGGGGTCATTCGGGCGTGGACGGTGCGGCAGAAGTATCGCGGCAAGGGAGTGGGATCTGGATTGCTCGAGGAGGCGATTCAACTCTGTCAGAAGAGACGGTGGAAGGGGCCTGAGTTTGACGAGGAGCATGCGAACGCGAAGAGGGTGTTGCCAACGCTGTTTAATGGACCGTTTGAGAGACGTGAGAGACGGGCGAGGGGGGCTTTGGAAAAGTTGGTGAAGAAGAAGTAGAATATGGGAGAGAGATAGAATGTTTTACACTAATTCTGAATGATTTACATCATATTCATTGAATCAACGTCAACTTTGGACTTTCAAAGGGACGAGTCTCTCGAGGATATAAATCACATGACCTCTTATCTTATCGCTAATCTCTAACTAGTACTAGAGAGATAATAAAAATGAGGGTGATAGTTACTGGTGAAATATAATATAATCAATATCATGATGATGATGCTCTAATTCTATAGATCTAGATTGATTGCTCCCCTCTATGTCTCAAAGCGCTCATGCAATCGTGATGCGAGAACGTAAAGTTCAAAGTGTATTATAACAGGTAGTCGGTGAAGGAAGGATATATTTGGTGACAAGAATACTTGAAAAAGGTACCTATGGGAGGAAGGAGAGGGCGGAGCACGCCCGGGAAATGTAGAGTATAGGGTGAAGTGCTATATAGTCCAATGCCAAGGTTCGATGGCTTCAATAAATGGAAGAAAATAAGGCAAAGAGGAAGGGCGGATTGTCGATATGGTCATCCGAGATGGAGTTATGAACAAAGGGAAAGATTCCAGGTTATGTGTATTTCTGAGACGAGCAGAAAAAAAAAGGAAAATGTCCATCGCGGCTAAGATCAACTAGCCTCGGTAAGTACTTAGTCCTCTGCAACCGAAAGATGAAGCGCAAGGTTCAGGATAATGCATCGCTAAGATCCCTTCCGCGCAAACTTCTTGAGGTCATCTAGGTGCCACTTGTGAACACGGAAGTGATAATATGTCGGCGTGGTGATGAAGACATTCAAGATAATGTACGACCACATAATGCGCGAACCCCGCCATTGCAGGCTATCATAGATGTTTGAGCTAGCAAGGAATTGATCGGGTTTGGAAAGAGAACAGTATTCGCAATCAACTATTGCATTGGAGTTCTGCAAAACACCGGCCAGCAAGGCCGGAATATCTCCCTAGATATGTTTGACAGGTTTGTCTAGCGGGTGGCAAGGCTTTGACTTTTTATGCTCATATTACGAGTCTTCAATAGGCACCTTGAAGTATAATTATAACATTGAACATTGTTTGGATGAGGAACAACCGGGCATTCCAGTTGTTAATCTATGCCGAGTCAACTACACAGGATATTGATTTCCAGGGTCATTCTTTCTTTCTAACAATTCGAATGGGATCAAAAACATTCTATCCTGAGAGCAAATGCAAATTAGGACGAAAAAAGATAACCGTTTAATCAATGGTACCTTCGGGCAGAATGGAAACATAATCCAGAGGCGCAAGCTCACTGCCATCAGGTTGACCGACGATTTTCAGCCAGTCGCCCTTTTCCACCTTAACTCCATAGAAGGTAACTCTGGTTGCCGAGTGACCATCCAAGTACTCCGAGAAATCATGTCCAAGCTTGTCTTCCAGATCACCAGTCCAAGTTCCAATCAATTTCTCGCCGAGGAAAACCTCGTACTTGGCCCGTCCACCTAGATGGTCAAAGTAGTTTACAGCAATATCGTATGTACCAGACGGGAATGCAAGTTCCTTCTGGGCAGTCCCGGGCGCCTCGTTTGTTTCGGTGATGATGGCCTTTCCCCCAGATGCTGCCTCGGTGGGTGTGACAGAAACGACCTTGTAACCAGACAACTGCATGTCTTCGGCCTCGATACGCCATTGGTGATTTCCGACACGGTTTCTCTCATCCGGAATACCACATTTCGCGAAGTAGAAGTAGTTAACGCTGTCCCGCCAGACAAGAGCATGACCAGCCTGATACTGCAATTTGAATGCAACATGCTCAAAACGATGTTCATCAATCAGCCCCTTCAATTTTGCCCACTCCAAAGGGAAGGTTTGGGCATGCGCGGCACCTTCATAGTGTGCATCATAGAAATGTTGGATAACTGTCTTGCCAGACTTCAAACGATGAGTATAGGGCACGTGATGGAACCAGAGAAGAAGGTTATCAGGGGTCGATTCGATGTCCTCAAATCTTGCAGCGACCTCGGGGGGTATTGGCCTGAGTTCCCAGATCCAGTAGCGACCGTCCGATCCATGCCAATAGAATGCGCGTTGGCCCGTGTCCATTGACCCCAGCCGTTACCGTCTTGGGAGCCTGGGCTTGGACCGTAGTGGGTGTATATGATGTCGCAGAGGGTCTGGATACCTAGGTTTCCGCTATAGTTCTCATAGGTAGGCCATGACTCCATTGATATCTTTGTGATAGTGTCAACGATGGTCTCGTCGAGACCAAAGGTGAGACGGGTCCATTCTTGAATGATGGAGACTGGGTCTGAGAGCGGGTCCCAGGCTATACGACCGTAGGCATAGAGGTTGGACATGGAGAGATGATGTCCGATCCAAGTTGTATCACTTCCGATGTTGAGAACCGTCGTATAGCCACTGCGGTTCCACCCAAGGCGTTCACCAGAGACAATGTCGCGGATGCGAGAGGCACCACCATCGATTCTCATGTCGAAATCGAGTATCTCTCTCCACAGAGGAGCCATATAAACAAAATGAGACTGTTGGCCGAGATACTCCTGGGCAACCTGGAACTCGATGGCAGCTTTAGTCTTGCGAAGGTTGGCCAACAAGGGAGAGGGCGGCTCGCGAACTTGGAAGTCGATAGGGCCCCATTTGATCTGGACAATGACATTGTCATCAAACTCCCCATCTAGCTCCTTGAAGTAATCAACCGCCGCATTGGCACGATCATGTTTCCACACAGACTCATCGAGGTGATGGTTGTAAACAAAGGCGCGATACATGACGACGCCATCACCGTGAGGTTTCAAGGCTCGAGCAAACATATTGGCACCATCGGCCAAGGTACGGTTGTACGTCAGGGGTCCTGGCTGACCCTCCGAGTTGGCCTTGATGGTGTATCCGACAAGATCTGGAACCTTCTGGTATACCTTTGCTGTGATCTTGTGCCACCAGTCGTTGACAGCGGGGTCTAAGGGGTCAGAGGTAGGTAGTCCACCAAACTCTTTGGGCGAGTCAAAGTATAATGAGATACCAATCCGTACTCCCCATGGGCGCATGGCATCTGCAATGCGACTTAGGCCATCGAGATTCGACTCGCTGAAAAGCTTCGGGTTTGCATTGACGTTGTTGACGACGACGGCATTGACGCGGATGGACGAGAGGAGCCGAGCAAACTGAGATATGCGGGTCATGTCTTTCATGACCTCACCATCTCTGAAGAAGATAGATGGCCCTGCATATCCTCGCTCGATACTTCCGTCAAGGTTGTCCCACTGATTGACCCATCGGATAGGTGCACTCGGGTTGTTTGCAGACGCAATAGGAGCAAAGTTTCCTTGTGCCAGACGCATGAGGTACTCAAAGGCACCGTATATAGCACCACATTCATTCTGACCGATGATGTGGACGCAGCTGTTGCCGGCATGGGTATTCAGCCAGAAACCATCCTCCTTGAGTACCGGAATGCCATTTGTATTACCACCGGCCGAAGAGAACGAGTCAAGGGTTCCGACGACGATCGATGACGAAGGTTCACTTGTCAATTGACAGTGGATGTCAATCTTCTGGCCAAGAATACGTTTCAGCCCATCTTGTAGCTCTTTTCCAGCCGTGTAAACCGGGCTCGTCTCATCTGTGTTCAGGACAATGATGCTCGAATAACGCTGCTGGGTGCTGCTCAATGCCGTGGAAAGCGCAGCGTACCGCAGCCACCCATCGAGACCGGTTTCGATTGTCATTTTCTGACAGAATTGATGCAGATTGCAGTCTCAGAACAACAAAAATATAGGTTCTTTCCCCTCAGCGGGGTAGACACACGAATTTATTGGATTCTGGGTTATGCGCAATTTACCCGCCACAGGCTAAGATTATACAGCGCACTCGTTAGCTATGATTGGACATAATATGAATTCAACCACTTTTTTCACAGCTACCGGTGGGCGTGGGGGTAGCAATCACCGGGACAAAGGTCTGTATCTATTTACCCATGACTCTGCTTACTCCGAAGATGTACTGAAGCCTCGATCTGGTAAATATGACGTCGATTTGGGTTTTATAAAACATTCTACAGGGCATGTCTCGTCCCCGAGCTGAATATTATGCTCTTAAGCATTCGGATACAAATTCAATTTCGTATTACCTCACACTGCACATCACCCGTATAATAACCCCATCAAATCAAATCTCCGGCCCACGTAATGATAGATCCACCACCTACTCCTGCTTGGTAATATTTTCCGCGGCATCATCGTCAATTTGTGCATCTTTGAACTCCCAGGCCTTCAGGTTCTTCGAGAATAAGATGTCGAGCTCTTCATAGGTGCGTCCTTGAGACTCTGGGAGGCGGAAATAAGCCCAAGTTGTAATGACAATAGTGAAACCAGCAGCCAAGAATGCCGTCTTGCCTTTCCAGTTGCCTTCAGTTGGATTGAGAGTGTACGGAGCGACAGTGGAGCTGAAGACATTTGCAACGTTGTAGGCATTTCGTGCAAGGGAAATACTCTTGGAGCGCAGTCGAGTGGAGGAAATCTCCCCAACAATGATGAAAGCAAGAGGGCCGAGTGTGAGCTCGTAAAAGACATACCAAAGGAGATACATCGCCGATTCTCCATAGCCCAAACCAGAAGTTTGGGGCTGTACACATGCCATGATACCCAGAATCAGCATAGAACAGCCCATGCCAATATATCCACCGAACAGGACGGGCCGACGACCGTAGTTGCCAGTGATGAAGACAGATAGCAAGGTGCAAAGAAAGTGAATACCACTCTGACCAACGCTCATTTTGTATGCATCGGCGGCAGCCAGTCCAGCTTGTTCGTAGAAGTACGTAGCATAGGATGTGATGGCAAAGCCACTGAGGACCTGAGAAGTCCAGACAATGCAGCCAATCTCCGTGCGCCAGGCATTGCTCCCACGAAAGCAATCAATAAATGATGCTCCCTCGGTCATGGCCATTTCCAGCTTGGTCGTTTGAATCATCAGAGCAACAGACTTCTTGGCGTGATCCGGATCTTGAGATGACGAAAGGCGCTTAATAGACTTCTCGGCGTCCGGAATACGGCCCTTGCGGACCAACCACCAGGGAGACTCGGGCGCAAATATAAGGACAGGAACGATGATCACGGGCCAAACCCACTGCACAGCAAGGGGGATACGCCAAGCCCATTCGTCCGTACGATGCTCGAGACTGTCCAAGATACCGGTGGCCACAAACTGACCAATACCCCAACAGAGCACAACATATGTTTCGAGATAGGAACGAAGGACGACGGGCGCAACTTCTGAGGCGTATGCAGGAGCCAAAGTAGTAAACACACCCCATGCAAGACCGCAGAGGAGCTCTCCAACGAAGAGGATTTGAATATTCTTTGCAAAGAAAGGGATGAAAAGAACGCCGGTCAGGAAGGCTAATGTACCCAAGCAGGTCTTCTTGTGGCCCCATCTCTCAGTCAAGAAGGCGTTGATATAAATGCCGACGATATTGCCTAGCGGACTAGCAAGACCAAGTGCAGTCTGCCACTTGGCCTCCAGTTGGTAAGAGCCTGGTTTGCTAGTCTCGTGGCCGAACCTTTTCTGAAAAGCAGGGAAACCGAAGAGAGAACCGATCAAGGCAGTGTCGTAACCGTCAAGGATCACGACTAGGGAGACCACCATCGTCCACATACATGCTTTGGGATACAGCTTAACAGCATCAACGAAACCTAATCTATGCTCCTCTGCGGTCGCGTTCCGTGCATCTTCGGCCAACCCAACCCAACCTTGAAGTTCGTGATCTGGAGCAATGTCTTCATGGTGGGTAACATGATGACCAGTGTCCGCTTTGGGCCCCTGCGCGGTAGACATTGTGGTTTTGCCGATCGTAATTTATGTCCAGGAAGATGTGAGTCTCAACAAAACTCTATACAAGTGTAGTGCATGGGGAGCCGCTTCTTATGAACCACTCCCCTTACTCTTCAAAGCGGCGAAGAGCACATCCTGGATGGCTGTGGAATGCACTGAATGGGACAGCCAATTTTGCCGGTCCGCATAAAAGCCCATGTCATCCTTGTGACCCAACTGAGCCGAGTTGTAGCCCAATTGGTGACATTCGTAAGAGCTTGTAATTCAAAAGGTGGGGGTCCATAAAGGATTGATTGGTGGGTTTTCGGATTGGCTGACGCGTGGGGGTAAGCCACCAATGTCTTAGCCCAAGCTACGAGATATATCATTCTCTGGCTTGTAGCTACCACTAAGGGGAGTATCGCCGATCTACCTATTACACATACAGTGAACCTGGAGAACTTCAGAGTAAATCCGTTTGATGTGTATTCTGAGGTATGGGGTTTAGGTAGGGATACAGGGTGAAACCGACTAGAATAATAGTCCAACATCCAGGCCGATTTGAGAACGGAGTCGCCTTCCCCGCACCCGCACGCGCTATTCCCCAGACTAACCAAAATATGGGGGAAAACATAGAACCACACCGTGATCACACGGGGAATTGGGGCTAAATGCCATTTTGGCGGCACTAACCGGCTAATTATTGCAGCCAACAGAGATTAGACTAGTAGGCTCTCGGGTGGAAGTGAGGGGTGGTTATGTCGAAGCGAAATGCAACTAAACTACTGTAGAAAGAAATCCCTGCTAGCGCCTGAGACGGAATATTCAAGTTGGCCTTTATCCAGGAATAAGGCTTAATGTGCAAATTATGCTAAATTGCTCATGCTTGGTGGTGCTTGTAATGACGCCAAGCTATCTCCAAAAATTCCTGGGGTAGACTTGCGAATTTTTAAACTGGATCTATCCCCTGCGTAAAGAATTTGGACCTTACTCAGTTATTCAATCTCAATTACTTTCTTTCCTCAGTCTCGATGAAGTTCTCCATGATTGACAAGCTGTTCCTGCTCAACGCGCTAGTCGCGAGGGTCACAGCAACGCCCACGTCATCATCGCTGGTCTCCGTGTCTGTCAATCCCAAGGTTCAGTTCCAGGAAATCGACGGCTTCGGAGCCTCTCAAGCCTTTCAACGTGCAGAGGATATCTTCGGAAAATATGGTTTGCCCGCTGTGAATCAGAGCCTCGTTCTGAATCTCCTCTATGACAAGGACATCGGCGCGGGATTCACCATTCTCCGGAATGGAATTGGCTCCAGTAATACTTCCGACAGCAACTTCATGAACTCTATCGCGCCGACAAATGCGGGGGGGCCCGACGCAAAGCCCGAGTATGTCTGGGATCACTACAACAGCGGCCAATTCCCTCTCGCCCAACAAGCCTACGCTCGAGGTCTTCAAACCCTGTACGCTGATGCTTGGTCAGCCCCGGGTTATATGAAAACCAATGATGATGAGAACAATGGTGGCTACCTCTGTGGTGTGACCAATGAGTCGTGTGCAAGTGGGAATTGGATGCAGGCTTATGCCAATTATCTCGTCCAGTACGCGCGCTTTTACAAAGAGTCCGGAGTAGACGTCACACATCTGGGCTTTTTGAATGAGCCTCAGTTTGCTGCTAGCTATGCTGGAATGCTTTCAAACGGCACGCAAGCAGCTGACTTTATTCGAGTGCTAGCCAAGACTATCAAAAAGTCCGGTCTCAGTCTCAAGATCAATTGCTGTGATGGCATAGGCTGGGATGACCAAGAAGCGATGATGGCCGGTTTGGAAGCGGGTCCTGATCCAGCTATCAACTACCTCGACGTCGTGACTGGCCACGGATATGATTCCGCGCCCACTTATCCTCTCAGTACCAACAAGAAGACCTGGCAGTCCGAGTGGGCCGATTTGACTGGAGCCTTTACTCCTTATACTTTCTACGAAAACGGGGGTCCTGGAGAGGGACTGACTTGGGCGAATCACATCCAGGTTGCCCTGAGAGACGCCGAAGTTAGCGGGTTTCTCTACTGGATTGGGGCCGAGAACTCCACTACAAATAGCGGCCTGATAAACCTCATCAACAATGAGGTCATTCCATCTAAGAGATTTTGGGCTTTTGCTCAGTTCAGCAAGTTCGTGCGTCCTGGTGCTCGTCGCATTGCAGCCGTTAGCTCTCACGCAAATCTCACCGTCAGCTCGTTCGAAAACGAAGATGGACGCATTGCTACGCAGTTGCTGAACCAGGGTAATTCAGACGTTGAAGTCAGCGTAGTGATAACTGGTCTGAAGTCGGGTGTACGGGTCAAGCCTTACCTCACGAATAACAAGTATGATTTGGAACCCCTATCTTCCGTCTCCTTGGGAAATGGCGGATCATTCAAGGCTGAGGTTCCTGCATGGTCAATGGTTACTTACTTGACTATATGATCGATTTATGTACATTTAGATACATATGCCCTTCACTGTGTCACTGTATATAGCTCTTAAACTCGCAGTAAATCTGTCCCTCGGTCAGTGCCTTTGTTACCAGTAGCTACAAGAGCCAAATTTGAAGAAGAATAAAAATTTAAACTCATTCAAAAAGCTCGGAATCTCTCAAAGATATCTACTGGGAAAGCCTCCGCCAACGCGTGGAAGGCTTGTTTGTTGGGGTGCAAACGATCGCCCGAATCAAACTCTTTTTTTAGCACTGCAGAGTCATTATCATCCCTCAAAACTCGATCAAAATCAATGACGGCGTCAAAAACACCACTCAGTCGAATCCAATCATTGACCCTCTGTCTTGTCCGGTCCCTGATTGGATGCGAATACCCCGTGAGGCCTTCGGCCTCCGCATCAACCACTATCTCGCCTTTTCTTCTTCCAAATGGTGTAATTGTCGCAGCGAAGATAGGAATCCCACGTGCGTGTACCCTGGTCACGATCTGTCTATATCCGGCAATTATTTGATCGCCAATTGTGGATTGACTTTGTTCATTGGCTTCAGCGGTTCCAATATCATTCACCCCTTCGAAAATCAGGACATATTCCACACCCGAATGGGCCAATATGTCGCGATCAAGTCGGCTGAGAACGTTGGGGCCTATGCCATCTGCGAGGATGCGGTTGCCCCCTGCAGCTTGATTTAGTATGGAGATAGACGCAGTGACGGGATCTGACTGGAGACGGGAGAATAGGAGATCAGGCCAGCTAGGAGGTCAAAAAGTCAGCTTGAACATAGCGAAGACACAAGATGGCCTTGAAAGGGTTAGTACCGGTCGTTGCCATCAGTTGTGCTGCATCTTCCATCCGTGATGCTATCCCCAATAACAGCGAATGCGCACGAATCACGCGGGGCCAGAACTTCAATTCCAGAGATATAGAACCTAGGCCAAACAATAAGAATTTAACATCCCGAAATGCAAACTCGACTTACCAATGCTCTATTGGCTGGACAGAAGAATCAGTCAAATCGGTTTCCGAAACACAATTTCCTAAACTGCAAAATGAAGTTGTTCGGCTTCCAGGATGCGACGTGATTCCAGTTTGACTGTCTTGTCCATTTTCCAAGAAAAGACTAATGGTGAGTACTGTGTTTGTCGGCAGGGGAAGTCCGAACTCGATGGGATCGGAGACAGCTTGCGCTCCACCCGGAATTTTGGTCGTCATGGACCCATCGTCAAATGTAACGTTTCTCAGAGTGTTTGTTTCGATTTTGCTGCCGCCAGATAAATTATCGTGTGCTAGGGCCACTGTTATCCGGTCGATATTCAAATCGTCGCTGCCAAACGCGTTGGATAATCGGAGACGAAAGTAATTTTCAGTGCCGAGGGTGATTTTCACAGTTTGTCGAATTGTTGTATTGTGAAATACTGCCTTGTTCCGGATCTTGAGGCGTTGATTAATCAATTTATCTTCCAAACGATCTTGGACGCCTAGGAAGAGACTAACGAATATTCTCGGTGGCAATTTATCTGCTTCGGCGCGCATCGGCATCGCGGCCCATGTATGGACCCAATGCCTGCTTTGAGCCATTGTCCGTAATAGTAATCCCAGGGCGGATTTTTTTGACTGATTTCGCGAAAAAGAACCTTCCGAGGGAGTGACTTAATACTTAGTTAAGCGGATAATTAGCCCCCAACCTAACCCGGGTAATTAATTAAACACAGGTGACCACCGACCGCGAATCCCGAGCGAGTTGAGTTTAGGCTAACAAACCGCCGGTTACAGTTGTTTAAAAGTGGTGTATTACTTCTCCTGGGCGGCAGATACACACAAAGCGACGCGTCGAAAAGAGAGTAGATATCTAGATTCTAGGGAGCCTGGAGATAATTATCAACTCGAGACTCGTCCTTCTTGTGTGCTATGGCGGGAAACTAGGTACTGCACACGCTTAAGAGTCACATATGGCCAGGCAGACTCCAAGCTGGCCACAAATTGGCTATATAATCAGAGTATTTGAATGGAAAAATAAAAAGTGAAATAAAAGATGAGATCGACCTTATTTAGTTTAAGGTTGAACATCATAACTCCCCCAGTCGCCATACTATTCAGGCATTAGCATATAACTATAGCCGGTAGAATCGGGATGATTAAAGGTAGACTCCCGAACCAGCCTCAATACATATGCGCTGGGTTCAGCTCAGCGGCACTCAAAAAGTTTTTAGGTCCTAATAAGTTATAATATTTACATGAGTTTATTTATTTTGCAACTATATACGGCTCGACTAAATTCAAATACAAAAAAAATGCGGAAACAATCCGTGGCTTGAAAGATATTATATGATTTAGAGACTTGGATCCGGCACCTCAGCGGCACCCAATTAACCGAAGCCTCTCGCGACACAGAAAGCTTCTCGGCATTGAAAAGAATAACCTGCAAAAATCGGATTGAGAAATCGAGGAAGAGAATATTCGCGGAAGTCTCCTACTCTTATGCAGAGAACCCAAATTGGCCAATCAAAGTTTATCGAGTGATGGAAAACTCTATCAAAATGCTCTACTTATATGAGAGTCCGCTGTATGCGCGCCTAGGGGTAGTGCTTCGAACAGTCTTTTTAGGAAGTTGACAAGAAAATGCTCCCCAAGTCCTAAATTAGTCAGGTTGTCACGTCGGTGGCTCGACCACCCGCCTGCCCTGCGCTCTTTCTGGTCTTGGTAGTGTCAGACGTACGAATTCAGAAGCAAATACCCCTCACCTTTCGATGGAATTTTTGTAACGGCAGAAATTCGGGGCCGTTATCGAGGTTAAAAACAAGCAAAGGGCTGAATCCGCCCCTTATAATATGTGCGCAGCCCGCGTATTCAGAAATGGGGGATTAATTATCATTTTAGCTACCTACAGTAGGGATCATAGAACTCTGATTCTAATTATTGCGATACAAATTGGCTCTCATCGGTGTTGTACTGTAAAGAGTTTAAACGTTCCAACTAGGCCGGCTCACTGTCAGCACTTCCAGACATCGAGACCATCACAGGACGTAATACACTTGAAAAAACCACTCTACCGACCCCCTAGAAGATGCCTGCGGTGCCGCTGAAAGACAGAACTGGTGCTACGAGGCACTTATCCTGGAAACAAGGCATATGTTTTGCAATAGTCCAGTCGGACTTGTGAGATCCAATAAGGTTTCCATGAAATTCCACAGACTTTTGTATGAATCATGTATATTACGCTCCCCCGTACTGTATTATGCAGGTTGCGTTTCAGCCCAACCTTCGCCTTTTTTGCCCAAAGCTCAAGTACACACTGGAGCAGCCCGCCCGCTATATTATAAGGCGGTCTTGAAAGACTTGCGCAAAGCTATGTTATGACATCTGCTCCATCAACAGATTATTTGAAACAAAAGGTCAACCGATATTCGTCGTATGTCACCAACTGTGCGAGCCAAACTGAAAGAACGTGAAGGCCTCAAGACCATATCCTACAGAGATGCTAGAGGTTCCATGGCCATACTAAGTAATAATATATAATTAATTGCGAAGAACTAAATATATAATACGAAATAAGTATCCTTATATATCTAGCCCTTCTTACTCCTAATCTATCCCTTAGGAGTATATCTAGAGTTACTATATACTCTATTACCTACTCCTACGAGTCGTACTAGGAGTATATCGTTAGCGTTATGTGAGGCTTACTAGGTTCCTATATTTAGGGTAACTATAATCTTAGTATTAGTAAAGAGATAGCTATTTCCTACGTCGCGCTAACCGTCCTATAGAGTAAGTAGGTATTATTTATAACGGTTAGCCGTAGGCCGTTCCTAGCTCCTACCCTAAATATCTACCTTATAGCCCCCTCCGGGGCCTACCTATGTATACCAAAACGCACGTGATAGTGCTAGTACCTAGCGTCCGTAGAATGATTAGCTCACGGTTACTCCTTAGTTAGTTACTGCCCCCGCGCCTCTCAAGGTCCGTAACACGAGGGTCTTTAAAGCTAAAGACTATCCGGGATATTATATTATAGATTTAAATACGACAAGATTTAACCTCTAAGAGCAGATATAGCTTATTCTATAGGAGTATCTCTCACACTAAGAGATCGTAGCTATGACAGAGGCTAATGAAACACGGGACGAATCGTTTAATCCGATCAGTGATACCGAGTAAGAGACAGAGGATATAGTGTATAAGACGGACGATATATAGCCCCCGAACGTATAGTCCCTTTAACAGTCTCGTACGATAATACTTAACCTTAAAGATAGAGAGGCTATAAATCATGATAAGCATGATAACGACGACGACATAAACCCTCCTTTACCTAACACATAGTAGCGTGTATCTAGTAGAAAGCGTAAGCGCTCGAAGCTACTTAAGGTTAGATCTCAATGATTACTACACTGTTTGATTCTCTACGTCCTATGTTATTATTCGTACGACAAAGAATGTAATTTCTTATGATTTTACCTCTTGATTCTTAATTCTTTACTCTACTGCCGTATTAAAAGTTACAAATAAATACATAGAAATCCTGTCTAAATCTAAATAATTTATGTATCGTAAGCAAGTCCCATTTTCTACCTATTTGTCTTGTTTAGGACCCTGAGGTTCACCCGCGGATGACCCTCTTGAGGGTCGGACCTCTAGGTGAACGACCCCCAGGGTTGATAACTCGGTCGCTTACCCACCCGCGCGGCGAGTCGGGTGGAGGGTCCGGAGGGTCAGCTGTCATACATTTTGCTCCTAAGATGCGTAAATCGGACCATGAACCGTATACCATCAAGGGACAGACGGTTATGCCCAAATATCATATCAAGATCTTGGGCGTACTCATGGATACCGGACTCAAATACAAAGAGTATATCGCAAGAGTGGCGTCTAAAGCTCTGGAGGCAGAGATGGAGCTCCGGCGCCTCCGAGGGCTGTCTCCTGCAACAGCGCGACAACTCTTCACATCGACGGTAGCCCCGGTAGTGGACTACGCATCCAATATATAGATGCACGCGTGCAAGGATAAGGCTATAGGACCGATCAACCGAGTTCAAAGAGTAGGAGCGTAAGCTATTTGATGACTCGACCTCGACCGTTTGGTAGTGCATCTAACACACCCTGTGCCCCGGGAGCCGATCACTTCCCGAGGCGCGGTCTTACCACCATCTACATTAAAGGTTTGTTACTAGGGTAAAAATGCTTAGATATGTACCCTAGAATGTGCATTACTTGTACTCTTCAAGAGGTCAAGGGGTTCAAGCGATACGCGCACATACCGGCAAAATATTCCGGCAATCACAATCGAAATTGTGGAATTTGATTAGTTGCCCCTGCGTGCACCGAGGACTACCGGCCGTGTCCAGCAGAACCCCATAAAATCTTGGGACTTCTCTTTACTCCTGCTTGCTACATGGACATCCCCCTATCAAAATCCATCGACTATGAAGAGATCAAGTGTGAATTAGCGAGATCAGCGAGTTTAATCAAATCAAAAACATCACGATAGATTTTTTTCTCTCTATCTAATCTTATAGTAGCGTTCACCAGCGACAGAGAAACTCCCAAGAACATTAGACAACATAGATAAATGACTAATCTTACCCGATTCGGTAATTCGATTCAGTAATTGTTCGCCAGGCTATGCATATAGCGGGGGCATCGGGTGGAGGTTCAACGGGTGTTTCTAATAGGACTTGTGCTTACTTTATACGTTACAGCGAAAATGCACTCTGTGCCCGTATCGAAAGAATGATCGACCCTAAAAATGCCAATCATTTACATTCCACGAAATATGTCCAGACATTCCATTTATGGTACAAAGTTTAACAGTAAAAGGTTGACCATAAACTCACTACATATAACCCCCTCCCCTAAATGGGTAGGATAAATTGTTCTTCTTTACCACGAACAGTGCGACGGGTACAAAGTGAAATCCTTTCCATACTAAATCATTTATCGTTTAAAATAAACGGTTTTTGCAAAGATGCGTGTCGTTCTTCCTACCCTTTTTTGCGGTGCATTGGTCACTGCGCTCTCCGGAGACGAGGCTCTACAAAAGTGGGGTGGACCGAGGGGTGGGCATGAGATTTCCCACGGGGGTAACAGTATTGGAAATGGAGATGCTGGTGGGATTAACATTGACACTGGGGGTGGCGACATTGGGGACATTGGAGTTGGGGTCGGGGGTGGAGGGAGTGGGAGTGGTTGCGACCTGGCCGCTTGTGACGCTAAGGTAGGACTTGTGGATATCCAAAAAGTTTGCTAATACTAATATATTGCTTCATGTAAGTGTCGGCAATTGGGCGATCAATCCGGCTACTGCGATAACGGGAGTGGATCTCCCAGTTTACTTGGACTTATCCTCGGACAAACTACGGCGTTAGTCTCTTTCTCGATTGTCCTAGGATTGCAGAGCGATCTGAAAGCTAATGTGAAATAGAAGCTGCATCTGTATACCAAGAACAGATTGTGATCCTTCTGTAAGTTGGCCGCAGAGTACATATTTTTGTGACGACGACTAAGTGGTGCTCGATAGTGCGCGTCTGGACTGACCTGTTGTAATGGAGCCTGCACCAACCTCCAGGATACTCCTAGTAACTGTGGCACTTGTGGGAATACTGTGAGTTAGGCTTAACCTTTATACTTCTAGAGGGTTATCTATTATTTCGATGTTCTTATAGCTAATATGATCAATTTACACGCTTATTCAGTGCCCTGCTGGGTCGACTTGCTCATCAGGTGCCTGTATATGCGCTAGCTTCCAGGCGCAGGCCACATTCGGCACTGGGACCTTCCCGCACGGAGTGGCAGTAGGTGACTTCAACGGAGATGGCTATCTTGATATCGTTGCTGCGAACGCCGGCGATAGTACAGCGAGCATCTTGCTTGGGACTGGGTCGGGGACCTTTCAGGGGCAGACAGCATTCCCAGTGGGGTACCAGCCGTTCTATATTGCATTGGGTGACTTTAATGGAGATGGCAATCTCGATATCGTGACTGCGAATACAGGTGACGATACAATAAGTATCTTGCTCGGCACTGGATCTGGGAGTTTCCAGTCACAGGCTACATACCCCGTAGGGGCCGTTCCTTTCGGTATTACAGTGAGAGACTTGAACGGAGATGGCCATCTCGATATCGTGGCTACGGATCAAGGTGACAATACAGTGAGCGTCTTGCTCGGCACTGGATCGGGGACCTTCCAGGCACAGACCACATTCGGTGTGGGGTCCACTCCTGACGATGTTGCAGTAGGCGACTTCAACGGAGATGGCTATCTCGATATCGTGACTGCAAATACCGGCGACAATACGGTGAGCGTCTTACTCGGAACTGGATCCGGAAGCTTCCTGGCACAGACCACATTCCCCGTGGGGTCTCAACCGGACGGCGTTGCAGTTGGCGATTTCAATGGAGATAGCCATCTCGATATTGTGGCTTCGAATTTCGTGGATAATACAGTTAGTGTCTTGCTCGGCACTGGATCCGGGACCTTCCAGCCGCAGACCACATTCACTGTGGGGGCCGCTCCGCATGATGTTGCAGTAGGTGATTTCAATAGAGACGGCCATCTCGATATTGTGACTTCGAATATCGTGGACAATACAGTGAGCGTCTTGCTCGGCACTGGATCCGGGAGCTTCCTGGCACAGACCACATTCCCCGTGGGGTCTCAACCGGACGGCGTTGCAGTTGGCGATTTCAATGGAGATGGCTATCTCGATATTGTGGCTGGGAATCTCGATGGCCATTCAGTGAGCGTCTTGCTTGGAAAGCCTTGTGGCCCTTAGAGCCGCCCTTGGGATTGTGGCACAGGTATATGTAAGGATGTCTTATCCTACTATATTCGAGAACGGATTTTCCCGTATACATTTTTGGATATGTATAGAGATAAAATGACGTCAGCGGAAAATAACGGGCACTCACTCTGACCGTACTTAAATCATAACGTTCCTCTAGTTTCATGGGATACAGTACTCGGGCTTGTGGTGCGTATAAGCTTCCAAATTGTCGGAAGTTGTTGTGGAGACTGATGATAGTCTACTTGCTACATTCACCCTGCTCAGCCATTTCAGACGTGTTAAAATATTTGCTTTCTATCATATCACGGATGGAAACAAGCTTTGACGGCGAGAGTCTTGGAGTCATGTCACATGGACTAGTAACGGTAAGTGGGAAGCTATTGTGTAAGAAGTTATAGCTTGTCATGACAAGGAGAGAGGAGAGACAAGGTACTGTGTGTCTGTTAATTTGGTGTAAAATACATAGTCGAGGCGATCGTCATACTGGTCTGTTCCTTATTCATGTGAATTGGCCGAAAGGCACAAATGGTATGGTCCCAGTAATGATGAACTTGGAGGCTGAGGGTCATATGGTGGGCAATGAACGCAATATCCATAGAACCGCCTTGGTTCTGCAAAAGCTCGTCCAAGTCTTGGCTTTGACTTCGCCCTAGAATACCGTAAGCAAGCGCCAAGTCGGATCCTCCGCGGTGATAATATTGTGTAGCTTGTAGGGTATGTTATACACAACATGGAGTGTAGGCTGTAAGAGTGTTGTAAGGATATATTGCTCTTTATCACGAGCGATTACTAGCTCTTTGAGTTGAGATTCGCGCCTGTGGATGGGGAGAGACGGCGAGAGGGGGAGTTAGTGGAGGTGGAGGAGGGAATAGGTAACATGGAGCGGGTTCGTGGCCGGCCTCAAGGGGGTTCTTGAGTCTTAGCGAGCGTCTCTGTGTATGGGATATGATCCTGGGGTGTCTGGGGGCCGCCTTTAGGATCGAGGCGAGGGACTTCCCCCACCGGGGGCGGGGTTTGGGTGATAAAAGACCGAGCTTGGCGCTTCGGAGGGCTATCCCCATCAGGGATGCTTCTGCCAGATACCAGCAGAATCATAGGGAGTGATCATTGGAACTGCATTACCCAGGGCTTCTCTGAAGTCATGTTCCTCTGGACGTGCTGCTCTTCTGAGGATGCTGTTGTCGCTAAACCAGAGAAAGCATACCACCAAGAATAAGCTTGATTCTGCTGGTCTTATTTATTACTGTTTGAATAGTATCGCTATTGGGAGAGTTATGAAGTTATGATCTATTGGTCTCAACCTAAAATAATCTTATCTTTTTTCTCATCTTTTTCGATTAGTTGATCAAAATTCATAGACCCGATCTGGCTTCCTTCAAATACATTTGTTATGCGGGGATTAGGAGCCGATGCGTGGGCACGCATTGAAACGATCGGTAATGACCATAAGGATCTTAGGTATTTGGATTGCGTGTTTGACTGTTGCGTTTCGTATGGTGTTAATATCGAGCGCCTTGTAGAAGGTGGTCCTTCCCGATAGTAGGTATAGTATAATAGTAGATAGTATAGTGGTAGATAATCCTTAGTATGTTCTACCCGTACACCTATCTATCCTCCTACTACTTTAGTCACGTGCGGGATAGCCGTTTCCTACGTCGCGCTAACCGTTATATAGAGTAAGCGGGTATTAGTTGTGGGGAATTGTTACACACACAGCAGCTTTTGCTAGCCGCACAGTAATTATGTAATATCCCGTATCACATAATCAATTTCGCCAAGAATCCTTACCATACATTACCGCAGCAACTGCATTACTTACCACTATAGCAACTGCATTCTATTAACTACTACTATAAGTAGGCCTCTGCATGGTGCGGTCTTGGTCCTTAGGTCGAGGACCGCGGACCGGACCGCACGGTCTTGCGGTCTCGAATTCGGGGGTTGAGACCGCACCATAGTGAACCGCGGTCCCTTGCGGTCTTCACCACGGTGAACCGCAATTGCATAATTCTACCAAGACCTTCTCTTTTCGGCTACATAAATTGATGATTCATCCCATTTAATTACTGTTATTAAACACTGTTTTGGTCCCTTCATAAACATTTACTGTATTTCAGCATCAGCCACTATGAAAACAGATGAAATATACTCGTATATAGAAAATCTACTATTTAAAATACCTAGACCTGCCAGTACTAGTATATTTCTAAGTTCTAATAGAGAGGTTTAGTAATAATTATTGCTGGCTAGGTGTATGAGGTAAGAAATATATATTTCGATATCAGTACCTGACCCTATCTTCATCTGAGACTTCTTCGTTGAGTGTACATAACCCCCTACATACAGCTAAAATAGGTATTAAGGGTATTATCAGAGAGCTTAGATTCTCTAGTTAACTATTTATCTTGAAATTCTATATTCTACTACTAATATATCATAATAATCTCTTTTCAAAATTGGTTTCTCTGATATGAAGTGTAGACTTAGAAAGAAAAGGAGGATTATACTATTATATGGGCCTTCTAGCGGTCCTTTTCGGTCCTGTGCGGTCCTCCTCATGGTTCTCTGCGGTCCTCTGCGGTCAATCATAGTATTTCCTACTAGCTGTCTATGCGGTCTTCTGCGGTCTTTGCAGCCCTCTATGCGGTCTATCGCGGTTTTTCCTGCGGTTCTATGCGGTCTTCTGCGGTCTTCGTAGCCCTTATCCTATCGGATTGTAGTAAAGTGGAGCCTACTGCCTAATCACTATTACAATTCAATTTGATCTATCTAAATCATGCCTATAGCTTTCTCCTAGAGAAAATCCTTTATTCAGCTTTTTCTAGTAGACGGAAATATTTTAGCAGGTATCTCCTTAAGTCCTTTACCTCCCCCGTCCTATCCTATACTCATTTCGTCAAAATGTTACAGAGTCAGGCCTCCTCTCAGTTCTCTGATCAGTATCCCTCATCGGCTTTTGAGGATAATCCACGAGATACTTTCTCCTTCATCACATCTGATGGGCTGTTTAACCTCGACGGGCGCGAAACGCCAACTTCTACTCCTAACGTGAACTTACTCCGACCGGCGATTCCTCCTGTTATCCCAGAAACACTCGAACGCGTTGGTCCTCCTAAAAGGAAAAACTATATCCTCTGGACAGAAATGGCGAATGAGGATTTCATCGTCTGGTGGTTAAAGACGGAGTATGGAAGTAAGATGAAACGGAATATCTTTGAGGGTAGACGCAATGCAGAATGTTGGGACCACTTCTACCAGGTCGCTACTATCCAGGATGGGTCTCCTAAGGTAATATGCAAGAATTGCGACCATATCCTTGCCCATCCTGCCGATAAGCGCCGGGGAACATCTACTATGAATAGGCATTATTCGTAAGTAGGTGCCTGTCGGAGAGGACCGACTCAGTCGCAAGATATTAGGAAGGCTATCAAGAACGGGGTATGGATAATCAGTCTACCTTTTTCTAATTATTACTAATCTTATAAAATACCCCTTCTAGGCATATCTGTCGTCTCGTAAAGCATCATTTACGCCGCAAGCTTGGATGGAAAGGTTAATTACCTTTATTGCTGCCTCGCGGCTACCCTTCCAGCTTATTGAGCATCCTGAATTTCGCGCCCTTCTTGAGATGGCCCGGCTTGCTCCCTGCTTCCCCGAAATCCCAACTGCAACCACAGTCCGCCGTCATCTTCAAGAGATCGTGGAAGAACGCCAGTATACTCTTCTACAGAAGCTTCCTAATAGTGCTAAGCTCTCTATTGCATTAGATTGCTGGACCTCACCATTTCGCCAAGCTTTTATGGCAATAACGGGCTATTTCATTGACCAAGAGTGGAATTACCGAGAGCTCTTGCTTGGCTTTGAACCTCTACAGGGCTCATATACGGGGGCCTATCTAAGCACTGTCCTGCTTGACCTTCTTGAGAAGCATCGGATTACTGAGAGGGTGTTAACTATTACTACTGATAACGCATCTAATAACGGAACATTACTCGGTAGCCTTCAAGAGGTCGTCGAATCCCTACAGCTACCTAGTAGTATACCGGTTATTCGTATACCATGTATTGCACATGTTATACAGCTCAGTTTGAAGGAGCTCCTTGGTCAGATGGACGCGAACCCAGGAAACGAGAGGGAAGAGATTGAATGGACCGAGAAAGGGCATATAGCTCGGCAAGAGAATAGAAAGATCGTGGATACTCTGAACAAGGTCTAGCTCTCTCTAATCTCTTACTATTATCTCTCTTTCTTTACTAACTCGCACTATATTCTAGGTTCGGAAGGTAGCAGTCTACATCAACAAAAGTCCCCAGCGCCGCGAGAGCTTCATAAGGCTTCAGACGAAAGAGCCTAAGCTTATGCCTATACAAGATGTTCGGACACGATGGAATTCGACGTTCCTCATGCTTAGGCGTGCCCGGCGATTGCAGTCTGCCTTTGATGACTTCTGTGTCCAATTCAACCTCGCTGATGTAAAGATAGACAGAGATGAATGGCGACAAGTTGACTATCTTCTGTCAATCACTTATCCCTTCTTCAAATTCACTTCGTCTCTTTCGGCAACTACAGACGTGACTATCCATAACGTCTTTGGTATCTATAACGCCCTATTCACACATATTGATAAGGCGAAAGTGCAGCTAGCGCGAAAGAAGGTTGGTTGGAAGAGAGTGATGAAGTCCGCGCTTGACCGTGCGCGCGATAAGCTTACAGAGTATTATGGAAAGACTGATGATATTCCTGGTGATCTCTATGCAATTGCGACTATCCTAGGACCACGGAACAAGCTAGAGTTCTTCACAACATCTGAATGGGAACCTCACTGGGGGCCTCGCTATAAGCAGTCGCTAGAGGCTTACATTCAGCCTTACCGGCAGCGCTACGAAGAGGCATAGTCTACATCAACTCTCCAGCCCACAATTTAAGACGTCTCTGACATTGATATCCTTCTGAGACCTACTGTATCTCTTCAGTCAAACGTGACGGCTCCAGATGAGCTTACACGGTATCTTAGAAGTAGTAAGTTAATCTATATACCTCTTCTTATATACTCCTTCTCTTATACCACCCTCACTAGGTACTGTCGAAGCAACCCCTCTCGTTTTCTGGAAAGAACACCAAAATGAATATCCTATTCTGGCAAGCCTTGCTCGAGACATCCTTACAACACCAGCCAGTGGTTCTGGCGTTGAGCGGTTATTTAACTCTGCGCGTGATATCTGCCATTATCGCCGGGGCTCACTGAAACCGCAGACAATTAAGGAATTGATGTTGTTTATGTGTACAACAAAATTTGACGTGGAGTCAGAGCAGCTTGCCCTAGTTGATGAGTATCTTTCTACGCAAGAGAAGCAAGCAAAGAAAGAGCAGAAGGACGCCCAGAAGAAAGAGGAACAATTTGATCCAATTAGTGATAACGAGGAAGACCTATCTACTACTGAAGATTCTGCCGAAACTATCCAACTTCCTAGTGCGCGAGCGCTTGGAAAGAGAAGGGCTACCCCGGATCAGCTATTTGAACTTGACGATGATGATGATGAGGTTCCCCTGCCTGATAATAGCCACTTAGAAGAAGGGAGGACTACTCAGAGGCGTTCATCTGGGCGTGTTCCAAAGCGCTTGAGACAGGATGAGGATTTTGTATATCTTTAATAGAAACAAGAACCACATAAGCTATTCATAAGGAAATCAGTTAATCCTCGCTTTTTCGGTAGAAATCAACAGACACCAAACAAAGAATTATTCTTTACTCCTACCTCAGAATTATATAAAATTAAATATCATTTGAAAGCAGAATACTCAAAAATACAGGCGACTTCTACATAAATTATGCATACCTTGGGTCTAAGATGTTTTGCTTGTTTGCAGGACCGCAGGACCGCACCAAACCGCAGTGGTGCGGTCCCTAAAAATGTAGGACCGCCCAGCGGTCTCAAGGTCTGGGACCAAAGACCGCGCGGTGCGGTCTAATGCGGTCTTGGGTGCGGTCTTTCCGGTCCCGTGCAGAGGCCTAACTATAAGAGGCTCTCTTTCTTCTAATCAATCTTCATTTAATTGATCATTCTTCATTCAATTGATCTTTCTTCATTCAATCATGAACCCACTAGCTGAGCAAGTCTTTGAGAGTAAAGAGAAGCTCCTTGCTTCTATCCAATAGTATACTCTTGCTTATGGATATGCGATAACTACTGTCTCATCAAGTAGAGATAGAAATATCACTCTTGGATGTGATAGAGGTGGTTACTATCACGATCAGGTTAATGCCCTAGATAGGGCGAAGCGCCGGAAAACTAGTATAAAACGAATTAGCTACCCTTTTCGTCTCTATGCGAAGAAGCTTAGAAGCGATCAGTGGGAAATCTAGGTTAGAAATCCTATTCATAACCATAAGGCTGATGATAATATAATTGGTCACTCTATAGCACGACGTCGGTAGTTTACCGAAGATTAAAACCAAACTATTCAGGATCTTACTAATATCGGGTCAAAGCCATAATATATACTAAGTATAATACGAAAAGATCCTAAAATCTTGATTAAGCCAAGAGATATCTATAATATTCGAATAGCATCAAGGCAAAAGAAACTTGGTAATTCTATACCGCTTGAATTTCTAAGGGAAACCCTTTAAAATAATAATTGGAGATATACATTTAAATAAGATATTAAAGGTCATGTTTAATTCTTTATATTCGCTTACCCTATATTAATTAAGTATACTAATTAATATAATAGGGTCTTTTTATTAGACTGTACTTATAAAACGAATCGATATAAGATGCCCCTTTTATATATTATCGGCCTTATACCATCAAATTTATCTTATAGTATTGCTTTCTGCTTTATACAAAATAAGTAGGAGGAAAGCTATAAGTGGACTTTATATACTTTTTTCTTATAGCTAGACCCCTTATCCTTTTCTCTAGTTCTTTGTACTGATAGAGATCTTGCTTTAGTAGGTATAATTAAATCTATCTATCTAAGAAGCCTATATTTATTATACGTTTGGTATATTAATAAGAATGTGCTTATAAAGATAAAGTAATATTGTCGGACTCTAGGCGGTGACCATAAAGTCGTGGTTATACACACAAGACGATAGTGTGTATAAGGGTAAATACTCAACGTAGTGTCTAAATACACGGTTATGAGTCTATCGGTCGTGCGCACTTCTATGAAGGAGGAGAAGTACCACGATTGTGGAAGAGTACCACCGATCTAGAAGAGAGATCATAAAGGATGATAAACTTGATTCAATTTAACTAGGTAACATAGCAGTATTTATATCACAAGAAACATAGCAAAAGATCACATGATAAACCAACAGAATCAGAGTGTTGAGAGTCTCTTACTTAGGTAGGCAATCATATGCGAGATCGTTAAGGATCAATCTGTTAGATCTTTATAGAAGAAGATCTATATGTAGAGAGGGGTTATATGAGTGGGTCCTTCGTCATGTGACCCCACAACATCCACATGTTGACACACCCCTTTAGTTCTCGATGTGAGAGCGGAATGAGAGCAAAGTGAGAACTGAATGAGAGAAAGGAGAAACAGAATAACTAGATAGGAGGTGGTATCTCCATACCTAGTTGTCTGATGAATTCAGTATGCTTCTGCCTAGGTAGGCACTTGGTGAGACCGTCTGCGGGCATATCGGTGGTTTTGACCCATTGGACAGATAGGCGCTTTGCCTGTACCTCTTGACGAATCTATAGGCGGTTGATATCCACGTGACGAAGTTTGGTCTGAAAGACTGATTTCTCGCGATTTAATAGGTCGACGGTCTGTTTATTGTCGTAATTCAACACTTCTGGTTGGTTAGTGTCGAATTCAATGAATGAGAAGAGACGTTTGATCCAGTATAGCTGTTTAGCTGCATATGATACAGCTAGTAATTTAGCTTCTGTGGTTGATGTGGTAATCGTCTTCTGCTTACGAGATTTCTACTCGATTAGACCACCAAATAATAAGAAGATGAAACCTTCTGATGACTTCCTATCAAGATTGTCGGCAAAGCTTACATCGGACGAAGCAGTGAAGATCTGGCTATCTGATTGGCTGCCACCAAAGTAGATAGCTAGATCTTTAGTCCCATATAGGTATAAAATCAGATGGTCGACAGCAGCTAGGTGCTTCTCATCACAGCGTGTGAGAGATTTAGCTAGTAGCTGATTGGCGAAAGCGGTGTCTGGTCTAGTCCACATAGCAGGGAAAAGGGTCGAACCACACTTCTGCTGGTATAGTTTAACGGTTGATTGGTTGATTTGACTAGTGATCGGATCAAGACGTTGATTGCTGACTAGTGGTGTATTAGGCGGTTTCCTGCCTAGGAGGTTAAATTTAGTAGCGATCTTCTCAATGTAGGCTGATTGGTTTAGCCAGGTCTTTCGTCGCTGTTGGTCGCGTATAATTCGAATACCGATGAATTGGGTAAGTTCACCACAGTCCTTCATCTCAAAGCGCTGTGAAAGAAGTTGCTTTATCTGGTGAGCGTGTAATCTCTCACTTCGATGGTAGGCGGCCAGGAAATCGTCAACAAACACCATAATAACCATGCGATTATCAGTGTAAAGCGCAGGGTCTTCAGGACAGCTTTTGAAGCCTAGTGAGAGAAGCATCTCTTTCACGTCGTCTTCCCATCTCTTACCAGCGATTCGAAGACCATATACTGCCTTATGTAGGCGTAGGACCATTGACTTTCGTCCTAGTCCTGGTGGGTATCGGCAGTACACTTCCTCTTTGAGATCACTGTTTAGGAAAGCGTTGACGGCATCCATCTGAAAGGTCTCTAGGTCAAAATGCGTGATGATTGCTATGAGCGTGCGAAAGGTCCTAGCAGTAAGCGTACTAGTACGTGGGTCTTCTAGTTCGTCTGGTGTCTGTGTATCTCCGCGTACGCATAGACGCGCTTTGAAGCGTGTGAGGTATCCTGATTTGTCAGATTTATAGGCAAAGACCCATCTCATTGGTATGAGCTGGTGGCGTGGGCAATCCGATTGGTTTAGACCTTTGCAATTCGATTGGTGTGTAAAGCTGATGAGGTCTTTGTTGATAGGTTCGAATGCATGTATGTCCAGAAGCTTATTGAATTCGATTCGCATAGCTTGTCGGAATTGGCTTTCGAAAGGATGACTAGCTAATTGGTGGTAGCTAGGTGGTGGCGGAGGAATTGATGAGATCGCAATCTTTGGTTGTTGATGTTGATTGGATGAGAAAGCTTGGATATAGGTTGTGAGGGATACGTGAGGGCGTTTTCTCTCACTTTCGTTATCGGTGTCAGAGTCAGAACGTGGGCGTTTAGTTGGTATATGAAGAGGTTCATATCCAGAAGGGTCGAAGTTAGTGTTGTCAATTAAGACGAAAGGGACTATATCCTCTGGTTCTGATTCGCTGGATCCTATCGATTCGTCTGATTTTGGGTCGAGCGGTGGTGTGATTGGTTGATCTCCGAGGATTTCGTCTGTTAGGATCTCGTCTGTTGGTATAGGTGTGGTATGATCGATGTTGATAGTAGGACTACTACTACTTCCACCCCCGAGATCTTGCTGCACCGGTTGGTTGAGGTTGAATGGGATATCTATATTTTCGAGGATTTGATTGATCTCCTCCTCGTCAAGGGTATCAATCTGTTGAGATAGATTGGTTTCCTCATAGATTTGGATGCGTTGGTTGGGTAGCGAAGGATTGTAGGATTCTTCCTCGTTGAATTGGACGTCTCGTGCACGAATTACACGTCGTTTGGTAGGTATCCAGATGCGCCAGATGTTATAGGTTTCATATCCCACTAGATAGCTAATAGCAGCACGTGGTGCTAGCTTAGCTAGTCTAGGTAGCTTAGTAATGCGTACATAAGCTTTACATCCAAAGATTCGAATATGTGAGAGATCTGGCTTTGCCTGTAGCCAATGTGGTGCGTTTTCACCGAGGTAGGTAGCAAGCGCTTCGTGTGGGGATTGCCAATCTAGTGTGCGGTGAGGTAGGCGGTTTTGAATATAGACGGCAGTTCTAGCTGCTTCATGCCAGAGATAGCTTGGTAGGTTTGAATCGATAATCATCTGCCTAGCCATCTTTGAAATCAATGCGCCATAACGCTCAGCGTAGCCGTTTTGGTCAGGTTGGTAGGGCGGTGTGGTTTCTAGGTTGATACCACGTGATTGTGCTTCTTGATCGAAGAATTCAGATAGAGATCTCTCGTCATCTGAATGGATAGTAAGCACGCGTAGGTTGAATTGGTTGTTGATGAAATCGATCTGTTCGCAGAGAGATTGTGTTGAATCTGCCTTAGTAGATAGATCTTCCGCCAGTTGGTATTTAGTGATAGGATCGACAGAGTGAGATAGGTAGGTCGTTTTACCTAAGGATGGTTCGAAGTGTATAAGATCCTAATGCAGAGATTCGAAAGGGCGATTGTACTGCATAGGTCGTCGAGAGACTTGACGATGCGAATTAGCCAGTTTGCATGTCTCGCAGTGGTTGATAGGCGAAGATATATCTTTGATGGTGATGCCTGATGAGTGCTCTGGTAGATGAGATAGGACGTCCTTGCTAACGTGTCCTAGTCGTCTATGCCATAGGTCGATTGTCCTATCTAGCTGCTTCTTGGTGTGTGAAGAAGATAGGGCAACCTTGCTGAATTGCTCAGTGATAGG